TAGTAGTATTTTATTATATTTTCCGTAACATTTTATTCTACAATCATTTTGTATAAAAACTCGTTAACTTAAACAAACTTAAACATCTAACTAACTCTTTTTTTGGAAGTTTTGTTCTGTTTTTCTCTTCTCATCTACCTCATAAGAATGTGCTGAGATGGGCGACAGACTTTTTCTTTTCTGCCTGTTTCCCACAGTTTGCATAGATCTAACGTAAAACCTTATACTGACCTCACCACATCTTGCAATGACCTTCTGGCAGCAGCTGTTCATTTGCAAAGTAATTCCAACTAACGGTTTCACTTTAGCTCTCATCCATAAATCCAACTGACACCAGCGGACCTCTATGCGCTTCTCATAGCGACCTTTGTCGCAAAGCCTTTCACAGTACTATTACGAAACATCCTCTGTAGGCCTCATTAAACTGACCTTAGTTGACAATGGCAAATGGGCTTTGGCTGATGAAGTAGCCATAATTATATGAAATCAAGCGAAAGGTTTTCAGCCAAGCACGCTAAAATAGCCTGACCAAAATTCAAGTCAGTCGTAAGGTTTATTGAACTTTTGTTGAACAAATGTTAATTTAAGTTTTTTATATTTCTTTTTACGCATATCAAATAAGGCAAATCATCCTCTGACCCGGGGCCAAACAAGTTATAAAAAGCCAAAGCCAAAGGCAAAGCCAAAGCCGGTGCCGCCATCGCGATCGCTGATTATGTCACGGCCAAGTGGTTCTAGCCACCTTTTTTGTTGCTCTATGTTAATGACCATGTAGAATCTATGGCCAAAGTCAGGGCCGTGTGCAGATACTCAATATTCATAATTCTTTGTCCAAGCCGAGTTCTTTCAACCTGGGCTTAGCCACTTCAACGCAGAAGCCCGCGGGTCCATAAATTTAACTATCGGAGCTTTGGAAGCCAGCTCAACCCGGGTTCAAACACCTTTCAAAACTTGTCTAATGAGTTCGAGTATTTATTGATTGCTTCAAGCTAAAGCTGAAGCTGATGCTGAATCGTTTCGCCACACGCTGCGTGCCGCATCTCCGTTTGCGTTCACAAAGATTGCGCAAATGCTCGGCTACAAAATGACTTATAAATTTTTGCCAATTTACGCGAATTTCGTTACCTCCAGCTGGTCCCAAAGTCAACTAGTTGGATTTGTCGCGATATGCCCAAGCTACATAAGTATCACTCAAGCATTTGCTCATTTCTAATGCTCAACATGCCACAATTTGTTTACATTTTGCAGTTTGATTAGTTGGAAAATTTACCATCATTTAATTAAATTACTTATGATGCAGTTGTGCTTACGTATGAACGACAATGAACGGAAATGGCGAGCAATTTGCATGCGGCAACTTTGCTATTTTTTTTTTTTTTCTTTTTTCGTTCACTTAGGCAACACTGGAAGTGAAAGGCGTGTGCCATTTCAATGTAGTATTTGTGCTGCTGTTGCTGCTGCAATCAGCGAGGGGGCAGGGCAACGACTCGCGGCTCTCAACTCGTGAGCTCGTGCCGGTTCTTAGCTGATTTCTAGACAAAATTGCAGTAGACTTCTTTAAGTGTAACTGAAGAGCACTCAATAGAACCGTTTCAGTTACTGTTATGATTATTTGACAGCGTTTTTCTTAAACATTGCAAAAACTTCGTCTTTTCCTGGAAAGATACTCTTGTTTCTGAATATTATATTGTTCATAAATAACAACAATAGAGACCAACTAGTTAGCTAAGCTACGAAGATTGATTTTTATGGTTACAGTGGTTACTTTATGGGTATGAGTTTTAACTTGGAGAATTCTACACTCAACTGTAATATTCTAATGAAAAAGGTAGTTAAATATAAAAATATGTCCGAAGGAATGCATGTCTGTATGTGTGTATGTATGATGGAAAGTGTGTATGAATGTATTATGCATTTTCTTTTACAATAATTCTTAATTAATTAACAACTCCACTGCAACAAACTAGGGAAAATCATGAATTTAAAGAGCGCCCTACTATGCGATTCTCATGAATTCAAGTAAGCTTTGGCAGGTAATTATAAGCGTTGTGTGTATTAAAAAGATGTATTGGGACCATGTACTAATCTTTATATTCGTGTGTGTCTGTCTTTGTATGAGTATGTAAGAATGTATGTAATTGTATGTGTATATTAATTTGTATATTTGTTAATAAGAATATATACCAAATCAATTCAGACCTTGGCACGTGTTAGCTTCTTGCTATATATAAATAGAATGAAACACAATAAAGCTGTAGAAAAAATAAAGTGATTGAATTAAATATAATCAGCTGCACGCTTTGCGAGCTTATTTTCTCTACTACTCGAGAATCTATTATGTCATTATGTTTTTAAAATAATATTTCATTGGAAATGAAAAATATACTTGAATTGTCCTATTTGTTTCGTTTCCCATGAAAGCATATTGCATTTATTTCATATTATTCTTTATTATATGGTTTGTAATCAGGACATTCATCATGGCATTCATGTAAAATTATCCTGTTAAGAAAGATCCCTACGTTTTAGTTGGAATTTGGCATTACTATCGCTAGTGCAGCGTGGTATAGTTATGGTATCATCCTCATGCGCTGCTCCCACGATCCCCAACACATACAAATGCACAGAAATAGAAATAGAACTCGTTTCGCAGTGGCACACAAAAAACGCTAACGAACCAAGTGTAGGTCCCTAATGGCAGGCACATGTGCTACGTGGCAGCAAACGAGCTGCAGTCACCAGTCGCCAGTTGCCAGTTGGCAGTCAGCAACTCAAACTGAAACTAGAATCCAAACAGAATCCGTATACGAGTCCGATTCGGCGAAACCCAGCGCCAAGCACAATGTGTTGACTGTTTTAGCAAATGTCCGAAAAAGAAATCGACGCAGTCACGTAAAATTATTTTAATAATCACATAACTTTCGGCATTTACACGCCATGCGGCCCATTGGGGAGTACTCGCCGCGTAGGGCAACCAAAAACAAAATGTCAATAAATTTTTTTCCAACAACCAACAAAAAGTTGAACAGAACAACAACTTAAAGTAAGGGTCGGGGCCGAGGGCGAGGGCGAGGGCGAAGCTGACATCCGAAGCAGCTCTTAAGTGGGATTTGCGGCGCACTTTAGTGTCAACTTTAACAATAAGTTGGCGCAGAAAGATGAAGAGTGAGTGCGAGTGAATGAGTGCTGCAAATGTTGAACTGGATTGGGGTAGAGGTAGAGCTGTGGCATTGTCGCCAAACAAAACATTCAGTGTGTGCGCATACACATAAGTAAAATATATTTTGGTACGCAAAACTTTAGGCATCAACTGTGGCACTGCTAATGAAATAAACACCCGCGGCCATTGGAGCTCAGAACTTGAGCTAAGTGCGCACAGCAGGTGGCCAGAAAGTTAAAGCGCCTTATGGCCATGCCAGCGACGGTGTATCCGTCAGATACATTTCATTTACCTGCCTGCCTGCCTAGCAGTGCTAGCCACATGAAAGTCATCCTTTCGCTTCTAGGTCTCTGATTTGCACCAGGCATTTGGCCACACTTACCAACTGTCCCGAGAGACGGCTCTACTTTCAACTGCTCTGTGAAGGCAGTGCAGTCATTTGAAATAAATTACTTTTTGCACCTGATGAAAACTAAGCCAGCAACTGGCCCACAACAACAGCAACAGCATCGAGTCGAGAAACTCAACAAAACTCTGTCTAGCATTTTCTTTTTCATTTTTTTTCCTATAGCAGCATTTATTGTCATTATTATTTTGATACTAGTTGTTCCACCGTTTATTTTGTGTTTGTTTTTTTTTTTATCTTCTTCCTCTTCTGCTGCTGCTGCTATCTGCCGCTAGATTTATGCCAACAAAAGCAAACAGTAAAAAATATTTTGCTTTTAATTTTTTCTTTTGTGATTCCTCGACAGCTGCATTAAAAAAGTTGCCCAAAGAAAACAGTTTGCATTGCAATTTTGACTTGGTTTATTTTTGTTGCTTTGTTAGCTTTGTTTTGTTATCAACCAACAAAACGTAGAATATAAAATAGAAAACAAAATAAGCAGCGAAAATGTTTCAAAAAGTGTCCAGACAAAAATGAGGGGCCAACAAGAGCCTGTTTCCGGTCTGCGGTGACCGGCTTAGCCCTTATGGAGTGGGACCAGCCGACCAAATGGTTCATCTCCTTACAACTTTTTGGCAGTTCTCAAGTTATAATAATAAAAAAATTCACAGCTTTATTTTCATCAGAAATTACTGAATTTTTCCTAAACAGAAGAGTCCATTTTTTGTCGTATATCGTAGCTACCTTCAGCAACAGATGTATTTAAATAATTTCGAATTGTTCTAATAGTCATACTTTATCTTTATTTATCAATAAAATATGTCAATCATATTCAATCACTATCAGCTAGCAACCTTAATTTTTCTCCAGGTTTCCCTGGATCAATCATGATCAATCACTATCAGTCAGTAGCCCTAATAAATATTTGTATAGAAATTCTCTCTTATATTTCAACGTTTTATTCAGCTACAGTTAAAGAAAGTCACAAAGTTTCAGAACCCCACTGTGCAGTCTGTATACCTTCACTCCCATATTGTTTGTTAATTTCTTGTATAATTTTTATAGTTGCTTTCTTTGCTGCATTTCATTTGCTGGGGCTCCCTTGCCCTGCTTCATTCTCTGCTGTTTTGTTTTGGCTTTTCAGAACTTAATTAAATGTTGTCACAGCGCATACTTTGTAGTTTTTGCTGGGGCAGCCAAAGGGCAACGCCTGCAAGAGCAACAACAACAAACAGAGCCAAATGGAACCGGATGGGCGGGAGAGTAGGGCCAGTTGTGAGGGTATCTAAGTCTGTGTGTGACGGCGATTCGAAGTGTAAATGAAATAATAGCTGCTAAAAACCAATTTGGCGTAAATTACAAAAGCTTAACGAGTATATAAATAGAATGCTTGAGCTGACAAGGGGCAACCTTTGACTAACAATGTTTCAATCATTTTTCTCTTCTATTTTGCAGTTCCGTGGAGCTGATTGCACTGCTGGCCATATCGTGCACCTTTTTTCTGTTCATGCACACAAACAAATTAAATAGTCGACTCAAGGAAATGGAGGTGAAGCTACAGCCATCCGAGTTCTCGGCCCTGGGACTAACTGGCAATCACATAAGCGGACATGATGCGGGCAGTAAGTAACTATGATATGAATCTAAGCACAAACGCATCTTAAGCCCCCTGTCTGTCTGAGACAAGGCCGCAAGCCTTAAACTGTGTCAAAGTTTTCGCTCGATTGTACATGCTGCATGCGTAGATACAGATACAAATGCATCTGTCAGATAAGCCTCTTGCACAGGAAGCCAAAAAACAAACACACCCACATATGTTATATACAGTAGCTACTGCGGCTACGCCCAATTGATTTTTAATGACCACATTGACCCGGCCTATAAACAAAGCTCCAAATGATTTTTTGTTAACACTTTTTGTGCAATGTTTTGGCTGGCAAACCATAAATTAGTCAAACGTTTTAAGCCAAATTAGTGCTCCATTCTTTATGCATGCATTAATTACAGCAAAGTACATGCACACACTAACTCAGATAAAATCGCCACTAAAAAGCTGCTAAATTAAAATAAACATAATAAATACATATTGGTGATATGTCCACAGATGCAGTGCCAATAGCGCCGCGGCCAATTTATAATAATATTATGCACGCGCCAGTGTACATATGTACTTATATATGTATATATTTTTCATATTTTAGTACATTCATTAATTATTTAGGCATGCCAGCGAGCAGCTTCGCCCTGTGAAATCTCCCAGTTCAGGGATCCTAACAGCAATTTAACCTTTTGATATGCGTTAAGCATCGGAATATATGCATTTGTTAGATTAGAAAAAATACATATATAAATAATGCAGCATATTAAAATATAATTATTAATTCAATTAGTAAATATGCATAAGCCAACTAAAGCGGGTGCAGTTTTAAGCTGCAGAAATTGTGGATTATGTGATTCCATGGAAATGTTATAAGCCTTGAATATGTTTAATGCTAGATAAATAAGATTTAATCGAATCATATATTTCAGCATGCAGCACGTAATTAGAGTCATGTGGTTATTATTTGAGGTAGTTTCTATATAGTTCCCAGAAGGCTAAACACAATATTTAAAATATTTTCATGACCATGGACTACCACTTGATCACAATTTTATCCTTGACTACAGCACAACAAATATGTTCAGCCACAAACGACAATTGTGATTACAAAAATATTATTTATTTTTATAATGACCAGAAACTTTAGTATCATTAAAGTAGAGCTCACATTGCATATGTCAATTGAAACTTCTGAAAATTATTTGACTGAGCGGCACTTGACACGATTCTTATTTTTAATGTTCGCTGGGGTCATTGTGCTCCACTTGAGTCAGGAGGAATGCGGCTATTTGTGTATTTTATGATTTTTAGCTGAAACAGCGCAGTTGAGGATGTCATTAGAACGTTGTTAGCTGAGCCCATACTTAAGCCCAGCCAACTAACTAATAACTCTATTATTAGCCGAGCTGCAACTGCGAAATACGAGCCGAAATCAAATCAAACTTTCCGCATGCAAGACCCTAATTTCAATGCCGGAAGCTTGGGTTCGTCTAGGCCTGCAATCCACTTGCAAATTAGTCGGAGCTGCTTGCGGCAGCTGCCACTGACGAAATACGAGTTGAGTATGCCAAAAACCTGGTTGGCTGATCCATACGTGCTAGTTATGTAGGGGGTTGGATACGGGGATATCGCGACACGGCTGCTTCACGCCTAAGTGCAGTGATTGCCACTAACAAAAACTCAGGTGAGCACTGCACAGTGGTTTGAAAGCTTCAAAATGATTATGCAAATGCAAAAAAAAAGTAAAATATGCCAGTGGCTTGCCACACAGCCCAAACAATTCGATTTGGGTTGGGTTTTGCATATTTTTGTTTATTTACTTAAAATTTACAAAATAATTATGAAACGATAATATTTCCAATTTACAATTGCCCGTCGTACTGAGAATATTGCCAAACGTAAATATTTTCATATGCAAGATGCGGGCTATATTTAGCTAGCACTTAAAGTAGAATAATCTCCACCACAGTATTTGAATTAAAAATCTTCTTGTTACACATATACATTTTCTTACCAAATAATGTGAATATCTGAACCACTGTGCAGCAGTCATGTGATCATGATGTTGATGGCTCCGACTCGAACTCCAGCTCTGACGTCGCGACGTCTTGAAGATGCGCTCCAATACAATAGTCAGCCAGTTGTGGGTTGCCATTGCGCAGCTTTTACTGCTGCTATTGTTGCTGTTGATGTTATTGCTGTTGTTGTTGTTGTTATTGCTGTTATTGTTGTTTTTGGCGCTGCGACTGCGCACGCGTCGATTGCGCCGCAGCGAGCCCAGACGACAGCTACAAATTGTCTGGCTGGGCCCAAAGCAATGCGAAATGGCTAATGGCCAAAAATAAAAGAAAAACCTTAGCCCGACGTTGATGAGATATTTTGTTGTCTGCGCTGAAAAGCCAAAAAAGAAAAGTGCAACAGGCGTTTAGCTTTAGCCAACCATTCATTCATAAATATTTCATATAATTGACTCACACGACTTTGAAAACAAAAAAAAAAACATGAGTACACTTAACGTACTCACGTAAGACAAGCTGATGACACCTCCAGTTGCCTGTTTTGTTTTTGTTTTTAGTTTTCGTGTTTTATTTCTTAAGCTGCAGCATTGAACTTGACTTGGGCTAATTAACAACCAAGGCGAATCGTTATGTTGTGCCGTGTAGTGCAGTGTTGTGTGTGTGTGTGCGGTTAATTTTTGCTCTAATGAACAAATTAACAAGCTAGCAGACAGCTTGAAATTCGAATTGAAAAATAAATATAGGTGAAATGTGCGAACACAGAACAGAACAGTGTGACGACTTTTTGTGTTTAAATATGCGTGACTTCTGATAAACATAAAGTAAAGAACTTTGAATTCTTTATTCAAGTATCGGGCATATTGATTTTATTCAAGCATATTTTTAAATTGAATCAAAATTACATTGATTTTATTCATTGAAAATCTGTTAACAAAGCCTCTTGCAAATTTATTTCTAATTAAATATGGGCACATATCTTGAGTTAAAATCCACGACAACTTAGACTGCATGCAAACCAGTTTAATGCAGTTGGCACAAACGAGTCGTAAGTTGTTTTTTTTCAATTGGAGCACCCGATATTCAATTAACCAGGTATTTGGCCTTTGGGCTGGTCCACAGTATAATAAAAATCTGTTTAAACTGCCAACAAAAACAGTTGCTCAGATAATGAGTTTTAGCATGTTTTCTTTTCAATTAACATTTCTTTTGTAGTTTATTAACTATATGTGTAAATGTTGCAAGTCTTTCTTAAATGTTTTTTGTGCACCCGTTATTTAAAATCCTACCAGTAGCTAGATTCTAACTTGTACAAGCCAATAATTTTCAACTCCAATTGACTTTAAGTGGCGCTCTATTATTTCTGATTTTAAGACTACACTGTTGAACATATCGCTTGCTGCAGTTCCGCCCATTGATTGAGTGGGTACGTAAACTCATTAAGAGACTTTTTGTTCTTTGTGGCTGTCACCTGTAATGTGGTTCACCTTCAATGAATGTTCAAATGGCCAATAACCGGAGCTAAACTGTGAGTCTGTCAATGACTCGAGAACAGGATTTGCGTCATTGTAGAGTAATAGACAGGGGGGGAGCGCATCAGCTGTAACAACTGCATAAGAAACTGCATGCATGTAACCCAATTTCAAGACCACACAAAAAGTGCCAGAAAAAAACTTAAAGCAAAGGCTTCTCCGGTCTGTTTGCGGCCTGGCCAGACCACAAAATGTATTTCACTTTGGTTCAGGGAGTTGGATACGGGTGCGATGCGATGCCAGTTAAAACCAGTTAGACCTGGCGACTTTCATTCAGATCATTCAGTGAAACTGACCATACCAATGACCAAAAGCAGACCACATGCACAACGAATCTGGTTTATAGGCATTGGATTTGGACTCGAACTTATGCCGACTTCCTTGTTCATCAGGCTCCGGCGGGCAAATTATGAAATGCTTAGCCGCAAGACGAAAGTGGTGCAAGCAACCCACAATCCACATCACTGCTCACTCCAGTCGCGCTCTCTCTCTCTCTCTCTGGCTTTTTTTTCTTGCCACTCCACTTGAATCGACCGCAGTTGGCCAAAAATCAAGACGTTTTCCGCCTGTCCAAATACTGAATTGCAGCCATTTAGTATGCAATTGCTAGCTCTTAACTCGCAAACCTGTGGCCGATGCTGCCAACCTACACCCGGGCCTGACATATGCACAGACAGGCATTCAAATTTTAATTGTCCTTGCAACACAGTCGTACATGACGGAATACGTGGGGACAGCTTGGAAAGGTTTCATTCGCAGGCTTTTTTACCCACTTTCGAAATCGCCGATAAGACATTTAACGCTTGCGTTTTCGTTTAGACGGCACCTGATAACCTGATAGCGAGATCATCCTACATCTGGAAAGTGAAAGGAACCTTCATGAGCTTGCATATTTTATTGCACTCACATTTATTTTCCAATTTCTGCCGTCTTGGGAGTAGCATTTCGAAGTGAAGTGCTCTTCCCTATCAAAAATATTGCATAATTTCTTTGTGAAAAGTAAAAGTATTGACGGCATTCCAAGGGGAGGAGTTGGCACTGCCCTGCAGTGATTGATTAAGGTCGTCGTCGCGGCATGAACTACATAATAGTAATTGACTGACACTAATTTAGGTTTTGCAACATAACATATCTAATCTGCTGTAGAGTACTGTAGAATATCTGAACTGGCTAATTATCTTGAATGAGAATATCAAACTGTAAATTGTAAATATTTTGTTGCTCCTAGATGTTAAATTTAAAATATCAGCAGCAATTTATTCGGCTATAATCAACATGAGAGGCCAATAAATTAATTATATTTTGTTTATAAACCTGACTATAACTTCTGCTGCTTGCATTACAGAACATGACGACATTAATACTCTGCACGGCACCTATCAATATCTGAAGAGCACCGGCCAGGTAAGTGCGAGCAAGCCATTTGGTATAACTATTTTATGATTCGCCTTTGCCATTTATATACATGTGTCATACCTAGTCGTAAACATTATTGCATACATTCTGGTTGGCCATAAAAAATCAGCGAAAAACCATCCAAAGCATCAAAGTTCAGCTAAAAACGCGTTGCAAAGGTAGCTGCTCAGCTCCTTGGTGTTTGATATTTTCTTCAAGTGTGTCTTGCCTGCTGTTTGCGTCTCACTCTCGCGCTCTTTCGCCCTCTCTCGCCCATCATGGTATAAGCGTTGGCTCATTTTGGTTCCACATTGCAAGCTGCTCATCGAACGTCATAGCACTCTCTCTCTCTCCCTCTCTCATTCTCTTTGTCTCTGTCTCACAGCCATACACATACAACATAAACATAAACACAATCAAATAGAAACCTTTGGTAGACTTTAGCTCTCTTTCTCTCTCTCTCTCTCTGTTGCTCTGTTTCTATTTCTCTTACGTATGCTCTCTAGCTGTCTAGCTCAGGTTGTGACTCTCTTTTGTCTATCCATGCAGCTCTCTTTACACTAACCCAAATCTACACTTTGACTCAGTCTTGAAATTTTGTTAGCGCAGTTTTCCTTTTTTTTTTTTTTTTTTTTTTTTTAATTTTGATTGAGTTAGCTGCCAGATGCGCCAGTTGCGACATAGAAGAGATAGAAATTCGATTTATGATTATTAAAATAAACGCTTAAAAGGTAAGTCCACGCAGAGGATTATAATTTAGGCAAATGTCAGTTGCGAAAACCGCGTTGGCGTCGATGAGTTTATAGGAAAATAAACAAAAAATATACATAAACTGTGCCCAGGCCAGATGCCTGATGCCTGATACAGGTTACCAGTTGCCCCACTGCCCAATTGTGCCTGTTGCTTCAGCCAAAATCCGCTTATAGACTCCATCTCTATGTTTACTACTTACTTATGTACTTGTTGTGCTACCCACCCGTCTTTTTTGCTGTGCCTGTACCTGTGCCTGTGCCTGTGACTGTGAATGTAACAACAACGCTTGCAAACTGCATCCACTTTTGCAATCCGGCAGCTACAGCACCTGACCAGTGCACAGCTGAACAACACGCCGCGGGCCCAACTGGATACACTATTCTTTAATCGAGTGCCAAAGGCGGGCAGCGAGAAACTGATGGAGCTGCTTAAGCTGTTAGCCAATCGTAACAAATTCCAGGCGCGTCGCGATCCCAAACACCTATTCGAAACGATACTCATGGATACCGGCTTTGCACGCAATCTGCTCAAAGCTGAGATACTCAATTGCAGCACAGCCAATTCGTATACAAAGCATGTGGCCTTTCTGAACTTTGCCGCATTCGGGCACCCCTGGCCCATCTATATAAATCTGGTGCGGGATCCGGTCGAGCGTTTGGTCAGCTGGTTCTACTATGCACGTGCGCCCTGGTACTTGGCGGATCGTGTGAACGCCTTCGGAAGTGACTATAAAATCCCAACATTGGAATGGCTTCAGAAGGATTTCAATCGATGCATTCTCGAGCACGATCCGGAATGTGTGTACGAGCAAATGGATACCGGCAATCTGGGAGATCACAGAAGACAAACCCTGTTCTTTTGCGGACAACAGGCCGAGCTCTGCATGTGAGTAACAGCCGGCCACGAGCGGAGGGGGCTTGCTCGATTTGTTTTCTGTAGCAAAGCTCTAAAGAGTTTTACTTAATATCAAATTACAAATATGGCACTTATCTATCTTAGGATACGTTCCTAAGAACGTACGCGTAATTAAATGTTGCGACATTTAGGAATACTATTGAAATTTTTATCTTAGTTTAGCCCAACCCGGGCAGCGAATAACATGGCATAAGATGGCCTGGTTGAGCCAATCCGTAAATGCTTTTAGTTTTGCCCAACTCGCAATAAAGATGGCTTCCAGATAAGCTTTTCTTTGAATTTCATTTGAGGCTGATTCACCGACAACTCATCGAGCAGCCCTCGCAGCATAGCACCTTAGCTCAAACTGCAATTGAAACAACCTTCACAGGCCCTTTAACTCCCAGAAAGCCATGCAGCAAGCCAAACGGAATGTTGAGAATCGTTACGCTGTGGTGGGTACCTGGGAAGATACAAATACTACACTGAGCGTACTGGAGGCATATATACCACGATACTTTGCGGGCGCCAAGGACGTGTACTATGCGATGCGAAGGGATATGGAGAATGTGAACAGGAATACCTTCAGACCCACAATCAGCGAGCAGGCGCGAGCCGTGATCAGTCGGAATCTGACGCAGGAGATTGAGTTCTATCAGTTTGTCAGGCAGCGTCTGAATAAGCAGCATATAGCATTGCAATTGGAACAAGATCGATCAGTTAGCGGATAAGATTTCAAGAATAAAAGCTACTCTAACTTTCGCTCTGCTTGGTGTTTTCAACCTCTAAAAACTCTTCCAACTGTTAGTAGCTAGTTTCCCATTGCTGGTAGCAGTTTCTGGGACAGGGACTCAGCCTCTCAGCATAGATCTTTAATAAAAGCCTACTTCATGCAGCGACGTGGTCACAATGTGCACGTGCCCCGAAACGGCGAGGAGCTGCAACGGCATGAATTAGGAAATTATCAAACAGCTCACCCATCACATAATCATGTGCACAAGGCTCTGCACGACAAGCAGCTGGCAAGGCCTAAGAATATACATGCCGAAGATAACGAAGATGATGACGATGCTGAGGATGATGAAGACGATGAAGATGATGAGCATGGCTACAATATGGCCGCGGATTTGCTCAACAATACCAAAAACGCCGAGGTGGACTTTGTCTTCTTCAATCGCGTGCCCAAAGTAGGCAGCCAATCGCTCATGGAGCTAATGCGGCGCCTGGGCAAGATCAATGGCTTTGTGCACTCACGCAACCCGGGCAGCGCCAAGGAGACAATTATGTTGCCCAAGGAGGGCCAAAAGGATCTGATTGGGGATCTGCTAACGCGGCCCAAGCCGCACATCTATAGCCAGCACATAGCCTACATCAATTTCACCAGATACCATCTGCCTCGACCCATCTACATAAATCTTGTACGGGATCCCATTGAACGCATTATCAGCTGGCATTATTATGTTCGCGCACGCTGGTATTATAACGATATGAAGGCCAAGCTGGGCGATAAGGCCATAGCAATGCCGTCGGATGAGTTCCTTGATCTCGATCTGGACACGTGTGTGCGTAACCATGATCCGCATTGCACATTTGAGCAAATGCAGATCAAAAATCCCGTGGGTGACCATCGCAGACAAACGCTGTTCTTTTGTGGCATGAACAAGAAGCTGTGCATGTAAGTAGCCAGGCGTCTGGAAACAGAAGCTCTTTCTGAAACCAACCATCCATCCAACCCTGAGCTAGGCCCTTCAACTCGGAGATGGCCATGCAGAAGGCCAAGCGCACTGTGGAGTCGGAATATGCTGTCGTGGGCACCTGGGAGGACACAAACATCACGTTAACCGTGCTGGAGCATTATATACCACGTTATTTTCGCAATGCCAAGGTGGCCTATTATTGTAAGCGCATTTATCATTCAACTCTTTTTTTTTTTGAACAATTTTTGTTGTGGAAAAAGGATTCCTAACTTTGCGTCGACTTTGCAGTGGGTGAGGAGCGACTCTCGCGTGTCAATCGGAATAATGTCACACGCATCGTGAGCGATGAGACACGTCAGTTGCTACGCAAGAATCTGACAAATGAGATTGAGTTCTACGAGTTCTGTAAACAGCGTCTATATTTGCAATATGCGGCACTCGGAAATGGCAAGCGCTTTGGCGAGGATGACTATCTGCTGATGCCGGAGTTGCGCGGCGAAGATTCGAAAGATGATTATGAGTATTAAACAGAAGTGTATATATAATTTAAGCTGTGCCAACTATTATTAAATAAATTCATTTGTACAATAACACAACAAATATGCACTTTATTCTGTGCTTAGTAAACGTCTTTAGACTCTAAGTTCGTTTGTGACTTAAACTGCTTGGGAATTTTAAGCCCATTGCAATGACAGCAATGACAAATGTAAGCTTTAGCTTTTCGCCCACCGCCTCTCTGTGTGCTTGTGTTGTTTGTCGCTCTCTTCAACACTCTCCATCTCTAAACTCTTTACAGTTGTGGCAACTCAATCCCAAGCACCTGAACAACACCCTGTCGACCAACAGTGAGCTGCTTTTCTTTAATCGTGTGCCCAGAACGGGAGCTAAAACGCTTATTGAACTGCTAAGTCGCCTGGGCGAACTCCACAATTTCATCCTTGAGCATACGCCTTTCTCTAGGCCGATTGCCAACCATTTAACTGTTAAGCAGCAATTAGCTCTGGGCCAATATGTTTCAGAGCTGGGACAAAGCTCAGCCTTTGTCTATGTCGAGCCAGTGGGCTATATAGATTTTCGAACTTATAACTTTCCCCAGCCCATTTACGTAAACATGGTACGATATTTGCCAATGCATATTTCAGTTTATATTAATTCCAAGACTTTGTTAGGTGCGTGATCCTGTAGAGAAAATTATAAGCTGGTACTATCATAAGCGTACGCCCTGGAATGCTCTTCGCATGTATAAAATTACTGGAAAATTTCAAAAACGCGACTTCTATACGAAAAGTTTCGAGGACTGCGTCTTGACAGGGGATCCCGAATGTCGTTATGATTATGCAATGGGCTTTCAGAACGACTCCGGTGATCACAAGCGCCAGAGCTTGTTCTTCTGCGGACATGCGCCCATCTGCGAGTAGGTAACTCCCCAATTCTTTTCAAACCTGAGCTTTTCATTTTCGTGATGATACCTGGACAGACCTTTTAATATACCTGCTGCCATAGCTCGTGCTAAGCAGAATGTGGAGCGGCACTTTGCTGTAGTGGGCTCTTGGGAGGATGTAAACGTTACCCTGGCCGTGTTGGAGCACTATATACCGCGCTTCTTTCGAGGTGTAAAATATCTTTACTTTGGTAATTAACTGAGCTTCTACGAATACTCAGCTCAACACTAAACCTTATTTTTTGATAATGCAGCAACCGAGCACAGCTTGGCCTTGCCACAACGCAATCATTGGAAGCCGAAAATTGGTGAGCACATCAAGAGCTTGGTGCGTGCCAATTTTACATTGGAGTACGAGTTCTATTATTTTTGTAAGCAACGTTTATATCGTCAATATTTTGCAATAAATCGTCATTTAGAGCTGTGATTAGAGAATAACAACTTAACGGGCAATGCGTATTAGATGTGACTTTGGACTTTTGTTAGGCTGGGATCGTGTATCCATTCGTGCTCGTGTCCTAAAAAACACTACCCACGCGCATCTCTTACGCAAAATTGAAAAAAAAATCTATAAAGTTTTTTTTGATATTTCGTTAAATGAGGAAAAATACTATTTAATATCAAGTTACACGGGACATGTACCCCGTTTACTGGCTGACATTGTGCATAGGGAAAGAAGTCTGTTTATTTCGCTGCTGTCTAGAATCAAGAATTTGGCTTAGGTATACGATTTAGTTAGAGGAGTCATTGGATCCACTTGTTTTCTAATCTTCCACTAACTCACTTCGTTTAGCTTTCGCCTTAGATCTCAGAGTTTTGACCGGCAGTTCTTCTGTCTTCCATTCAAGCTAGCTAATCTGACAGCAGCACAACTGAACAATACACCCAAAGCCGAACGCGATTTCGTATTGTTTAATCGCTTAGAAAAGGTTGGCAGTCAGAGTATGACAAAGCTCTTGGGTCATTTGGGCACTCTGCACGGTTTTGTCACCTACCGCAATGAGATACCGCCTAGCAAAAAAATTATATACAATTTTGAAGAGGAGGCGGCTTTCGCTGAGGAACTCATTGAGCTGGAGGAGCCTTCGGTCTATGTGGAGCACACTAACTGGATCAACTTTACGGCTCACGATATGCCCAGGCCAATTTACATAAATCTCGTGCGGCATCCCATACAGAAAGTAATGAGTGCCTATTACTATCATCGCCATCCTGTGATCTATGCCAACAGCCTGTTGCGCAATCCGAATAAGCCCAAGCAGAATAAGGAGTTCTTCGATAGGAGTTTCAATGACTGCGTCAGACAGCGTATAGCTCCCGATTGTGTCTTCGATCCGCACATACCCTACAATAAAGACTGGCGAAGATTCAGTTTGCATTTGTGCGGCAATCAGAACGTTTGTGTGTAGGTAATGCGCCCAATTTTTGAACAGCCGATGGAATAATTGTAGCTATTCCCTAGGAATTTCAACTCTGAGATGGCCATGCAAATAGCCAAATTGCATGTGGAAAAAGAATATGCCGTTGTGGGCAGCTGGGAGGATACAAACATAACATTGGCCGTGCTCGAGGCATATATACCGCGCTTCTTTGCCGATGCCACAAATCAGTATTATTGTAGGTCCTTCTAAATAGCCAATCACCTTTCACTTGTCTAATATTTGACTCTTGTGTGTGTACAGCGCATCGGGAGAAATTTATGATAAATGCCACGCCGCACGACAATCACCTAGACGAGGATGTGGAGGCCTATCTGAAGCAACAGTTCGCCTACGAAATTGAGTTGTACAACTTTTGCAAGCAGCGTCTCTATAAGCAGTATATAGCCATCAGGAATAAGACAAAATATTAGTAATAACAATTCGCAGCCAATACAGGAGTATTTTAGGGTGGTTTATGAAATGTGCGGTATGAGCGGCTCTTTTGCACGAACCCGATTTCCCCATATGAAACCAACATTAAGTATTTATAATTAAAACAACAATGCTGCAAAGCACTTTTGACAATTTGAACTTTAACAAATCGTCATTATTATTAATTAATAATTAAATCCTACAAAGAAAACGTCACTATTACTTTATAATAACGTCGTGACAAGTCGGGAGTGTATAATAATAATCTGTATTTTCGGCAAGGCGGAACGGTATAGAAATCCCTTTGGCATTCCTCTGTCTAGAATATTGTATAGCAACTATCACCAACGAGTCTTTTCCTTTCGCTACTAATCTAAAGTGGGTATTCGGTTAGCTTGCTGCTTGCATTCACTGTACCCAGACTCTGATTGAGCCCTCAACGGTGCGCCTCGATCATTTGCAGATACTTCAGCTGAATGCCAATGAGTTGAATAACACCAAGAAGGCTGAGATCGATGTGCTCTTCTATAATCGTGTACCCAAAACGGGCAGCATGCAACTTATAGAACTGATGCGAGCCCTGGGCAAAGTGCATGACTATGAGGTGGAGAAAGATCCACAGAATGGCGGCATTCGGCCATTGCTAGATGCTGCCGAGGAAGGTGACTGGATAGATAATATCGTTAATCTCGAGGATGGCACCGTGTTTGCCAGTCATGTGAACTATTTGAACTTCAGCAAACACGAACAGCCGCGACCCATTTACATCAATATGGTGCGTGATCCGGTTGACCGCGTTATCAGTTGGTATTACTATATACGTGCCCCATGGGTATTTGTGCCGGGTCGTCGTCGTCACAATCGCGAAATGCCCAATCCCCAATGGGTCAACACCGAATTCGATCAGTGTGTGCTCAGCGGTGAAAAGGTCTGCACCTACATTGAGGGCTCCCTCCTGGAGCGTGTGGGCGATCATCGCCGTCAAACCCTGTTCTTTTGTGGCCACAATGAGTTCAAATGCACGTGAGTGGTTAACGTTTTCTGTATTGTTATCCCAGACCATAATTACCTAAAAAAAAAAAAAAAACAAAAAACACTTCAGGCCCTTCAACTCGCGGCTGGCCCTGCAGTTGGCCAAACAGAATGTGGAACGCGAATACGCGGTTGTGGGCACTTGGGAGCACACAAATGAAACTCTGGCCGTTTTGGAGGCTTATGTACCGCGCTACTTTGCGGATGCCTCCAAAATGTACTACTGTAAGTACTGGAAAGACACAATCTATCGTCGTCTACAATAATTACGCCATTTGCAGCGGGTCTACACGCCGCCAAAGCGAACGACAATCCCATGAAGCCTCACATTCGGGATGAAATTATGAACATGGTGCGCCGCAACTTCACGCGGGAAATCGAGTTCTATCAATTCTGTCGCCAACGTTTGCATAAACAATATCTGGCATTAAAACTCAATGAGCTGATTCGCGTGGACAACAGTTTAGTTCAATTGCAATCTGCCAATGAGCTGGCCGTCAGGAATTAGTTAGTTGAAAGCTTAGTTTAGATATAAAATCCAATAAATCAATATTCAAAGATCTACAACGAACTGAAATACCAATAGATATGCTAAACTGTAAAGATCTTTTATTTAATTGATATACCATCAGCTTTTTTATTTCATAATATAAATCGATTCTGATTGGAATTATTATCTTGGATATTGCTATCGCTTACCACTTGCTCATTGTCTTGACGAACCTATGAACTTATTTAATCACCTTACCTGAACTGCTTCGAAATAGTTAAGAGATCTTCGCCCACTAACTTGAACCTAAGCTCAAGACTAACCTAGGGTGAACTCCCAGTTTGCAACCAAAGCCTAAATGAAACTCGAAACTATTTCCAACCGAACTGCAGCTGCAACGTCTGAGCGCCGAGCGACTAAACAATACGCGGAATGCTGAAATCGATGTGCTTTTCTTCAATCGTGCCGCCAAGGTGGGCAGTGAAGCCCTACTGGAACTGTTTAATGCCTTGGTGGAGTATAATGAGGGTCTGATATTGGAGCGCAGCGGTCTTCATGAAAATACAGTGAGGCAAATGGATAAAGAGGCGCAACAAGAAGCTGCCGAGTTTGTGGCTGGCCTGGAGGAAGGCACCATTTACATACGGCACATTAACTGGCTGGACTTTAGCAACTTTGATCTGCCGCAGCCAATCTATATAAACATGGTTAGGGATCCAGTGGAGCGTGTCATCAGCTGGTTCTACTATGCACGGAGCTCCTACAAAAATGCCATCGAGTATCGCAAGGCGCCGAACAAGAAAATCAAGCCCGCGTCCTGGTACAAAAAGAACTTCAATGATTGTGTACGTAGTGGAGATCCCGAATGCCAGTATGTGCCACATACCGTAAAGGATTACGTTCCAAACTTTAAAAGACAGTCGCTCTTCTACTGTGGCCATCATGACGACTGTATGTAAGTAGAGAGAGGATTTGCCAGCTTGAGCTCGGCTAATACTTCTGAGTCCCCTTTGCAGTCCCTTTAACTCGCCCACAGCCATACAAATGGCCAAGGAGCATGTGGAACGGGACTATGCTGTGGTGGGCAGCTGGGAGGATACGAACATAACATTGACCGTCTTTGAGCGCTATATACCACGTTTCTTTACCGGTGCCAAGCTGATGTATGAGAGTAGGTTGCAGATAACATAGTTGTGGTCCCAACAGATCTCGTTAACCATTTCTCCCTTTACCAATCAGTGCATAATAACAAGATCACAAATCGGAATAAGAACAAGCGCAAGCCATACATTGAGCCAGAGGTCAAAGAGATGATAAGACGTAATTTCACATATGAATATGAGTTTTATCATTTCTGCAAGCAGAGGTTGTACAAACAGTATTTGGCACTCAACTTGCGTGAGCTGGAAAAGCACGGACTGTTGAATTAGTTTCGACTAGGACTCTATATGCATTAGCTAAATACTTTAGTAGAAACAAGAAAATACAAATAATACTCGCAAACCTCTCTTTCTCTGTGTGCCCATTTTGTGTCTAATTCCATTGTGTTGTGTCTCCTGCACGTTCTCCTCCTAATCCTTCCACTCCCAATCCAATTCCCTACCAGTTGCACAGCCTGACGCCACAGCAGCTGAACAACACGGCCAAGGCAGAAATGGATCGTTTGTTCTTCACACGCTGCGCCAAAGTGGGCAGCGAATCGCTTATGGAATTCATGGAGAATTTACAGCAGATCAACGACTTTGAAGTCGATCGCCTGGGCCTTAAGAAGTCGGTACGTCAGCTCTCGCCCAGGCAACAGGCCGAAAGGGCTGATCACATTTACAACTCAGAACCGGGCACTGTTTATATCGAGCACACATCCTGGATCGATTTTAATGCCTTCAACCTTCCCAAGCCCATTTACATAAATCTAGTGCGCGATCCCGTCGAACGCGTCATCAGCTGGTATTACTATGTGCGCAATTCCTATCTGAATGCCATATTTTATCGCAAAAACCCAATGGCTACCCTCAAGCCTACCGCTTGGTTTAAGAAAGACTTTAACGAGTGCGTCCGCAGCGGCGACCCGGAGTGTCAATATGTGCCCCTCACTGTGAAAGATTATGTGGGCAACTATAAGCGGCAGTCGCTTTTCTTTTGTGGTCACGATCGGAATTGCTTGTGAGTATTGTTGGCCCCTTCAATCCATTAACATGCAGTCAGACTTTCGAATTAGAAAAAATAAACAATGTCTATATGAAGTAAAGATATAGAATTTCTAAACTGTGATTATGCGCATTTTCTAAATACGAAAGTCTGCCTCCTTAAGGTAATGGTTAATGGGTTTGAGTGCTTGGCCAGCAATTTCTTTAGTTTTATGAATGCTTTCCAGACCCTTTGACTCCCCCTTGGCCATACAAATAGCCAAACGTAGGGTTGAAGAGGAATATGCGGTTGTGGGCAGCTGGGAGGAAACCAATATTACACTTACCGTACTGGAGCATTATATTCCGCGTTACTTTGCGCGTGCCACGACCCTGTATCCATGTAAGAACCTGAGACTAAACAATGTGGAAGTGCTAGAGTTATATATTCTATAATTTTTTTTTTTTTTTTTTTTTTTGGTTTATTTTGCGCTGGAATCGATCAGTGCCTTCTGATCTCTACCAAGCGGAGTTAAGGGTATAGTGTATAGTTATTATTTAATAACTTAAATGATAATTACAGACTTAAAAATATATAACAATAATGGGAAAGGGATGTTTAAGTGATGTGCCTCGTTGGTAGGTCGTCGGGGTGTAGCCTTCGGAGGCGCCTCTCACTGATGGGCTCAGCCAGGGCCCTTGCGGCCGCGTTCGGATGCTGCACCAATTTGTCGGAGTATCGGCTGCTGAAGAAGTTGAGCTGATCTCCGACCTTTGTTAGGCGGAGATCGCGTTCGATGGCGTCTGTTGTTACGTACCATGGCAGGCCAGCAACCTTGCGTGCTGCCTTGGCTTGGACCACTCTTATGCGACGGAGCTGGTGTGCTGATGCCGTGCCCCGGCACGGCCTTGAACTTCCGCGGAGATCGGTCGTGCTTTCTGTGCATTCCCGTGCGTGTGTATGTTCAGTGCATCCCAGGCAAAAAACAAACCAAAAGTGACAGTGACACTAACTAAGCCCGCCCCAGGGCTTAACAAACAAATCGCGCCTGCAGAGCGCGAAAAAAAAACAATTGTGCTGCCTCTGGCAGCTAAACTATATATATATATAAACATATATAAACATTTAAATTTTTTTACACAAAAGTGCAACCGCGTGCGAGCGTAAGAGAGCAAGCTTTTGCTAAGCTCAAACTGCGCTCAGCTGATCGCCTTAACTCAGCTGTAGTGTGTGTGAGTGCGTGTGAGTGAGCAGAGCTTTCGCGAGAGAGCTTTTGCCTAGACTCACTAACACAAGTAAAGCACTAGCCAATAGGAGAACAATCAGTGCTGGCAAGTCAGTCACTGACCGTGACAGTGCTGACACTTTCCAGTCACCGTTTTCGCTCCCCGTTCACCAAAGTCACTTTTCACAAAAATACTGGAGATTTTTGTAAATAAGTGCAGCTAGTAAATTTTGGTCAACATCTCACCTAATGGCGTCCAACAAGCCGAATCCACTCATCCCCGACTATCCTGCGTCACCTATATACAACCCGTCGGATAATGTGCTACCGCCATACATCACGCTGTGCGGGGGTACTACGCTACTCACCACGTCGTGCATCACCACAACTGCCTGCTCCCTAGGAACGACTACGGTAACGTCGTCCCTCGCACATGGCATCAGCTCCCAAGGCCCCGCAATCCCGTCCATTCCTGGCGCGAATCCTGCTACAAGCCCGGATCTCCACGCGTTTTTGAATAATTACCCGCCCAAGACTTCACGTACTTGGCAAGGTCAATGGTTTAAGGCCACAAAAAGAGAAGGTGGCAATCTCTCCCCCCGTATCGCCCGTAAGAAGGCGAGCACCACCGAAACCAAGAAAGCCAGCCAAAACCGGTTTGCGGCCCTCTGTGACGAAGAGGAAAGCGACATGGACACGGAAGTAGAGCTAGCCACCAACAAGGAAGCTTGCGCCGACGAGGATGTAGATGATAGGCCATCCACCTCGCACGCAGCTCGCGCAAGGGCCAGCAGGCAACAAACGGCAAATAAAAAGCTTGCCGCACACCCGCAACCCACCCAGACGGCGCCTCCCAATGAGCGGCCTGCCTCTAAGGTGCCGAGAATAACTGTGCCAAACGTCCTCAGTTTCACCAAGTTCTGCAAGGAACTAGACAGCGTCCTAGGCGCGGACACTTACACCGTCAGATCGCTTAATTCTGGCGACTGCATCGTCCAATGCCGCAACTCAGACGAATACCGAACGCTGGCAAGGCACCTTCGCGAGAACGGCTGCCTGTTTCACCACCACCAGCTTGCAGAAGACCGGCCGTACCGCATAGTTCTACGAAATATCCACCACGAGGTCGCATCCGAAGACATTTCAGCGCAATTGGCAGAAAAGGGGCACCACGTTGTCCGCATATATACCCCGCGTAGCAGAGTCAATAACGAACCTCTAAATATGAGATTTGTTGACCTGAGGAAAGCGGAGAACAATAACCTTGTCAAATCAATAACAGTACTATGCAGGCACAAAGTTTCGTGGGAGAAGCCTCGCAAGACGTCGGGCCCTGTACAATGCAACAGATGCCAAGAGTACGGGCACACAAAATCTTACTGCTCGAGACACTATGTGTGCAAGGAGTGTGGGGACAACCATCCAAGCAACGAGTGCACACTTGGCAAGGACGAGAATCGGTGTTGTCACCACTGTGGAGAAGCACACGCAGCAAACTTCAAAGGCTGCAAGAAGTACCTGCAATATGCTTTCCAGCAGAAAAACCAGCACAAGGCAAATGGCAGAGATGCAAGCCGCTCCAGAGATCCCCGCCCCAAAACAGCCGCTCCTGCCTGCAGCTTCGTGCCCGGCCAACAATCCTTTGCCAGCGTCCTCCGCGGTACCCAGCCCGCAGAGCGCAGTGCCCGCTCATCGTCTCGCAGAAGGAACACTGGCAGTACTCCCAGCCAATCGCAACCTGTGGCCGACAACTGCCCCAACTCAGCCCTTGAGCTCATGATGAAGCAAATGTTCGCCAGATTCGACCAACTGATGTCTCTCATACAGACTCTTTTACAAGCGCTAATGCACACTAGCGCCAAAAATAACAGTGCCTAAAATGAGCTCCCTCAGGATAGCACTATGGAACGCCAACGGAGTCTTTTCGAAGGCGAATGAGATCACAGCCTTCATCGAACTCCACCACATCGATGTGTTTCTGCTCACGGAGACTCACTTCTGCTCTCGAATCACCCTCAGAGTGCCAGGCTACACTCTCCACACCGCCAACCACCCAGATAACAGCCAACATGGAGGAGCAGCAATATTGATCAGGTCGTCCTTGTCGCACCACTCACTTGAGTCATCCTGCCACTGGCATATGCAAGCTGCTGCTATCCGACTCGGATCCAGCAGAGGCGACTTCAATCTCGCCTCTGTATACTGCCCTCCGGCCTTGAGAGTGACTGAGGCACACTTTCGAGCCCTTTTCGACCAGCTTGGCCCCAAATTCCTGGCAGGAGGAGACTGGAACGCCAAACATCGCTGGTGGGGAAACTACCGCATGTGCCCCCGAGGGAGAACGCTCTTCTCTGCCATTGAGAATGAAGGCATCGAAGTCATAGCCACTGGAGAGGCAACGTGCTACCCATATAGGGCTACTGCAACACCAAGTGCACTTGACTTCGGGCTCTACAAGGGATTCAGACAGGAACAGCTGCGAATACGAAGCCTCCTTGACCTGACGTCGGATCACCTCCCATTACTGATTGAGCTCGAGGAGACTCCCAAGTGGGAAGTTGGAATCCGCAAAATGCTCCCGCCGCGCTCTAACTTGGGAGTATACCGGGCCTGCCTCGAGGACACATTAGAGCTCAACGTCACCATAAATACGGCAAGTGAACTGGAGAGCTACGTTGACCACCTCACAGCGAAAATTACGGAAGCTGCTAGACGTGCAGCCCCGCAAACCCTGCCTCACTCTCGTACCTTCAGAAGGTCCCTACTAAGCCCTGAAGCCAGGAGTCTCCTTGCCGACAAAAGACGTCTAAGGAGGCTGTACATCCGCAACGGAGACCTCTCTACCAAGGCAGAAATGGTAAGCGCGTCCAACCGGCTCAGACGACTGCTGGCTAGGACTCGAACGGAAAATCTAGACAGCTTCCTCGAAACAACTGGGCATGACGGCAACAGCACCTTTTCAGTGTGGAAGCTCACCAGAAGCATTAAGAGGCAACCAGTTTTTACCTCCCCGATCACGGACCACTCTGGCCTCTGGCTCCGATCGGACGAGGAAAAGGCCAACGCGTTTGCTGACTACTTGGAGACAACCTTCAAGCCATTCGACTTCGCAGATGTTGCACAGCGCCGTAAAGTAGCCGAGTCACTGGACGCTCCACTGCAGATGGCTCTCCCGATAAGAAGCATCTCCCCCGCGGAAATCGGGACACAGCTGAAAATGCTTGAGCTAAAGAAGACCCCAGGATGCGACGAAATCGACAACAGAGCAGCTAAGGCTCTCCCACGCAAAGGAGTCATGGCGCTCGCCACAATTTTCAACTCCATGCTCCGCCTTGGCCACTTTCCGAAGCAATGGAAACATGCGAAAATTGTGATGATCGCCAAACCCGGCAAGCCGCTAACTCAACTTGAGTCATACCGCCCTATAAGCCTTCTGCCGACGCTCTCAAAAGTCTTTGAGCGACTTCTGCTAAGCCGTCTCTTAGAACTCGACGAGGTCACGCGCCTGGTCCCGGATCATCAGTTTGGCTTCAGAAAGTCTCACGGCTGCCCCGAGCAGGTCCACCGGGCAGTAAAACACGTACTAGAAGCTTTTGAGCAGAAGCAATACTGCGTCGGCGTTTTCCTCGATGTCAAACAAGCGTTTGACAAGGTCTGGCACGATGGTCTTCTGTTCAAGATCAAACTGATACTCCCAGCGCCATACTTCAGCATCCTTAGCTCCTTTCTGGCAGGACGCACCTTTAAAGTGGCCGTTAAAGACCAAAGGTCGGCAATTAAGGGCATCAGAGCAGGTGTCCCACAAGGCAGCGTCCTCGGTCCGATGCTGTACACGCTGTATACGGCGGACCTGCCCACACAAGGACAAAGCAATGAAGACCTCAGCCCTGCGAGACTGCTGGTGGCAACATATGCGGACGACACTGCCTTCCTAGCCTCCCACAAAAATCTGCAAGCTGCTACAAGTGCAGTGCAGGACTGGCTGCTGCAGATCGAAACCTGGACAGCTATGTGGAACATCGCTATAAACTGTGCCAAGTCCGCCTGCGTCACTTTTACGCTGCGCCCATACAGCTGCCAGGGGCTACGGTTCGATGGACGAACCATTGAGCAGACCAACTCTTTCTGCTACTTGGGTGTCCACCTGGATCGAAGGCTCATATGGGGGCCTCACATCGCAGCAACGAGAGCAAAATGCCTGAGAAGACTTCAAAAGCTCGATTGGCTACTAAAGCCTCAAAGCAAGCTGCACATATCCACGAAGACACTGCTTATCAAAACGATGGTAACGCCTATCTGGACATATGCGATCCAAGTTGGGGCACGGCATCTATAATTTACAGTGTATCAGGATAAACTTCAAAACCGAAATCGAAACAATCGTAAGCCCAAAATTGATGCAGATGTCAAAGCTATGATCAGGCGTAATTTCACCCACGAATATGATTTCTACTATTTCTGCAAACAGCGTCTCTTTAAGCAATACATTGCTCTGAAGCGTACAGAGCTGGAACGTCTCAATTTAACATAGACTTCTCTCGTTTGAGCAACATCTCAACAAATCCAAAGTTATCTACAATTAAATATTAGTTGCTTAAGCGTACATATTTAAAGGTGTATTAATAAAATACTTTCCTCTAAAATTCCTAAATATTGATGAGAGCAATAGTGTTAAGAGATATCATATGTAGGGTTGCGAACCCCATAAAAATGGCCTTCTGCCTTGAGGCATCTCGTTCATATTTTCAATGAAAAGTATAGGCTTAATTCGACAACTACTTAATAATGGAAATACCAAATAGAATTAGATAAATTCAGAACCTATTTTGCCGTCTTGAATGTTTTAGTTCTCTGAGCCTAGAGTCCAGTCACTTGAACTGCAATCACGTTCACAGTTTCAGACAACATTATTTGTGACTCATCCTAGCATAATCACAATCCTTTGCGTGTTATCGATCACAATTCTAGCTACAATATGCCAAATGAAAACCTTCTTAGCTGGTCAATGTAACCACATTGCGCTTAAACAATACACGCCGTTCCCGCCTCCAAGTAGTCTTCTTTAATCGTCCAACCCGCGTGTGTACCGAGCAACTGGTTCCGCTCTTGCGGCTTCTAGCGGATCATAACGATCTGAACCTGGTGCTAAATGGGCCGGTGCGGAGTATTAGCCGCATTCGCACGGCCGAGGAGGAGGGAATTGAAGTCCAGTGGGTGAGCCAGCTGGAGAAGGACACACTTTACATAGCGCACGGCAACTGGATAAACTTTACGCAATATGGAGAACACAAACCCATCTATATATCGCTGGTGCGGGATCCAGTAGAGCGCATGATACAGAACTTCTATGAGCAACGCACTAGACAGAAACTGATCGTAAGTCGTAACATCTACCCGGGCTATCCACAGCGAACAAATGCCTGGTATAAGCAGACCTTTAATGAGTGTGTGCGCAGTGGCAGTTCAGAGTGTCAATATATCAAATATTCAATCGAAGATGCCGTGGAGGATTTCAAGAGACAATCCCTGTTCTTTTGCGGCAATCATGAGGATTGTTTGTAAGTAGAGTAAAGCTTTAGATATGCCTTTTTGTCGGAATGCAGCAAATACTTCCCAACTGTAGGCCCTTCAATACGCATCGGGCAGTGCAGGTGGCCAAGCGCAATGTTGAAAAGGAATACTCCGTTGTGGGCACGTGGGAGCAACCAAACGTTACCCTGACAGTGTTGGAAAGATACATTCCGCGGTATTTCAATCATGCTCCATATCTGCACAACTGTAGGTTACCCATCCTTTATTCCCATCCCAGTTCCAGCTTTATTCTATCCTCTTTTTACAGTGCACAAACACAGCTACAGTAAACACAATCGCCAATATGCAATCGATGCCGATGTTAGGGCTATGGTAAGGCGAAATTTTACCCGGGAATATGATTTCTACTATTTCTGCAAGCAGCGTCTATATAAACAATATTTGGCACTGCAGCTGGAGCAGATTATCGCTTGATTCGAAACTCAAACGGAGGATCACAAGTGAAATCCCAAAGTGTACCAAAATTGCATTTATAATAAATATGTCTTTTAACAATATATCAAGCTGTTTTCTTTAAATGTCAGATGAATCTTCCCTTGTTGCATTTTAATACAAAAAGTTAACGCTTTGTGAGCTCTTAAAAGTGTGTGTAGTTGGTATGTCCAGAGTTCTAGAAATTTGACTCTATTGCATAGAGGAATTATATCCTCTTGAAATGATTTCCCACAGAACACCAATTAAATATCAAACACCAAGGAATGTAAGGTAACTATGGATTATGCTGATGTGGAATGACACAGAAGTTAGGAAACACTCCCCGATTATTATAAAATACACTTCCTAATGCAAGCATTTCTAATGTCAGATGTCATCGCTTAATGTACGGGAGCTGAACAATACACGAAAGGCTCAAATGGAGCTGGTCTTCTTCAATCGAGTGCCGAAAGTGGGCAGTCAGACGTTTATGGAGCTGCTTCGTCGTCTCTCGGAGCGCAATAATTTTCAGTTTCATCGCGACGCTGTCCAAAAGGTGGAAACCATTCGTCTGGCTGAGGATCAGCAACAGGAGATGGCCGAAGTAATCAGTGAGCTACCAGAGCCCTCAGTATTCATAAAGCATGTCTGCTTCACGAACTTCACCAAATTCAATTTGCCGACGCCCATTTATCTGAATGTGGTGCGGGATCCCGTGGAGCGTGTAATTAGTTGGTTCTATTATGTGCGTGCTCCCTGGTACTTTGTGGAACGCAAGGCCGCCTTTCCAGATCTTCCCCTGCCGCATCCAGCCTGGCTCAAAAAGGACTTTGAGACGTGCGTCCTTAGCGGCGACCAGGAGTGCACCTACACACAGGGCGTCACAGTTGAGGGCATTGGCGATCATCGCCGTCAGAGCTTGTTCTTCTGCGGACATGATTATGAGTGCACGTAAGCTCTGCAGATCTGAACTCACAAGCTGTTTCGATTTAATAAGAATTGATTTCTTTAACAGTCCCTTTAATACTGTAGGCGCCTTGGAGCGCGCCAAGTTTGCCGTGGAGCAACAATATGCGGTAGTTGGAGTACTGGAAGATTTTAATACAACACTCTCAGTGCTGGAAAAATATGTGCCACGTTTCTTTGAGGGCGTGCGAGATATCTATGCAAGTAAGAAAATTAAAAAAAGGAAAAATATTAATTTCTTTTGAATTTATCTCTATACAAATGTATTCCTTTTGTTATTACCAGCCAGCGCCGAGTATCTGACCAAGATCAACAAAAACAACTTTAAGCCACCGGTCAGCGAGCATGTCAAGGATATTGTGCGTCGCAATTTTACCAATGAAATCGAATTCTATCAGTTCTGTCGCCAGCGACTGCATAAACAATATCTGGCCGCCCATTTGCCGCAGAGGATTATAACAGCGCATCCGGCGGCAATGGGGCGCAATTAAGTCTCCCCTATTGTTCGAAATTGTGTTAAACATTTGTATAAAATATAATCGATCCTGTAGTCAACTGGGCTACACCCTCCTCCATTCAATCCACACATATTGTAGTTAATAATTGTTTATCATTGTGTATATTTCAAATTGGTTATACAAGTTATTCATATGTTTATTAAATATATAATAACATATACATATTTATATTGTTTAGTTAGTGATTATAAAAAATGCATTCGAATTGTGATGTCTTCAAGTGAACTGTTGAAATTTTATGTTTTTAAATACCTAATTTTAACTAGAATTAAGAATTTTAAGCTCACAAACTGTAAAAATAATAAACGCTATCGTAAGATCTATGCACTTGGTATTTTCAAAGACATGAGAGAATTGCGACTTATGATAATAAGTAAAATCTCATAACAGAATGTTGAGCAATCAATTAACGTAAATAACTATTTTATATACATTTGTTGCAATTGCAACACGTAAAAGTTCTGATGTGTAGTAGAAATATTAAATCATAATTGTCTATTGACTATGGACTCAGTATTTAGTTCTCAATATTTTTTACACGTTTTCCTATATTAGCATATGGAATTCGTTAAGAGAAGTTGACTTCTGATCTTACCTAATGATAAACCTCTTATGCATATCTGGCCCACAAAGTTAACCCTCTGACATTTTCAAATATATTTATCACACAAACAGAAAACCAAATATGATATAAATTTTCATGAAAAATTAATGATATGACAAAGCAAGCAGTATATATTGTAATAATTTACTACAATAAAATATCTGCGTTGGGGAACTTGGAAATGCTTTAATTTAAAAAATTAATGCATTTCAAGTCGACTCGAAGTTCATTTTAAAAAATGAACCCATTGCGATTGCAATGGCCTCCTCGTGGTGTTCCCTGGGTACCGAATATGCATCTCGGTAGCTAATTCGAGCGGCGACTCTCAATAGGTAAAATATTAGATCTATTCGCTTATTGGCGTGGATCTACTATTTTATAACTTGTTACTATTTGAAATAAAAAGGTTTTTCACATTTATTCATTTATTTATTTATCTAAATTCTTTTACTGGGACATCATAAAAGTAGACAAAAATGTTATACAAGCTTTTGGTAAAATATATTATATATATTACTTAATATTACATTTTTTTTAAATTAAGAAAAATCGCTTCAAGCGGTGCTAATCTCAGTAACAAAAGTTATAACTTATAGCTTCGGGTAGCATCAGTTGTTTATTTTTCAACATGATCCTTGGCAGCATATAGAGTTTACATTTCCCTGAGTCTTATTGCTATGTCTAAGGTTATGTCTTTCCAGATGGGTTAACAAAAATGGTTTTCAATTTATTATTTAAAAATTGATGTGAAGCAAGAGAAACTTGATTACGTGCATAATCTGAAGAACTAAATCTAGAAAATAAACAAACGAGTAAAACATTTAACATGAATTGTACTGAATACTAAAATATAATGTGAGTAACAGTTATTGAACAAAATTGGGCGAATACAAATAAGTTTTTTGAAGACTGACGACCTTCAAATCCAACGCTACAGCAACTTATAGCATGCTGTGATTAGAGTCGGCGTAGTTGATCGATCAACCTTGCGCTTCTTACTGTGAGGAGGGATTGCAAAAATTGATAACATTAGTAGTTGCCTTGTTTAAATGACTCAAACCTACCTCTTATCACCATACAGTGGATAGAACTTATCAGGTTTCATGTCAACACCCGGGCCAACCTTAATTCGTTTTACGCATACATAAGCCGGATTCTCATCATCGCAGGCATTTGTCTCAACCCAGCGCTCTGGAGAGCGCAGGTGGGCCGTCACGGGATCGCAGTCAATCATCTGCAATACACGCTCGTCGTATAAGCCCAACCATTCCTTTGAGTCAGCCCTCACGCTGATCAGATGCGGCTTACAACGTCGCACAATCTTACACAAGATTTGATCATAAGCCAGAGCCTTGGGTAGCTGATAAGCGCCAATATGAAGCCGCCAGCGGGCCACATATAATTTGTATATAAGATGATAGTCATCATAGCGGTACTGAATACACTGGCCATCCGGCGAAACGCGAGCCTTGAGAAATACATCATCAAATTGCATCTCATCCTCACTCAGCAGATTTAGTCGTTTATTGTCGCGCCGTAGATAATCCCACTTGTCCACATCGAGACCATTGCGACTGTTATGCACAATATCAAAAATGTAGCCATGTCCCATCATTGGATAAGTCAACAGCTCACTTTTGCCAAGTATCAGCGCTTTGATTAGCTGCACACCACGTCCATTGTTGTCGTCGCGAAGTGTGCGCAATTTCTTGCTCTTCATGTCGCCAAAGATTTTATCCACGCAGACCAATCCGTTTTGCTCATGCTAGGTGCAAATGAAAAGTAAATCAATTATAATATAATATTGTATGCGAGCAGCAACTCACATCGAAGCTTTCGCCACAAACTTGTTCCCAGTAATGCGAAAATGGACCATGTCCAACATCATGAAGCAGCGCTGCAATTTCCACCGCCTCTCGGCACCATTCCGGCAATTCCCGATCATAATTTGAATTACGCTTTAAGGCATTCAGTAGATCTTTCGCGCTCCTGTATGTTCTGCAATTTAGCTTCAGTTAATACGTTTTTTTTTTATAAAAGAGGATATTTCTTACCCTATGCAGTGATCATAGCGAGTGTGTGTGGCCTCCGGCTTGGCAGTCACCGAGAGCAGTCCCAGTTGTTGAACTTTTTTTAGACGCTGGAACAGGGCATGATTCACTACCTCCTCGATGTGGCTTGGAATTTCAATAACTCCATGAACTTCATCCTCGATGAGCATCTAAAAGAGCAAGAATATTTTCTTATCAGTTGAATGGCAACTTATTAATATCACTAGCTCAGTATTGATTGAGAATTGATTGCTAAAAATAGAAACTTTGCTTATATTCTTGGACACATATGTGTCGCCTCGACAAGCAAATGAGAACTGAAAAATGCAACTGACGAAACCAAGATTTTTTACTGGCTAGACAATTTGCTCATGAAATACATTATAGAAATTGTGTATGCTCGCCGCATGAGAGGTTCAAGTGGTTTTACAAAGTACCCAATTTCAACACAAAGCATTCATGGCCATGCAGCGTGCATGCGTCTATATGGATAAACATTTGAAATTCGATTTTGGAACACAATAGACCTGAAAGAGTTAAACGCAAAAGAGAGTAATGAGCTCACATGCAACTAAACTAAATGTGAAAACTTCACAAAGCCTGTTCCGTAACATACAGAGTGATAGCTGCGATATGCCCGACTGCATAGAATGCAACTGGAGGGGATCATCAGCTGTTCTCCCAGCTAGACACGGTTTCCATGACAACCAAATTGTTGGGTTGGATTCTGATTGAGATTGGTGGGCATGCCTAAGCATTAAATTAATAATAAAAAAAGCGCACTTACATGTGGCACTGCTGCTGCCGCATCGCTGCTCGACTGCTGCTGTCGCAATTGAAGCTGCTGCTGCTGAATTGAAAGAGTAGGCAGCTCCGTACCCTGCTGCGACAGGGAACTGCAATCACACAACAAACTGGCTGACATCTGAAATATCTGACTACGCCGTCGCTTCTGTTGGCATTTGCAATGGAACAGAAGAGCGAGGCGGCGATAACGCAACAGAAGAAACGTTTTGTATGTATTGTATTGCGTTTTATTTTACCAGTCACATTTGTAAACAAATATAAAAATTATGTCAACGGGAGCACAGTCGACGTCAGACCAAGTCAGCTGTTTGCTGTAAGCTTGGTCAGGGCTGCCAAGCAACGCGTTTACTTATCGCCAGGGCTGCACTGCATCTGCGCAGAAAAAGCTTATTAACTTTTTAGTTCACATTCAAAACTTTTAATACTTTAAACAATAACACAAAAATTTCAAGAAGGGAAATCAAATTTTTTTCTTCTAATTTATATTGGAGCAAAATTACCACAACAGTTCAAAAGTATGCCACAGTTTATTTTGGGTATTATTGCCTGAAGTAGGCAACACTAGTATACATAAAAAAGTAGCAATATTTTCAATTTATCCAACCAAGGATTTTATTTTTTTTAATTTATTTATAAAAAAAAACTACAAGACAATTTCAGGCATTGGTAATTTGCTATAAACGTTTAAGAGAAAATAATGGCTTTGTGTGCCAGCTACATACATGAGTCAAAATATAATTTAAACTCCTAAAGTAAATAACATCAGCTCCAACAGTATTGAGTATAAGAGTATTGAGTAGAATATAAGCACGGCAAATTTCTAAACAAATTATATCCAAATCAATGTCACGCGCTTTATCAAAGCAATTTTTATTTAAACCGGCTCATAGACACAATTGCCCGCCAAGGGGTCGTGAAAGGAGGCGGTCAACATAGAATAGGTTTTCTCAGAGAGCGCCGCCGCATTCAATTGAAAGCGAAAGTACCTTTTGACCTACAGCTGAAAGTGTAACAGAAGAGCGAATTATCCAAAGAGCACGAAATAAGCAAAGAGACATATAAAGAGAACGGAGAGAGAGAGAGATATGCACAGCATAGCGGTACGGTTCGTTCACATGATTGTTTAGATAATTTTGAATTACGTTTGAATACAATGCCCATTCCAGCACACACAAAAATACATACATACGTATACCTGCATCTACTTTTACATATATTGCACAGGCTTGTGTGTATATATAAACTGTAATTGCAATATTGCAGCAAGCAGGCCAAATGCGGTCAACGCACCTTTTAGATAAGAGAGAGAGAGCAAAGAATATTCAAGGCATAAAATACTATACGTGTACGGATGTACTTATGTACTTACATACAAACATATGCAGGCATACATAATTGTATCATATGTACACAATAAAGCATAGACAAACTGGCAGCTGGTAAAAATAACAAATAGCTTCATGTGCAAATTAAAAACAAACTGAAAACTATACAAAGCAATGAATAATGCCTTTAGCAAACATTAAACAAAACAAAAACATTTAAAAATAAGGTAAAAAAAACGCCGGCTCCACACTTGACTGAGTGGAGCGAGATAAAGAGGTTACAGAGAAAAAGAGCGAGGCACAGAGAGAAGCACATAGCGTTACAGTGGGACGAGAATAATTGGCATAGCCTCATCTCGACATCACAATATGGTGAGGAAAATGGACTAAAAAACAAATGGAGGTGTGAATAAGCTTCAGTGATAATATATTCCTGCAGGTATGTCGATCCTTCTTGTATCGGAATTTTATTTAGAATATAGTTCAAATCGTACTTTCAGGCAGTTAGTTTTTATGAAAGCCAAAGAAACTTAAAGCTTTAATATTTCTTAAATTTCAACATTTGAATAATATTAACCAACACATTACAATCTTTAATTCCGTTCGTTTTTAGATAAACTTTCAGACCACTGTGCATTATTAAAGCATATTGGATGCTCTCTCCCTCTCTCAGAACACGCAACACCACCCAAGCCCGCCCACTGTACCAGCGGAGAGACGATAAAGAATAGAGAAAAGTGAGAGTTTTAGGCATGCCGCAATGCTTGCAACCTACTTGAAACCTTCGTCAGTTGCCACACGACAGGACAGCTGCACGGGCAGGCCGAACTGGAAGCGTAACGCAATGCAGCAAAGTTATAGATTACTGGAAAGCAATCCGTGAGTTGAAGAGTATCTGAAAGATACACTCGCAGTAGCAGCTAGTAATGCCAAATTAATAATAATTAAAGCGCAGCGTGCGATCTACCGGGCAGCTGTTTGCTAACTCTCGTTCTCGCAGCGCTCTCAGAATGTGTTAATTCTCTTTGCGAAAAGTGCTCGTATCTTTGTATCTGTATCTGAACACGGCCCATGCCATTGCGTACTCTCAGCAGCGTACCCCGCCGCCAGTGGGCGAAAGACGCAACTGCCGACTGTCGACTGCTGTGAGCTGCTACGACCTTGCAATGCCCTTGAATGGCACTCTTATTGCGACCAAGTCGCCGTTGTTGCCACTACAACTGGCGGTGCTGCCACGGCTGCCACGACGAGCGCTGGCAAAATACAGAAATGGATTTAAATTGAAATTGAAATTTTGTATATCGTATTTGGTGTGAGCTATTGTAACTCGCCGTGCTTGCCATCACCACGAACAGAACCGACGGTGCAGCTCCTTTTTTTACAATTTTAACTTAACCCAAGCGTCGCGTGTGTGAACCAGAGCGCCGCATAAATACCAAAAATAAAGTCAAATAAAATGAAAACATCCTAAACATATCGCCTTGGAGACAGTGCACAATATAACTTCCTTGTTAAAAGTGTTATCCAAGCAACTAGCGCCATCTGTGGGCCCGAACCGTGTTTTTGCCGAGAGTGTGTGCGTGTCTGTGCACTAAAAGTGAAAGTTCAGGCAAACGAAATCCTTCGTTAGCCCCATTCGCTGGGTCACTTCCTTGGCACAGTTTTAAGGCGGAGGTGTCTACGTATATAACGATACCGAAGCACGCAATACATAGCCAAACATATACTGACGACTTCCACACTATATATACCAGATATATGCGCGTGTATATATACGCTATATATATGTGCCATATTTATGCGACAGCTTTGACAACTCATAATTTTTATTGCTCCATAAACGGGCAGGCCAAGAACTTGGAAATAAAAAAGGAAACCCATTGGAACTAATCAACTTTTAGGCAGGTTGGTATTATTTATAATCATAACAGAACAATCGCAATATGCACGCATATTCACATAATTATCGCATGTTTTATATAAATATTTTGAGTGTGTGTAGTTTTTTTGTTTTACCACAAGTTGGCAACAACCGAATTGTTGTAGTATAATAATACATAATTATAAACTAGTACCTGGAGTATACTTTGACATTGAACTTTTTAATGAGGGATCGAATGTGCTTACAAGTGGAACATTATTTGCAATTATTAAAATGGTTTTGTGGAGTGTGACATAATCAATCGAACGTAGATACTACACTGTTTAATTAGCAAACAGAATTTCTTTTTTAAGCATATATTCTTTAATTAATATGTTAATTGGCTTTGAAGAAGTCTTAACAATTTGCCAGATGCAGACATGGACAGTCAACTCCTTAAAACAAAAAAAACTTACTTTTATCCATTTATCTAACAACCTATCTAATGGCAAACGCAAACAAAGGCGAACTGGCCTTTGTCAATACCTTTTGCAAATACTTAGGGCCTGCTGTCCCGCCAGGCTTCAATCATAGCCCATTAAAATCAAAACACAAGCTGTAAGTGAAGCCAATGGAAAGCGAAAGCATGTGAAAATCGAAAGTATCTGTGTCTGTATTTGTATCTGTATCTGTATGTGTCTCTGTCTGCTCCAAAACGGCACAAGCGATTTTCGCATTGTTGTTGTTGCTGTTGCTGTTGTTATTATTATTATTGTGGCGGTGCTTGGCTTTGTTTGCTTTTGACATTTCGTTGGGTAGCAATGTCATACAAATATAAATAAAATACACGCGCTTCCCCATCAAAAGAACCACCCACACCAAACACGCACTGACCGCGGCGCACACAGCAATGTATCTGAGAGATACTTGACTACTTAGAGCTATCCATAGACAAAACTCGACATAGAGCAGGGCGCGTGTGAGCCACATAATCTATTGATTGTTTTACCCACCCAAAAATTCACCGACAATCGATTGGGAACCTGCCAAAGTCTCCACCGCTCCATCGCTCCACCACTTCTGCTCCTCAATTATGTCGCAACCGACGACGCAAAAAAAAAGAAATGCCGCATGTTACGTGCGACTGTCAATTTGGCTAATTCGCCATATTAAAAAATATATTAATATATGTTCTGGTTTATTTATAAAATAAATATCATTCAGCACGAACACAGTCAGCTGTTGTGGCTTGTAGAAAAATTTTGGCCAATATTTTAATGTGGGTGGCACATAAGTGAAACAGCAAATAGAAAATTAAACTAAAGTAGGGAAGTTTATATGTATATAAGCACAGGAAGATATACATACATATTTACCTATATATGCAGACCGAACAAATAATTATGCAAGAGCATGTGAATATAATTGAAGGCCGAAAGTCAAATTTTTAATAAATTAGTTCAGGTCTGTGCTCAGAGCACACAATTTTCTAACTATGCGCGAAATTTCACATTCATTCCATTATTTTCACCTTCTGTACTTTATATTTGTCTGCTTACGGCTTAATTTCCGCCAGTACCGCAATTGGGTAAACTTAACCGATTAGTACGCGTCCATAAAAAGTTATCTCTTTAATCCCTTGTTACTGTTATCAATTTGCTGAAAGCATAACTAAATAGTAGCAGTAGCTAATCTGTTTACTGATAAGGATTCAATAACCGAGCCCTACCCGAACCTAATTACCGGAACCTTTGGATAATATATTATCTCAATCACAGCGGGAAATAGTTCAGTGGAAGGGGCTCAAATGACAAACATTATTATCGCTGATAAGCCACATCCGTATCATAATTACTAAGGGTAGTGCAGAAGATATTGGCAAACAGTTGCTACAGTAGCCAATTGTTGCATATCTAAACGAGTTGGTGATAGCACTTCGAAGTAAGGGAGACGAAATACCCTGGAAAAACTATAGTTGATCAATTCAATTTGATTTATTTCATTTCATAGGTAATTGGGGACTCCTAACAATCCTTAGATTCCTTGCAGGATTCAGAAGGAACTTCTATTCAGTTTTAAATATTGTCTATTTCAAATATTGAACATTCTTGAATGTTCTTGAGCAGCTTCCCAGCACGTGTGAGCGTTAGCAAACACAAAGACTCACCTGACTAGCGGGTAGACCTGCTCAATAGTAAGCACATATTTACTCTATAATAAAACTGTAGCAGAGTTGATCATCATGGCATTATGCCCTTTCTCTCTCCCTCTTTCTCTGAGGGTAGTAGACAGCGACGTCGCTGATCACGAGCATTTCTCTATGCAAGCGGCTGTCCGACAATGGGAGAGGTACTCTGCGGGCAGAGGGTCGGGCATCTGTCGCTGCAGTTGTCTTACCTTTGGGATGCGGCGATTACGATTACCCACACAGGCCCAGCACCACAAATGCACAGATACAGTTACAGCTACAGCAACAGCAACAGCTTCAGCTACAGCTACAGCCACAGCTACAGCTACAGTTACAGATGCAGATGCACACACAGGCCACAGACACATCACAGTTGATCAGTGACAGGCCAGACGCTGGCGGTGCGATTTGCTGCGCTTCGATTTAGCTGCCTTATCAATCAGCGCAAGTTCGTTTAATGCCAAAAAAAAAAAAGAAAAAAAAAAACGAAAATCGTATTCAGTGCATGCTCATCACAGTACCATCGCAGACGTGGTGCAGTCGCAGTCCGGGTCCGTGAAGTTCGTTTTCGCCAGTTAATAACGTGCCCATAAAGTATATATTAAGGTTTGTGTCCGAAAGCGATCTGGGAACGGGTTACCAAGCGATCCGGCAGCAGTTGGCGTTATGTGAGTAAGAGAGGAATATCGTTCCGTTCGGTTCGGGCTCGATTCGGTTCAGTTCAATTTGGGTCATAAACTGCGCTCTGTTTTCAAATGATTGCTAAAAATAAATGCAACTTGTTATCAACGCTCACAATCGAAACGCCGGCGCGGCATGATTAACTGCGCCCCCGCACCCTTGAAGTCATGTCAGTGACAGGTGAACTCGAAACATACTCAATGCTAAAATAGTATATCTGATATGATATCTCCATTAATACTGCCACAAACTGCAACAAATAAATACAAATGGCGTCCCATTAAAAGACCTTGACAGTGGGAGAATACCTAATTACCTGCCTTTCTTAGCGGTTCCGTCAGGAAATTGAACAACTAAGATCCGGGTTCGAATTCCTGGCTAGTGTGTGCAAGTAGCATGGTCTTGGCCGAAGGCCATGCATGGTCAATACTATTCGAAACTGATGTTAATAAATTGCAACTATATCCTATAATCACAATTACAGTATTAATATTAAAACTAACAACTACAAAAATAACAATAATATTGATAATGTTAACAATGCAAAAAATATTTATAATAATATTACAATTATAATAACATATTGTGGATTTTCAAAGAAGCACAAGTTAAAAAGGAATGTATTTAAGATGATATAGAATAAATGAGGATAATCCTATGCAGCTCCTCTTCAGCTGGGAAGCACTCACATACATTTTGCTTGATAATCATCAATGGCAGTCTGAAACGAGCTTAATTTAAACAAGAGAAATACAAGTAATAATAGCTAATGTCGCGAAACTTAGAAGACTTTTAATCAGACCTAAAATATCTACGCACTTTGCTAAAGCACTCTTAATTTCAGTACTGGCAACTTATTACAGAGACGTATTAGATTATATATGTGTATTTGTATATATACTGTTATACACACATGCCTCAGACATGCCAGCCAGAGTCGAAATATGTTAAATAGTTGTCTACTCAGACATCATATATAGGTTATATATAGAAAGAGCTATTTATATGTATACAAAATCAAGCAAATACAAATTGCATTATCATCCTTGAGTAGCACACATGTAACACACCTGAGCGGGCCACAAATTTTGTAAAATAATTGTTAACATTTTAAAATTAGTTCTATTAGTCAAAAGAAGTTAATTATGCCGAAAATAGGGGGAAAATGCACAATGTGTTAAGCTCAGAAAATAGACAGCTGCACGTGAAGCAGTTGAAAATGTTTTTTTTTATTGCCAGCTTTAATATGTCCAGCCAAATAGGGCTGCTAAATTCAAAGTTTCGACTAATTATTAGCTGCAAATGAGATTTCAAATGAGATTTAAAGAAATATACCTAGTTGAGTTAATTTACCTTCAAGTTGTGTGCACTTTCTCGGTGTATATACTCATTTATTAGACTTGACCTTCGCTCGGGTAGCAATATGTCTTGCGACTTTAAATTGGCACCTCTCTTTTATAATTGGCCTGCCTGTCAGTTCAGCTTCTTTGACCACAAAATAAAGTTAACTAATCAAACATTATGCAAAGTTATTCTTGATTGTATGCGCTGCTAGAATGCCACTTTAGACACATAAACATCAATTGATCAACACGCCGCCGGGCCACACATTTGGCCCAATTTAATTCAATTAAGCTGCTTTTGGCTGGCACCAAAAACAGGCCTGAGAAGTATCTAACTATCTTTTGGACAGTGCGTGCCATCTCGACTCTCGTCGCAGATATACGCACTTGCAGGCCCGCGAACATTTTGAGCTAACTATCAAATAAAGCATAAATTCTGTGGAAAAGCACTATAAATTTTAATACCATGAGTTAAACAAAAAATATATATATATATATGTTAGAAAAGAGAAGAGATAAAGCAAAACGGAAATGTTCCTTTTGGAAAAAACATATGCGTTGTTCAATTTTTATTTTTGGCACATTTTTAGCAGTTTCTAAGTTTTGGATGATCTGCATTTAATTTATTTATAAAACGCCGACTCAATATATTGCCGTAGTATATGACTTTTATTGCTTTATATTATTTTTTAAAACGTTAATTTCGCTTTTAATATGACTTTTTGGTATACATAGAGTGACATAGACACACACTCAGTGTGTCTTTTCGCTTTCTATGCTAGTACATTGAACTTGGAAAATGATGAATATTGAAAAAGTAGCTGAGCAAAATCTAGTTAACTGACTGTGTTCATATTTTTTAATGTGTTCTTATTTTAATGTTTTCTATCTATTAATATCTCTTAAACGAATTTTCTGTCTTAATATATATTTGTATCTGTAACTTTTGAAAGCTATTTAACCATTTTTATGAACCAATTTATTTGAAATGATTTTACATAAATGTGTCGTTACTTTTGCTATATCTCTCCCTCTCCCTTTATCGCTCCCTCTCTCGCTTTCTATGGTGCACACTCTTTCCGCTTTCTTCCTTTGCATTTTCTCTATTTTGCGCGTCATCTGCTGCCGCCCAAAACGCATTTAGCCAATTGGCCCTGGTCCAAAAACAATTTTAATTTGTCTATATGAAAAAGGGACTAAAGCCAAGTGAATGGGACGCTTCTCCGAGCAATATCGGTGCAACGGCGTGTACTCGCAGTGGTAGCGCCGGGCAATATGCAGCCGCAGGTGGTGCAGGCTATGAATCACAAATATGTCAGAATGCCGTAAGCCTAAATAGAGCCCCCAGATAATACGTTTAGGTCTTTGATAATTGTGCAGTGCAGCAATAAGTATTTAAAACAGATCGCTTTTGACCTCCTTAATCGATCGATTGTCAGGGGCGGCCATCGTTTTATTTATTTACAATATCTCTCGCTGCCTTTGGCTAAGTTTTAAATTAATTTTTATTCTTCTACTGCTCAATTAAAGCTTCCTATGCAGGCTGCCAAAAAACAAAGAAAAAAAAAACCAAATAAAAGCTCACACGCAAAACGAAAAAAAAAATAGAAAAAATGTCGCAGATCACCGCAAAGTTCAAGGCCAATTAACAACGTCGCGATTGGTGCATGCTCTCCTCTTCTTTTGGGTTGGGCTATTTGAATTGGTTTACCATTTGGGGGCGTGTCCATATCCACCTGATCAGGCGAGCACGTGTCACAATTGAAAACCAATAAAATACAAACCACATGCCAATTGCATTTTGAAAACAATCCGCATAAGGAATTTGTCAATTCTCTTTGAGGCCTTTATTATTTAACCAATGGTGGGTTTGATCTGTTGTGAGGCACGTGCTATATCGAAAACAAATATTTGCCAATTGCTTCTTCAAAAGAAACAGCGATAAATTGATTAAAATTTATTTAATACAAATATGTAAAACTTTTGAAATTTAGATTTCATTAGCATGAAAGAACCTCTCACGCGTTAATCATATTATATAATGGATTGGATCACTGACAGCAAGTAAAATATATTTAATGAATAAAAATAAACAATTGATTGTGAATTACATATATGTATGAATGAACTGTGCAAAATGCCAAAAATGCACAAGTGCAAATGCCATCTGCTCGTAATACCCAAAATAGGCTATTTAAATTATTGACAGGCAGCTAAAAGTTTAATCGGTAGCCAAATGAAAAATGCTCTGCAAATTATAAAAAATAATTGCCAGCTGTTTTCTCAAAAAGAGAAAGTATAACATTTTGAGTAAATTTATTTGTTTACTTAAGAAAATCTTTGACTGTTTCTTAGTCTTAGGCAATAAACGAAAATAATATTGTGCTACACGTCATCCAAGTATATATATACATATTTTTACATATATATCTGTATATTTGTTTTGCAGCATCGTTGCAATTGCCGACTCGCAAATTGACGTGACGTAAATGAATGAGCCCGGCGATATACCATTGACACACAGTAGCACGCCGGACAACAGGCCGCCCTGCAGCATTATCTCAATAATACCAAACATAGGGATGTCATCATGCCGTGGACGTGCCGAGGCATTCGCGCGAAGTTTGTCCACAAAGCTGCGCACCTTGGGATCACAGGTGAGTTGCAAATACTTAATGCAAATCTGGCCGGGCTAATACATATGTGATATATATTTGATTTTCTTTAAATATCAATTTCTACTCAAATTAGAGTTTATTTCTGTTTATATTCATTTTATATGGCTGTATATCCAAAAGCAAAAGTTCTTTCGAGTCACGGTTTGTTCTTGATTCGAGCTTCAGCTTGAGATTCTCCCAACTTCTCCCAATTTGACATTTCAGTATTATTTATACAATTGCCCGATGCATTGAGAATATGTCATATATATACACATTTTCATAAGCAAGATAAGGGCTAGATTTGATCTGTACCCAACAATTTGAAACTATTTAACATGTTTGGATAAGTGCAATTGCTGCGCCCAAGCTATAGACTTACCCTAAATACTTTTTGATTAGCATAGCATTTACTTATTCCTATTATATTGATGCTTGGATCCAAGCAATCGTATTAGGAGCAGGACGAGAGTCGACTATAAATTTCTAAGGCATCAGTAGTTTTTCTGATTTCAAACTAGTCATACCGCATTAAAATATTTATACAAAAGCGAAAATGATTTTACTGCGCAAACAAGCACCGGAAATCAATTCGATTGCGGTCACATCAATGGGTGCATTCCGACCGATGACTCTTCACGAGTATCGGGGTAGATATGTGTTGCTACTCTTTTATCCGGCAAACTTTTCATTCGTGTGCCCAACGGAGCTGCAGGCATTTAGCGATCGCGCCCAGGAGTTTCGGAATATCGGCTGCGAGATCATTGGCTGTTCGACGGACAGTCACTTTGCGCACTGCGCCTGGATGATGCAACCACGTAAGATGGGTGGCCTCGGCGAGATTGACATTCCTCTGTGGTCAGATAAGTCCATGAAGGTTTCTCGCGACTATGGGATGTTGGACGAGAGCACTGGTCTGGCCCTTCGCGGCATGTATATTATCGATCGACTTGGCATCGTACGTCATATCTCGGTTAATGACGCGGGTGTGGGACGCAGTGTCGAGGAGGCGCTTCGCTTAGTTCAGGCCTTTCAATTTTCGGATGAATTTGGCGAGGTTTGCCCGGTTAACTGGCGACCGGGTGCAAAGGCCATGAAGCCGGATGTCGGTGGCAAAGAAGAGTACTTTAAAAACGCCAACTAAAAATATACATTTTATAGTATGATAAAGGAGTGCAAGTAGAATACACACACACACACTTAAACACGCTCAATAAATTGGATAATTAGCAAAATGCATAGGAGTTTTCAATCGTGTATATACTTTGTGGAAGGAGGTATTATCTTCATTTGAGAATTCAGCTTGGAACAGATCAATGTGAGACCAGAAAGAACAAACTTCTTTGGATTACGGAAGATTAAATGCCCTTTGAAAAATACAAAATTATGAAAAACAAATTACATGCTTTTATAAAAAATAGTTTTAACCAATTTTTCCTTGAATTCATATCCTTTTTTTTGAAATGCAGACCAACGAGGAGGGCGCCAATGCAGAGGATGAACCTATTATAAATGGCGGCAATACCAACACCTGGGTAAACGCACACGAATCGGAACAGACTGTCACCGATCTCCAGCCGCTGCGTCACGAGTCAGATTCATTTTTTGACTTCGACTGCGAGCTGGAATCGCCAGGCAGTCCAGTGGATGAGTGTGAGTACCTGCGTCTCATAGAAACCGCCTCGAATACGCCACACAACTCCACGGCCGAGTCTGGCTATGCTTGCGCATCGGCGGCAAGCAGTCACAGCAGCACAGATGGACCCTACTTTGATGCGGCAGCCGGCAGCAGCAGCAGCACAAGCAATGTGCCAAATGAGCTGCTGCTGGTCACCACACAGCCGCAGGCGGAGCGCAGCAAGTTGCCGGCAACGGAGCTCAAGGAATATATGAACACATTGCAAATAAATGGCACTCATGAGCCACTGACAAATGGTGATCAAGATGAGGCGACGGAGGAGGAGGAGGAGGAGGTGGTAGGCAAAGTGGAACCGAAACAGAAGGAACAAGCAAGGGAGAGCGAAGATGAGACGCTGCTGCAGGCACAAATACTAAGCGAACTGCAGCAGCACAGCGATAGCATCAAGAGCCCTGGCAACGGTTGCAGCCAGGAACAAACGGAGCAGGCGGCAGTTGAGGAGGCGGTGTTGGTTAATGGTCACGTTGATCAGCCAGAAGAGAAGCAGCAACAACTCGAAGTTGACAAGCTAGCTCAGACAACTACAGAGCAGGAACAGGCAGAGCAGGCGCCCGAGAGCGGTATAGATGAGGTAGACAAATGCACAGAGGGCATGCTAACTGTGGACGTGGGACTGGCACAATTGGAGCAGGCTCAACAGGATGTAACAGAGGCGGTTAACGAGGCGGAGAAACCCAGTCATGGCCATGGCATAGACACCACAGACGACGAGGACGACTGTCGGCCGCAACGCGTACGACGATGCTCCTCTTTGAAAACAGGCAAAACGCCGCCGGGTACGCCTGGACGCAAAAAGATTGTGCGCTTTGCCGACGTGCTTGGCTTGGATTTGGCGGATGTGAAAACATTTCTGGACGAAATACCAACCATACCGAAATCCGCGTTTGAGGATCTGGAAATACTTGAGTCAGAGCCACCACTGCAGCTTGGTCCCAAATCGGATAAGCTGTTGATGCCGCTGTTCCAGCAGCCGGGCGGACTGCCCACATTCCTCGATGCGGTGCGCGAGAAGCAGGTATCGCTGGAGAATGCCGCTGTCACCGATAGCATCAATCAGACAATCTCCGGCACGGTGCGTGTACGCAATCTGGACTTTCATAAATCAGTGCATGTGCGCTACTCGCTGGACGGCTGGCGCAGCTATGCGGATCTGCAGGCCAACTATGTGGAGAACTCCTGCGATGGCTTCTCCGACAAGTTCACGTTTGTGCTATTTGGCAATTCGCTGCATGTCGGACAACGTCTGGAGTTTGCCGTGCGCTTTCAGTGCAAGGGTCAACAGTTTTGGGATAGCAATTATGGCGCCAACTACTGCTTCCAATGCTTGCCCAGCTCGAATCACGTGGCATCGCCGGCGTCTGTGGTGAATAGCGCCGTGCAGTCGCATCATGGCAGCAATTTGGTCGGCATGCTAAGCCCCACGGCGGGCGATGCCTGGTGCAGTTCGTTCTACTAATATGTATATGTATCTATATATGTGTATATATATAAATATATATTTATATATGTATATATATATATGTATAGTTAGTAGCAGTTTGCGAGGGCACTCCGAGGAGGCAGTAGACGACGCGGACGCGGGTCGTTGCAGTCAATGCCAAAAGGCAGCGCGCCGTCAATGCCATTGAACGTCATTAACTGGTGTCGGCCTTGACGGCGTGTGCTGGGGCGTCTGCCACACCCAGAGATCAGAGATCAATACTATATAGAGAGAACGGTGCAATCCACCAAAACCCCAACCCCAAACCCACAGCCCAGCCCAGCCCAGCCCCTCCCTTGTACGTACATGTATGTAAGGCAAATGTTTATATTTTTATAGAGCGGAATAAAGTTATGCTGGAAACGAAGCAGAAGAAGGAGGACCAGAGGCAGCGGCTTCGATAACCAGGCGAATAAAGTAAAAAATAAGAGTGGCCCGAACAAAATACGATTAAACAGAGCCAGCAAAGTGCGAAAGAATCCCAATGATAGTTAATAGTCTTAAGTTATAAGAAGAGCAAGTGATAACTAATGATGATGATGATGATGATGATGATGATGATGATAATGATATAATGTTGATGATCAATGATTAATGATGCATAATGAACACTTTTTAATGTCTACTACAATTTTAATTTCTATAGTTCTCTTATATATACACAATATACATATTGGTTTATGCTTTGTTCAGGCATGTGAGGGGGACACTAATGTGGGGATTCACGTGAGAGAACGTATTAAGTTTCTCAAATCAGAATCTGTTTACTACCTGCTATTGTTCCAATATGCAACAAATAATCAACTTTGCTTTTCTAGTCAAACCAAGCTTTACCATAAGACTTTAAAAAAGGCTATATACATTAGCTATATACAAGGAGTAAACAGCCTAAGCCGAATCTCTTGCCAAACCTCGTTAGAAATGTGCCAATAGTTGCGCATTTACCTCCATGACACCAAATGCTTGCGAATTATATAGATTGCAACTGTTACAGAATTTCCTACCCCTACACGTACTGAACAATCGTTTTTGCTAGGCCAGAATTAATAATTATTATTTTGTTTTCGATCAAATGTTAATATTTTCTTTTTATTGTTTAATTTAATTTTTGTGTTATTTTTTTTTATTTAATTCGATTTATTTTACGATTTCGATATTTTCTTTATGTATATGTTGATGCATAATATTATATACATATAAACGATATACATACATACAGCATAATATATAAAATATACAAAATAAAAAAATATAAATTTTAGTTAAATTTTGTGGCTTGTTTTCGTTTTTAACTTTTTAGTTTAAGAATGAGGTTCATCAACAAACAAGGATTGGCGTTATCATACTTTATTATAATACTTGAAATAATATCTCGAGATATAACAATTGTCCAAAACTTCTGATCCACAACAATAGCATATAAAGTATATCAGGGAGAGCCAAAAACCTAACACTAAAGAATTAATTATTGAAAATAACGAAAACAAAACGCAGCTACCTCAGGGTTTTTCAATTGGAAAACTTCGTAAAAGTTAAACAACAAAATATATAAATAATGTTATATATGTTTATTGCATAGCAAACATGTAAAGATACCAACCTAATAAAAAACTAACTTTAAAAGTTACAAACTATTTATACAAACTATGACAGAATCTATGTAACAGCGAAAGATATAAATACCTTCGCATAAATGGTGTACTTTTCAAACGCCCCAGAGTAAAGCCCCATTAACTATTAGACTGAAGCGTGAGTATAGCAACAGCAGCCCCCAAAATCTTTTTGACCAGCATATATATAAATATATATGTTTGCTTATAAGATATGCCTAGAGAGTTCCAAGAAACTTAACCTTCTGGTACGGATTATTAATGTTTGTTTGTGTTACGGGGCAAAGCTAGCATGTTAAATGTCAAAACTATAAATATAAATAAATTACTTTTCCCAGTATAATTTTACTTTTACGTTTTGTGGGCGGAACATAATGCAACGGCAGTTGAAGGACATTTCGTATCCTAAAGGAATGCCTGCCTTGTAAACACAGCACCGCCATCTTCTTCAGGCGGTCATGGCGTTGCCACCTTATCAGACATGCGCGCTGTTTACCCTGCCATCACTCAAATTGTTTCCTTGCAAATGCTCAATGATACGATGAGTATTTGGCTAGATTTTTATACAAGTCAGCTTTTAGTTTCATCATAAAAAACGTTTATTTTTTATTTTTATTTATAACAAAGCGGATCTTATGAAAGTTTTTAAATTAGTTACTTATTCATATAAATACAAATACTTTTAAAAAATAATGTTCCTGCATGCAAAATTCTCTATTTCTGTAGTGTAAATAAAAGCATTCGGGGCAACAAATTCCCCCAGTTCATTATGAACTCTAGCTAAAATACCGGTTAGTCTTAAAAGTGTGTGTGAAATGTGAAACCAATAAGAACAAAAGAGCAATTACGAATTTGACAAACCGAGAAACTAACACTATAAACAATATACCAGCAACAATTAGCAAACTTCATCCTCCATGGTCGGCTCCTCATCATCTGGCTGCGAGACGCTGACCTCAGCGCAGTCGTCCTCGACGCTGTCCACAAAGCTGGAGACTCTGCAAACAATGAAACAAGCATTTTAATTGGAGTCTAATTTTTTACATGTGGCATGTGTCACTTTTCAAAATCGCATTGTGGCAGCAGCCCCTCGTCCTTGAAGTGGCCGGCTCCTCCGCCAAATCTAAGCAGCGTGCAGAGACGCAACAGAGCCAGAAGCAGCAGAAACATGCCAGCCACATAGCTCAGCCAAAGATTGTGGGGAAAGATTATCAGTGTCACGCCCATGGCGACATATATGGGCGTCGGCCGCCAACCACCCAGCAACGTGGACAAGCGCCAGCAGTCCAGACAGGAGGAGGAGTTGTGGTAATTATCGCTGAAAATTACAAATAAATAAATACATGTGCACATGCATTAAATTTATGTCCATCTTCTTCGGGCTGAGCAACTTACTCGCCGCATTGGAGCTGCAGAAATATGGTTATCAGCCATTTTAACTCAATGAACAGCACCAGCAAAGCTGAAAAACTGGCCAAGCATTAAAATTTTATGATCCACGACTAGCACAGTTTCAGAGCTTCTTACATTATAAAGAGGCCCGCCTGATAGCCATGCATGTAGACATCGACGCCCACTCCGCAGATAACTGAAATGAAAAATGACCACAAATTGGCTGTTGGATGCTCAAGAAATTGGTATTGGGCGGAGATGTGTTATGAGTTTTTCGTGCTCTAGAATATGCGTATTAAACAATATGGTATTGTGTCTACACAAATATTATTTCATACGGTCTTCGATAGGCCATAAAATATGCCAAAACGCAAATATCTAATCTAAGAAACATTGATGAGACAAAGCCGAATGTGCGAGGGTAGACAAAAATGTTTTGGGAGCTATGGAAGAGGATTTTTGATTATTTGATTTGATTTCATTTATTAATACTTTATTTATTGTTGAACACTTTAAATATTTTACCTATTCCTGAACAGTAAATAGTTTGTAGTCAAATTAAACCTTCTTTACTTAAGCATATCTATGCTATCCTCATCAGTCGCACACATTTCAGAACATCTTTGACTGCCCACTTTTAATAGCATATGTATAATATTCTAATATTCTAACCAAATTATGCCTAGAAGCATATAATTTCATTGTGTAAAATATGACTAAGACTACAGCAACAACAACATAAACAAAAAGATGCCAAACAAAAACAAGAAATGCGAAAATCTGCCGAAAATTCAATCTAATTAAGTTGTTATTGTATGCGCCGGGAAAACAAATTCGATTAGACTGCAGATAAAAGGCAAATGAGGTTAGACCAAAATCCACAACAAAAACCAAAACCAAACCAATTACATTAAACGCTTCGAGAACCAAAAAAAAAAAGTCGATGAAACGTGCGTCCAGAGAAAATCAAATAAAAACTAGGCAAAAATTATGCGCTGCTCTCTGGACGATTAAGAAGAGGCAGGGGCATCCCAGCTAAACTTTTCTGTTTATTTTTTTTTTTCGTCGCCATATTATGGAGGAGGGTTTTCAGTAAACCGACTGGCGCCAGAAAGCCAACAACAAAAATCATTGTATAGGGGGCAAACACTATAAAGGGATGCACTTGGCAGAGATGTGCAAGTGCAGCTGCAAAAAAGGGCCAATGCCTCATTAATGGCCCTGAGAGAGCATTCTTTTTTATCAGATTTTTGAGCATCACGCAGCGTTGAGGTTTATGAACTGTGAGTTCTTCCGGCCTGCATGCATAATGCAGACCCAGACTGTGTCTAAACAAAAACAATATGCTTGCGACATAATTTTGAACTTGACCCAAGTTGTAGCTGCTGCTGCTGCTGATGCCGCGGACTTAAGCAGCGCTCATTTATCATTTGTCCCAGTTGGGACTAGTCAGGCCCGCTTAAAGACTGTTGCTCTATTGAAAGCTGCTATTAGAAGTGCATTAGACGAGGCACTGGGCAGCCAGAGAGCCTCGGATACAGATGATACTCATGGGAGTGACGGCATGACAAGCGGCAAAGCTAAATTTAATAAATGTAGCATATGCAAAAGTGTTTGGGGCAGATTGTGAATTGCATTCGAATGGGGAATAGATGAAGTGGTCGCATGTTGCATACAACGCGCTTCTTCTTGCTAAACAGTTTTAAACACTTTAAATTAAGTTTACAAAAAGTGCACTACATCAATCATGATTTTATTGAACCTTTATAATTGAGTTTATTTTGTATACATACGTATACGTATCTATGGGACCTCTAAGCTCAACAGCAGTCGAATTTCTTCGAATTCTTCTCGTACTTTTACTGCCCAGGCGCTTAGTATTTAATTTAAGTTATTTAATTTGGACTTAATTACATTTGAAAATTAATTTTTAACATTCTGGAATTTTATTTATGATAAGTGTTCTATTAAGCGCTTAACTCCTTTGCCTTATTATATATGTATGTTATTATGTGCTACCTGTATACATATTATATTTAGCTCATATTCTTCCACTTGAATCACTTCCGATTTATGGTTGTGTGCTTAAGTGTGTGTGATGTGTGGGTGTGTGGGTGCACTTGTGCTTACCGAATGAAGTCAGCAGACCAAAAACCCTTATCACAGGACGTAAACATTCACAAGGCTCGGCTGGCTGGCGGCAGCGGCGACGACGTCGTTGCAATTGCTCATGTTGTTGATGTGGTTGACTCATGGCTCACAATATATATTTCAATGTTTTTTTTTTTTTTGTTAATAAACGTTTTAGTTGCACATATCCCAAAACAAGAGCCAACAGATTGGCAGCCCAGTGGCCACGTTAATACATCAGCTAATACTCGTACACCAGCAGAGCTCAGCAGGGCTTAGCTCAGAAGACACATTGTGTTGTGCATTGAATATAAATCAAGTGAACTTTTACGGCAACGTATCCAATTTCTTGGCAAGCAACCGACCGACGATTGCCAAGGATAGCGACACTAACAACAACAACGAAAAGAAAAAAAAAAAAAAGAGAAACAATAAGCAGCTCGTTACGCGTTTAAATTTCAGCATTCACTTTGAGCCAGCGTACGCTGCGTATGCGTAATGCGACCGACACTTTCTGCGTTTCCACGTATAATTCGTTTTCCTTTTCAACGCATTTAATCACCATGCCACTTTCTGTGTGTGTGTTTGTGTGTGTGTGTGTGCGGCAACTAATGGCTGCAAATTACCGTTAACATGCAGCATTCATTTACCCCGCACGCCGCAACGCACGCAGAACGTCAGCCACTGACTTTTTAAAATGTCCGCCAAGTTTGTGCAGGTGCCACTTGCCACTTGACTCCAAAGCCAAAAGCCGAACCCGAGCCGTATTCAGAGTCGGAGTGCCCTAAACAACGTCCGCACGCTTCTGGCAGCGCCAAGTGAATGAATAGAGCAATCGTCCTTAGTCGCCTCTCAGGCTGCCTGACTCTGTGGCCCACAGTGAGCGGCAAGCCTGGCAACGAGATGCCCTACTTTCTGAAGTACTTACTGTTTGATTGATTCTGCGCTGAGCTGTAAATCAAAAATAATAGTACACTCGAATGCGGATATAAATATGCTTTCAACAATAGAGTTTCCACACCCAAATCAATTTATTTTTGTAAAAATATTTAAAAAGCCCCAGATAGGTTATCGATTGAAAAGCTATCTCGATCAAAGTTACCTGCTTTCACAAATTGTTGAAGTAGAACAAAATTCAAGCATTTTGTGGCATAACTAAGAGCCTGACATCACAAAATTGTCTTATATTTCCCTTAAGTTATATTTAGTATAAAAATAGCGGCTGCTTCCTGTCTTCTATGCCGACTCTCAGTTCCTTTGCTGCTTTGCTTTTATTTGTCACGTTGCCCTGCGTTTTGTTGTTGTTGCTGCTGCTGGTGTGTTTTCCATGCTTCAGCTGGCTGCCCTTGTGCCCCACCCGTTTTCCTCGCCCTGTTCATCACTTTGTATGTTTGTTGGCGTCGTTTCAGTAATTTTCATAACTGGCCCACTGCGTGGCCAAAGCGAGGGGCGCTGCTGCCACGCGAAGCAGTTGACAATTGCGCCATCTACGCAGAGTTGTGGACAAAAACATTTTCGGCAGTGAAAATGCCAGCATCCCATCCGCCCCCCCCCCTCCTCCTCCACCATACACACATTAAACACAGGAGTAGTTGGGAAGTAAATATTTTTTTAGCCTGCTTCAGGTCTTGTCTACAACTCCTGAATCTCTCATCTGTTGGCTACAAGCAATTTTGGAACTAAGAAGCCAACGTGCTGTGCTGTTTGCATTATGCGCCATTAATGGCATCTTTGCTGGTACAACGTGGCGTATGCGCAATGCTAATGATGCGCCTCATTTAGCGAAGTCCTTACGACGTTTCATTATCTTGCTAATGCCCGCCACCATGGCCACCTCGGGCAGTGCGAGCTTGGCATCCTCCTGGAAGTCACAGCGACGCGTCAGATGCAACCATGTCCGCTCCGGGTTTAGGGAGAGCGGCATTTGGAGCCAGCTGACGTAGTCGATCTTTAATGAGCCCGTGAGCAGCTGATCGAAGGGTGTATTGCCTATAAAGAACATAGACCTCAGCACCGAGAACTTGGCTTCCTGTATGTTCTGGCCCAGCACGCCCTGAAACGGGCTAGGCTCATTGTCGCCCGTGCCCAGCTGCTCGAGCAGCCAATCCTTGTTGAACTTCAGATAATTATAGAGCACTTTGAGCGCCTGCTTGCCTATGTTGGTGGTCAGCACATCGCTGGCTAGTACTTCGGCTATATAATCGGCAATGCCCACATCCAGCTCCATGGCATAGTTGGCCGGTGGACTGTGACTCAAACGCTCCGATTCCGCATTGGTTATGGCCAGGTCATCCATTTTAACGGTGCTAACGGCACTCATGCCGCCGGCTCCGCGGCCGCAGCTGCTGCCGCCGAAATCCGTGTCCAAATTAATGCTTTCCTTGGCTTGCTTCAAAAACAGCTCGATCTGGTCAGTGTGTTTGTCATCCTCGTCTACGGAGCAAATCGCTTCCGATAGCGAATAACAAATGGCAGCTTTGTTGTCATTTTTGGCTGCCATAAAAGTCAAAGTCAAACATGTGGTATACGTGAAGCGTACAAAGACTTACCCTGCTCGTGTGATTCTGCCGTCTTGATTAGCTCTGTGTAGAGAGCTGCGAAAACCACCTGCAGCAACACCGAGTCACCCAGTGGACGCGTGGACACTGGTATTATATCCTGTAACAGGGCCGTTATCTTGTACAAGCCCTCGGGCATGCAATCCCAAATCTCTGAGACGCACGTCAAGGCAAGAGACATGGCCTGATACATGCTGGCACCATTCTCCACGGCATTGATCAGCATCTCCACTACGCAGTCGAGTACTGGATAAACAAAGTGCATGATGGCCTCCAGCCACGGAGTGCGCTTCTGGTTCCACACCTGACGCTTGTCCAGGCAATCGCTCCAGCCGCTCACAGCATGCTCCTCCAGTGTCTTGATCAGACAGGACTTAATGTCAACAGCCTTACCCACGGCTACAACTAGGTATGTGAGAGACAAAACAATTTGATAGTTCGACTGTCCCACAGGATCTGCATAAATAATACATGAATCTCATTTAGTGTTTGGCAAAAAGAGTTTTGCATGCCAATTATGACGCACCTATATCCGCCGCAATGGAGTCTGTGACATTGAAGCACTCGCCACGGCAAAGGAAGGCCTCGCATTTCAATGGTGCGCCTTCCGCACTGGTAAACGAATGTTTGGCCACATTTTTAAAGTTCTCCGATGACGGCAGATGCTGCATCAGATGGCGCATTATAATGCCTGTTAGATAGGCATCCCGCATTAGCAGGATCTTTAGCAGATATGACCAGTGTGCCTCCGGAAAGGCTAGCAACACGCGCAGATCCAATGATATGGCTGTGTTCGTGGTAAGATCGGCAAACTCAGTCACCCACTGGCAGGATTGCTCCTTGGGAAAGTAACGTGGCAGCGCGAAAATAATCCAGGCGCTGGGCAGACCATGACGCGAGCTAAACATTTCCATGTTATCCAGGCCTTTGCGAAAGACCTGTCGCAGGATATAAAGTAGAGAATTCAAGAGCACGAGATGAATGAGATGCTAATACATAGCCAGCCCACCTTAGAAAGGACACCCAAGGGCGCACCACGGAGTAACAGGCAATAGAAGAGCTCCCTGCACTTGGCATGAATGTCCCGCACGATGACACTCTGATTGCTCAACTGGAGGCCAACATAGGCCTCGCCACTCTCACAGACATGGGGCAACAGCTCCGCAATGCACAGCAGCAAGTTGCATATGTCCACCAAATGGAGCTGGGCTCGGGCTACACTGGTCACTATCTGCGTGTAGCGCACCGTCAATACACTGAGTGTCTCATTAAGCATTCCGGCAAAGATTTTCTGTGCCATTTTTGGGGGCACAGAGTTCCAGAGATCGGTTTTGGTGCCGCGCATATAATGCCACCACATTTGCACGGTATACGAGCCGCGCTCCGATTCAAAGAACGGCTGAGTGTCCTCCCAATGCAGGCAGTCCGCATCCTGAATGATATACAACAGCAGCAGGCGGCAGTGCAGATCCAGAAGACGTTCAGCCAATGCCTCGGACATCTGGGAATATTGTTTGAGACTTAGCTTCAGGGCGCCACCCTTTTCATCGCCCTTGGGTGGACAAATTGTGGTCGTGGCTGCTTGCATATAGACGCTCAACGAGTTCTTGACCAATGCGGCGGCGCCAATGGTAGCAGTGAGCACCGACAGATCCGCATGATCCAGTGACTCCTGCGACAGGCGATGTATGTGCTCCAGTAGAAGATCCGCTGACTTAGTCACCAAATTGACAAACTTATCTGGATCAGAGGTCTTCACCGTTACGCTGCTCTGCATCTCATATTATTAGAAACAGGTTAGGAGTACCCCCCCAAACATTTCCAGCAGTATACTTACGAAATCGCCCTCGTTCAACTCCTTTTCGGTGTGCAGTAAGCCCGAATGCTTGCGATAGGAAGCAAAGTACTCATCCTCCCACCTGAAGTTAAGTAAATTTTGGTCAACACCAAAACAAATGTGACCCTTTTGACGGCATAGCCTACCAGCGTATTAGTTTTATCGAAGCAAACGATGCATAGCGTGGAAAGTCCAGCTTGCCACCCACAACACCTGGACAAATGGGCTCCTGCAGCACGCGCTGATGCGTCTGCTCGTGTGGCATCGTGTGAATCAAATCGAAATGAGAACGTGAAAACAATGTGTTAACGAGTTTTTCTCAGAGCTCGCATTGCGGTCATTTTCGGTACCTGATAAAACTCCAAATCTCGCTGCAGCAAAATGGGCACACGGTCCATTAAATTTCCCTCCTCGAGCACCTCCATTTTCTTTATTTTTCTTCTTTTTTTTTGAACTAAACCTTTCAGTTGAAACTGCAACACTGATTGGCCAAAATGATTTGCTATCGAGCAAACAGCAAACTTATTTTCAAATGTTGCCAGGACAACCGACTAAATTCATGATGGATGATAAAGCTTGGCAGTAAAAGTCAGTAAATATAACGGAAGAACACGTATCTTCTTACCCTTTTATACTAATTTCTACCTTAATATAGCGAATGAGTTTATACTATAGTAAGTTAAGAAAGAAAGTGCAATCGAAGTTTAAAATTTACTTAACCCAGACTATTATTCCAGCCTTGGTTAGCTTTATATTTTCATATCTAAACGAAACTATTATCAATTAATTGCCCATTCTACTGAAAATATTTTAACCATAGGTATTTTCATATTGAAGTTACGGGCTAAATTTTAACTATGCCCAAAACTGGCGTCTACCACAAATGGCAAGATAAATCCAATGGTTGGCCCGAAGTAATTTCTGCATTTATTTTTGAATTATATGGTTCGATTCGGACTTTGATTGAATGTTTTAGGCTAATTGGTTTGCTGTAAGAATCAATTCTTTGGACGAACCGGTTTGGCTGTTTAAAAAATTATTTTGCAAATTTAATTTAAAGTGTATTTTTAAAAAACGCCCAGCCATGCGATTCTCATAAGTTTAAGTAAGCAATACAGATTTCATGGCCATTATTGTAGTTTTAAACAAATTAAAGCTGAGTGAAATACATTTTTCCAGCAAGGTTTTATCTTGAGCATTTCAATAATAGATGTTTATTGTTTGACCTAATCTCTACTAAGTATAAGATCCAATGTGAAAAGGTTTAACTGTCGTTTTTGCCAGCAAGCAATCTACTTAGAGAGACGTACAGATAATGCCCAACTTTCGCTCTCCGTATGCTCGTGTGTGTATAAATATTTCTCATTTAGTGTGCGATAAGCTGTGCTGTTGCCGCTGCTGCCTTTGGCTCGGGCTTTCCAGCGCCTCAGTTGATAACTGAGCGGTGCAGGGAGCACATCGGCAAGCAGCGGACCTAAGTGGACAACAAAAAAGTGAGTGGCATTTAATTTAGCTTCACCCTGGCTGGGATGCAGTGCTAATCAGCAGCAAACCTCGTCGCTGGGGGCGCACTTGGAATTTTTCCAGTACACATCCGACGCCCCTAAAGCAGTAACAAGTGAACGCTTATCGGGGCGATACGGTGCGCGTATCAGGCGTATCAGTAATCCATAAATCTCATTGGCTCTTTTCATATTTTTTTGAGGTAGCATGATCGCACATTTGAGACATTTGACGAGACGATTGCCCGCCCAGCGTGGCCGGCTATTGTCGGGCCAACAGCATCAGCTGCGCAGTGCCTCTTATCTGATTGATCAGCCGGAGTACAGTTTTCTCAAGGATCTGGGTCTGGAACGTGACAATCCTGGCGTGTTTTCGGGCCACTGGCAGGGTCGAGGTCCGAGCATCACTAGCTATGATCCAGGCACCGGACAGGCGATTGCCACAGTGCGTCAGGGTAATGTGCAGGAGCTGCAGCAGGCAATCGGACTGACCGTGGAGGCCTACAAGCAATGGCGCCAGGTGCCAGCACCCGTGCGTGGCGAGATTGTGCGCCAAATTGGCGACGAGCTGCGCAAATACAAGGAGCCGTTGGGCAAGCTTGTCTCCCTGGAGGTGGGCAAGATCTACAGCGAGGGTCAGGGCGAGGTACAAGAGTTCATTGACATTTGCGACTATGCGGTGGGACTCTCTCGCATCTATGCCGGGCAGGTAATCAATTCGGAGCGTGCCCAGCACACCATATTAGAGGCCTGGCGTCCGCTTGGCCTAGTGGGTGTTATATCGGCCTACAACTTTCCCAACGCTGTCTTTGGCTGGAATACAGCCATTGCATTGACAACAGGCAACAGCGTGTTATGGAAGGGCGCGCCCAGCACCCCCCTCGTATCTGTGGCCACCACCAAAATTGTCGCCGAGGTGCTGCGACGCAACAATTTGCCGGCCGTGGTCAGCCTCTGCCAAGGTGGCACAGATGTGGGCGCTGCTCTAGTCGCAGATAAACGCGTCAATCTGCTCAGTTTCACGGGCAGCTGCCAGACGGGCCGGGATGTGGGTGTCGAGGTTCAGCGTCGTTTCGGCAAGGTCATATTGGAGTTGGGCGGCAACAACGCGTTAATTGTTGACGAGTCGGCCAATATAAAAATGGCCTTAGATGCGGCGCTCTTTGGCTGCATTGGCACCAGCGGACAGCGCTGCACCACCACAAGGCGCATCATTGTCCACGAGAAACTGCACGACAGCTTTGTGGAGGCGTTGACTGTCAAGTATGCGCAGCTATTGCCGCGCATTGGCCACCAGCTGGAGGCGCAAACCCTCGTGGGACCCGTGCACACACAGCAGAATGTCGACAGCTATAAAGCGACCATCGAGGAGGCCAAGCTGCTGGGCGGCACTGTAGCCTTTGGAGGACGTGTTTTGGAACGTGCTGGGCATTATGTCGAGCCCACCATCATTACTGGACTATCGCATGATGCCAGCGTTGTGCATCGTGAAACATTTGCTCCCATTGTCTATGTGCTCAAAGCGCGCGATGTGAACGAGGCCATTGCCTGGAACAATGAGGTGGAGCAGGGCCTGTCCTCGGCCATTTTCACGGAGAATATTAGCCAGGCCTTCAAATGGATTGGTGCCCAAGGCTCCGATTGTGGCATCGTTAATATTAACACCACCACAAACGGCGCAGAAATTGGCGGCGCCTTTGGCGGCGAGAAGGCAACGGGCGGTGGACGCGAATCGGGATCAGATGCCTGGAAACAGTACTGCAAGCGTGCCACCATCACGGTGAATCACTCGGGCGAACTGGCCTGTGCTCAGGGCGTTGTCTTTAACGTAGAGTAAAAGAAACGTTTGCATGGAATTCGTTTATTTTTTGTTAATCTTGTTTTTGTCGTGTTAATTGTATTATAAAATTGTCAAAAAAAAATGCATTTCATATGTAATCTTAACTAAACTCTTCTTGCTGTGTTGAGCTGTGTCACAGTTCGCTGACATCAAAGCGCCAAAAGTCAACCTCAATATCCTTAGACTTCTGCTTGTGGAACTTGTAGCTGGCTTCGATGTTATAACGCAATTCAGCAATTACGCTACTCCGAGCGCCCCACTCTTTGGACTTCTTTTGAATGTAAGTGCTGCAAAAATAAACCAACACAAATTCAATTTCAGATAATGGAGAATACTTTGACTTAATACAGACTTTTCTCAATAGCTTCACAAACTTGTGCTCCTCATTCCTGAGCTGAATGATTTCTAAATAATCTCCTATGCGTAAATATCTAGCTTCAGATCGATAAGATAGTTTTGCTTCAGATAGTTGAGAAAAAGGATTCTTATTTATTTTGTTGATGACATATAAAACTACATAATATAGAAGAGCTTATGTTATCTGTAGAAATAACTGAGAATTTCCTCAATGTTCCGTCTAATTTAGCTGCCCGCGCATATTAACTGTAGTTAGTTGTTGATATACCATTCCGACTTGAATTCTGTTCTGATAGCACCGTTAACATCAATAAATAAAGTACAAATTTTAAAGTTACAGCCTATAATCGATAGCATAACGTTCACATTCCTCTCTCCCATTCCAGGTACTTAGTCAGAGCATATTATTTCTAAGACTATGGCAGCTGCTCACTCACCGTGTGGAGGTTTTGTGCAGCGAGTAGACAGCTCCTGTGGCCAGACGCATGCCCACATCCAAAAACCGCATATCCATGCCAGCATTATGTTTGGTGCCAAAGGGCGGATTCATAACCACCGTGTCGAAGGCATTATCCCACTTACTGCCCGGCAATTGCAGCACATTCGCACGCACACAATCTGCATTTGGCAGCTCCATGTCCAGCATATTCTGGCGGTAAATGTCCACGGCAGCGTCGTCGAGCTCGAAGCCAACAGAAAGCTGCGCTCCCAGTAATGTGGCGGCAATGCTGAGCATACCGCAGCCGCATCCCAGATCAGCCAAAAGCTTTCCCTCAATGTCGTCGTGCTGGGCTTGCATGTGGTGCGTCATGCATGCAGCTATGTGGGGTGGTGTTGGATACTGTTCCAGCAGAATCTTTGGCTGCTCGAAGCCATCGACACACTGCAGATACTCCTCCAGCTTCTTCAGCTTTAGGCGAGCCATATGGAGGGACGTGTGTACTGTGCTAAGAAATTACTTGGCGTTGGGCGCTGCCGGTGTCGGCAGTGGCTCCAGGCGTGGCAACACGGGTATAAAACTATTTCCAAAATACGAATCCTGCGGTATAAAGAAACCCAGAGTAGTAGAGCTCGTTGGATTAAATGCAGATCGTGGCGCGCCGAGGCCGCCAGCGGCATTAGGCGTAACGCTCACGCTTTGTGGAAATTCTACTGTCACTGTCGGCTGGCCAAGCAGCTGCGGTGCGGGCATCTTAAAAAAGGCAATAGAAAAAAAAAACATTAGGCAAATTCAAAGAAAATGCAGCTAGAATTTACATTCACCTGATTCGTTGTGCTACCCAGCCCAATGAGCAACTGCTTCTTGGTCTGTATTTCTTCAAGTATTTTACGGTTGGTTTCGGCTTGCTGTGCACTTGATGTTGGAAAAGCCATCAAAAATAGGCAAGATTTTGTTTCGAGAACTAAACAAACCGAAATTAAATTGTTCAAACGCTGGAACACGCGTTTCTGTTTTTATTTCTATGCATTAAAGATGTATCAAATCATTCGGAATTGGTTCCCACGAACGATTCATTTAACAGAACTATTGAATTAGTTCATTCAACTAACACTTGTCGGTATTTAAATACCAAAGCGATGTTTCATCATGACTATTCTTCGATGTAATTTTATATTTTATAATTTAAGTTAAATTATATATATGTTCATAAACATGCTTGATGTTAAACTCATTGAATATTGTATGTTTCCTGATTCGCTCAGTAATAATATTTGACAGAATTACTCGTAATACGTATGTATATAGTATTTAGGTAAATATGTTGTGTATTTTGGTGTTAGCCGTTTGCGGTCACACTGAACGCTATCCAAAACGTGCGCTGGCAAACAAAATAAATACACGCGACCAGAGAGACGCTAGGATAAAATATCAACAAACCTGTGCGACGCCCAAAGAGTGCTTTCAAATAAATTGTTTTACTTGAGTTAAACTGAACACGAGCTGACAAAATGAGTATGAGCGATGACGACAGAGATATTGACATCGAGAGTGACGTAAGCATAAATGCGATACGCAATTGACGTCTTAAATAATATCGCACATTTCTTGCAGGACGATGGGGACTCTGACAATGGGTTGGGCTCCTCGCGGCACACAAGTACCGCAAATTTTACGCAGGTGAGCCAGCCACAGAATAGGAGGTCAATAATAATAACAGAGACCCACGCTATCATTGTTTATAAACAGACACATGCTCCCATTGTTGTTGCTGTGCTTGCTGCCTGACTTGCAAGACTGTGAATTTTGTTTGTTTTTATTATTTCAAGGCCGAAAAACGAGCACACCACAACGCTTTGGAGCGCCGTCGACGAGATCACATCAAAGAAAGCTTCACCAACTTGCGCGAAGCGGTGCCTACGTTAAAGGGTGAAAAGGTGAGCAACCGTATAGTTATAAAGAGCAAGGGTATCCTACCAAAAACAAATTTACTAATTTCGCCATTTATCACTTAAGGCCAGCCGCGCACAAATACTCAAGAAAACCACCGAATGCATTCAAACGCTGCGCCGCAAAATAAGTGAGAACCAAAAGGACATCGAGGATATTAAGAAACAGAACAGCATCCTGGATGAACAAAGTAAGAAATATCGAAAATACCCGCATACACATACAAATGCTAAGCTTGACTTGATTCCTTGTCGTAGTTCGCCGCCTGGAGGGTAACACTTCAAATGGAACAGATTTCTTAAGTGGCGACGACCTGAGTAGCGATGTGGAGGACGCCTTGGAACAAGCTGACTTTAGTCGGCGGAGTAAAAAGATGAAGACATTTCATGCATAGCCCCCAAAAAGCTAACGTGCAATGTGCAAGGTTTACGCTAGCATCGTAAACGAATCAATCAAAGCAAAACTCCAATGCGAGGGCATCAAAATCATTACAACAAAAGTCCAAAGTTTTGCCCATCTATACCTTAAAGTGTGTCTGCGAGTGTGTGTATGCTGTTTTGTACTCTAACCGAATAAAAGTTTGTAAGTATCTAAACATTTTATAAGTAAAAATACAAATCTGTAAATTTGGTTGACGAGGTCCATTAAGTGCTTACATTTATGATCATGGATAACTGCAATAAGACAACTTGTAAATGGATATGCGCGATATGTTAAAGAACTGAAGCACAATTATGAGTTAGCTTATACTATATTGTAACATACACCAGGATTCCAGATTCCCACTTGAAGATTGACCACAATTGTAGTTATTTAAAAATATATTTAAAAAATAAAACACGGCCCGACTATTTGAACTTCAGCGTGAGCCACAGGAGCACAAAAACGAACAGGACGAAGAGGAACATGTAACACATTTGCTTGGAGCCGCCCCCCTGCTTGGCCAGACGTACGACGCGTGTCATTGTGTTGCCCAGAAATCCACCTGTCCGATCCATGTCATCGTCAATGCCGCGCAGCAGCTTGTCCTGATAGCGCACCTCATTGCCAATGTCTATGGTCAGGGATTTGAGTGCGCCTATCTTCTGTTGCAGTTCCTCGGCGGCGCGTTCGTTTTCGGCCTCCAATGCATCGTGTCCAGCTGGTCCGCTGGGAGCAGGATGCTGATTTAGGGGCTGATAGGGATAATTGTTGCGTCGCATGCTGCTGCCACTACTGCTGCCGCCTGTGTGTGCCAGTTTTGCATCAATTTAGCTGCAATACTACGGGAAAGACAATATTAAACTTGTGACACGTAAACCAAAAGGGGAATTTCATACTCAGAGGCAAAACAGCTGCTGGGTTCGGTGTTCTTCGTGAGCAGTTCAATCGGCGTGACCTGTGATTCATTCAGTAGGTTAACTATAAAATTTATTTTATAATTAATGAATCGACAAAATGAAGGTCTGTGCAATATTCAATTTGTTTAATGTAATGTTTATCAGAGTATTCCAGTTTTGTTCCGAACCAGTTCGATCGCAGCTGTAATGAACGGAACTGTGTCGGCATGATACATACAATTTAAGTTTCATAATAATTATTATACTTGATTTTAGCAATTTCAATTATAGTGTTGATAAATATAATTTAATTTGCTCATATACATATATGTCATTACAGACAATCCAAAATATTGTCTTATACATCCGGTTTTATACATCTTCAGCTTTTTATAAGACCCATTGTGAACTTTCTAAATTTGTGAGTGAACCAGATTTTATAATCGAACTAGTAATATCGAAAAAACAGCTGTGTAGCCATTAAGTACGGCGTGTTTGCTTTATTAAATCCATTTGCCATAGCAACTTTTAAGCTATTTTCTAAATTATGTGAAGTGTTAAATTCCGGCGAAAATTCAGTCATTGGATTGGTTGACTTTTAAATCAAACTTAATGTATATACCTGGCATTGCGTAAATTACCTGTACTCTAATTCGAATTCTAATTAGATAACGCCAACAATAGAGTTCCCAAGGTAGTAATTTACACTTTAATTGTGTTAGTAAAACTTTGTGCCCCACTCAATCAACACACTTAAAAGATCAAACTATGTGATCACATAGTTACAGTGTAGCCTCCGTATCTGTTTCTTAGTAGACATGAATTTCGGCGCTACCCAGTGGGACTTCTGCGATGGCGTTGACCGTGATTCGCTAATGCGTCATAATGTTGATTAAGAGCGACAAATTAGCTGCTTGTTTAAACCCTCTTAGTGATAATGATAAACGTGCGTCAATCAGTTCACATTGAGCAAGCCTAAGCACATGCAAACTATATGGTACATTTACTGATAAGGCTTCGCTTGCTCCCTTGCAGCAACAGCATCACCAACCCGTTATGGACCCGTCAGAGGTGCTGGCCAAAAAGGTTGGCGTGCCCGTGGAGGCTTTTCGGCTGCTGGTAACGCTGCTGGCCGGTAAACATATTTACAAATTAAACTAATATGCTCCTAAATAATCAGTTTACTTCCGCAGGCTACCCAATTGCGGCGATTTATCATAAACTGATTGTTAATGTACAGGTGAAGCTGTTACATCATCTGTTTTTTGCATTCTGCGGCATGAGCTTATGTTATTTTAACTATGGCAAGGACACATATCACTCACTTTCGGCCATAAGCGTCACCTATTTGCTGGTTATCCTGCTGCGCAGCGCACCGCTTCTGATGCTGATAGTCAATTTTTTGTTTCATATGATCTACTTGCTGGTGGGCTACTACTTTACGGCAAGCAATGAATATGATATATTGTGGACGATGCCGCATTGCATATTGACCCTGCGCATGATTGGATTTGGATTCGATGTGGCCGATGGCTTGAAGCCGGAAGAGGCGCTTTCGAAAGCGCAAAAGGAAACGGCGTTGCAGAAGCCACCTTCATACCTGCAGCTTTTAGCGTTTGCATATTTTCCCAGTAGTTTTCTGGTTGGACCCCAGTTTCCCTACAGACGATATCAAAGCTTCACCAATGGCGAGTACCGGAAATACGATGGCTGTGTACAGGCGGGTCTTAAACGCCTGGGTATCGGTGTGCTCTATCTGTTTGTATGCCAAGTGGGCTTATACTTTCTGCCGGATAGCTATTTCTTGTCGCCGGAATTTGCGAAGCAGTCCTTCATCAAGCGAATTTACTTTTTGGGATTCTGGGGCAAATTCACGCTTTATAAGTACATATCGTGTTGGCTGTTTGCAGAGGGCGGTCTAATGTGCATTGGATTTACCTACAAGGGAAAAGATGCGTTTGGAAATCCGGACTGGTCCGGCTGCAGCAATGTGAAGTTGTCGCTACTTGAGACCGGAAACACCATGCAGCACTATGTGCAGAGCTTCAATGTAAACACTAATCAATGGGTCGGCCACTATATATTCAAGCGCCTGAAGTTCCTTAACAATCGCAATATCAGCTACGCGGCTGCATTGGCTTTTCTGGCTGTATGGCATGGTTATCACAGCGGCTATTACATGGCATTCCTAATGGAGTACATGATTGTCAGCACTGAAAAGCAGGTGAGTGCCTAGATAAGTTAGGTTTGTATTATTTATATTTATATGCGATAATATTTACAGATTGAATTAGTTTATACCAAACACGTGCTGCCCCAATATGGTGAAATGTTAAACAATTCCAAGATCTATACTGTACTCAATTTCTTGTGCTTGAAATCGTACAATATCATCTACATGGGCTGGTGTCTCACCTCGTTTGTCTTTCTCAAATACGAACGCTGGATTACTGTGTTTAGTGCAGTCAACTATTTTGGGTTCATATATATGCTCATCTGGGCGCTCATGTATAATGGCTATCTTTACTATAGCCGCATCCAGCCCAAGGATCGGCAAGCAGGGCCAACGACTATAAAACAAGCCACAGATTAGTGAATCAGCGTATAAGCAATTTAAAAACCATTCAAAATTTTTAAAACAATATGATTTGTTCCCTTTAACATTGACAGAAAGCCGTAACCAAAATACGCTACTGATAAATAATAATATGTTACTTAATATCGAATGTAAAAAATGTAAGACTCACTTTAAATTTGAATCGAGATGCGTTGATTGTTAGCTTGTCACATCTTTTGAATCCTTTGCCGTTGCATTCATCATTAAAGCAATGTCTAGTCAATGAAAATAGTTTCGTTGCTCTTTGTACATAAAATACTAAACGGCGTCGAGACTTATCTAACTTAAACGACAATTTAATGCCCTACTTAAGTAAACTCATAATATATTTTGATATATTCACGAAATGTCATTAAGCACTGCACATGAAAAGAGCAACTTGAAATAAAATCAAAGCAAAGAAATTGGATAGTTAAAAATTAAAAATTTTGAGATTTATAAATCCTTGTAAATACTGTATAATCATAACTAATATTAAGGATTCTGTGTTTTTTTAAACTATTTGCGCACTACGTCTGCTAAAAATCCGCAAGGATATGGCCGAGCTAGAGCTATTTTTTTAAAAAAAAGGATATTAATTTTTTTACCTTAACTCGGCTAAATCCTTAAAGATCTGGCAAAGACCCTTCTCTCCCGCCTGCTATAGCTAAGGTTAATATATATTCCCAAATACTTATGGATCAGGTAAGGACACACTATGTTAGGATTCAGGACCTTCGATTGCTAATCTGAATGTTTTTGATGTATTTGCAGTTCTAGCAGCAATGCGAATATGGAGAAGTGTCCCAAGGAAGACAGATATCTCAAACATAGAATGATATATCGCCATATCAGGGGCTAGTTGAGATACAAGGTAAGAGCATAAGCCTAAAGTGTATCTGTTCATGTTATATTATCCAATTATTCCAGATGATTTTGGACCAAAAGCATTGCTTATTTGATGTCGGATATTTCGTAGCGGCTTTATCTGAGCGCATCTGTTGTACGTCTTCCAATTATCTCTACCTAGATTACGTGTACGTAATTCTATTGTGCAGCTTAAAGCAGACTGTTTGCTCTTTCTCTTTCGCCTGCTATTGCCATGGTATTGGCAGCTTTCGGCGAAGATGAGGCCGCGGGCTGTCGACTCTGCTAGGTGTGGAAGACTCTGCTGTTGCCATTTCCTTCAGTTTGCTGGGCTCATAGCTAGGTAAGTCACTTCTAGTCTCATTGTTTTTAAAACCCGATACCGCACAAAGGACGGAAGTCCTTCAATAAGCTGAGAAAGTAGGCCTTAGCTATTTGTAAACACCAGGCATACGAACTGTGCAAAGGATACCAAAAGCGACCCTCTGCTATGGCTATATATATATATAAAAAGGATATTTATAGCCGTCCTTAAATTCGCCATTTCAAGCACAATTCTGATGACCTTCGGCGGACATGCAGTCCTTGCCTTGTCAATTTAGATTATGTAATGAAAAGGACGAAAGTCCTTCAAGGAGCTAAGAAACATAGGTATTCGCCTGTAAAGAAAGAAGGCTGTAGATCGGCCATATCCTTGCAGATCATAATGTCCTTTGGCCAACCGATAGCCCTCATCCTCCCGATTAAGAAAAGACAATGACCAGGACGAAAGTCCTTTAGATAACCTAGATATGAATACAATTCTTTTGTATATTAGGAAAGCCATAACTCGGCCGTATCCTTGTGGATCCTCGCAAGTCCTGTGTCAAACAACTCGTATGAGCAAGGACCATTAGCTGGCCAAAGGACAACAAAATCGTCCTAGTCGTTTCCGAAATGTGGCCAATTTTCTAAAAAGGACATTTTTCAAATAGCCGTAACTCTGCCAAATCCTTAAGGATATCGGAAGGATGTACCGTTTCGAACTCGTAGGGAGCAGGACTATCGAATGGCATTGAAGAATTTCAAGGATTCGACAAAAAATTTCACTCAAATTTTTCCTAGGGGGTTAGTCGCAAAATTGGCCAAAATCGAAAAATTCCGGACTAACTTTGCCATTTGAAGGACTATCGGGATGTCCTTTGGCCAACAGATAGTGTTCATCCTCCCATTTAATAATTTACAACCCAAAGGACGAAAGTCCTTCAGACAAAAAAGTTTTAAGGACGATTTCGTTGGAAGAAAATAAGCCATAACTCGACGATGTCCTTCCGTATCCTGTCGAGCTATGTGTCAAAATAATTGTATTGACCAGGTCTACCAACTGGCCAAATTTCATTAATATCGTCCTTGTAGTTTTGGAGATATTTAAGGATTTGTGTTTTCAGCCCATTTCCGTGCGCGCCGCGACTTAAATTTTACAAGTCAAATTTCGGGTAATATGATTCTTAGATGACCCCATATTTTTTTGATGCAGTTCGATGCAGGGGGTCTAAACGATCCTAACGCACCATGTCCTTTGAAAATCTGCAAGGATATGACCGAGTTATATCCTTTTTTCCTTGCATAAAGTACTTTATATATATTTTTCGCCTTTTTTAATTAAAATGTGTTTTTATCTTTCTAGATTGACAAATTAAGGACTACAATGAATTCCAAGGACCTCCACGAGGGACATATCAAATCCTTCCTGGATCGGACTTTAGTTAAGCCAGATATAGCTATTTTATGTTCGAGTAAGCTATATATGTTATTTATACTCGATTTGTATAATTTTAAGAGAAATAATTACACAAATAAATGAATTATTTAAATGTAAACTCCTGTTTTTTTATTTCCAAGGACATTTTGGTTCAATTTTAAATTAAACGAAAAAATGCATTGCATACCCGCAAGGGGCGTTTGTTGGCAGCCGCTGGCTGCCGAGATTTTTCCTAAAATCTGCGGGGAGATATGACGTTCCAAAACGACAAAAAATATTTTTAGCTGCCGAAAAAATTTCATTGCATACCCAAAAGGGGCGCCCTCGTCGCCGGCTGGATCCCAAATTTGAGCTAAAATTTCCCAAAAATACCAGGCGAACAGAAATGCCCAGAAGGTTGACGTACAATATTTTTGCGGCCGAAAAATGACGTAGCAAAAAGGGGCACCCTCGCGGCCGGCCCAAATTTGCACTAAAATTCCACTCAAATACCAGGCGAACAGAAATGCCCAGAAGGTCGCCGAGTGGTTTGAATAAAAATTTTCATTGCATAGCATTAAGGGGCAAAAATGTAACTCAATTAAAATGAGTGCTGTTAATTATGAGTTTATGTTAAATGAGCTCTGTAAGCTGCCTGTTAAACAACAGCTGCAGCTGCAGCTAATGAAAAAGGGCTCCTGAAAGAAAAAGCATACATGTTTTTGGATCATTTCAATGCACATTTTGCAGGGATCTGATCCTTTAGGTTTCCAAGGACTATATCGATGGTACGGTTTAACCAAGGATATGCTAGTCGACTAGAAACCATACAGGGGCGGGGCTGTTGATGGGGGCCCCTGTAAAAAGTAGCATACATATTTTGGGACCATGTCTTGCGCATTTTGCTAAAACTCGGTCCTTTAGGTTCGCTAGGACTATTTCCATGATATGGAATAACCAAGGATATAGACGTCAACTAGGTACCATGAAGAGCTATCAGTTGCTGATTGTATGTTGTCCATTGGTGTCGCAGATTTGGCTGAAAATACAAGATAAAATATTTATTTATTTAAACTATATCTGTTGTATAACGACCGATTTTGGAAACACAGATATGAACTCTTCGAAAGCCTTGAAACGACTTAGGAATGTTAAACCTTTTTTAACTCGTACAGATCTCTACTAACAATTGGCATTCAAACCAATTCAAAATCAAGAGATTAAATTAACGTTTTTGTTTTTTTTTTTAATAGTGCTCACTATTTAAAGGTAGATAACGCAGAAGCAATCACACACAATCATAAGATATCAATTGGGAAAACACACCCAAACATATGTATGTGTATATGGTTGCTAGTGCAGGCTGCTAATAGCTCAAAACAATACGTGTACATTTTCTGTACACCGATTTCTATTTATAAATTATTAAATTTTATATTACCAAGCCAATTAATAGTTTTAATCTGTACGAGTTCAGAAAGGTATATTAATAATGGTACTTGCCCTTCCTAACAAAATAACAGGCTTAACGGACTATCGCTCGCAAGCATAATATTGACTAACAGTGCCATACTAACTCAGAATAAAATTGCTCAAGCCCGTAAAACCGGCGCTCAGAAAATAGAGCAGGCAAATGACCACACGAGAACTTCAATGCAAGCTCACATTAAATGGACCAATCAGCGATCAGCACCAAAAAAGTCGTGAGTGCATGAGCGCAAGAAGATAATTGACAGCGAACACCCACACAAACAGGTGTCTGCTTATCTCTGGCTATAGCGCATCTCTGAGCATACACGTGTTTGTGTGGGTGTGTATGCTGGTCAATGTGTCGCATAGTTCTCACTCGAAATTTGATCGCTTGCTAATTTTCTGTGCGCCGGTTTTTTCGTCCGCTTGAGTCACGCGCAGTGTAACACTCTGAGTTGAACTTAGTAGTCAATATGAACGTGTTTTTAGTATAAGCTGGCCTTTCTAAAAGGGTTTTATATTACATTCAGCTAATTTAATAGATGCTCTCCTAGATATTTGTTCAAACAAAAACGTAGAATTCTAACTCCAGTTACAGTTTTTGTGCTCAGATTAGGCTGAAAAATACAAAATGAAAAATGTATTAGTTTTTGTAAACATAAACATATCGATTAAATACCTTTAAGGTTTCTTAAAGACCTCTAAACTCGACAGAGCTCTACATATTTTGAATTCAGATCAGATTCAGATTCGGAACAACTTTAACTTTCAGTTACCGATGATACTAAATATATTACTGTCCATAAGCTTGGTAAAAATATTAATTAGTTTTCGTTAAATAAATATATACCTTTTAGAATTCGGGCAACTCTATTAAATCGATTAGATAACTGACCCTGATACGCAAAAACTTTGATATAAACATTGAAATTACGATTTTGATCAGCATACGATTAAGTTAAAGAAATATCCTTAGTATGAAATAGCCAAGGTCATCCAGATTCCAGATTCTGTAGTCAATTTCACATTAATACAAATATTTAAATTAAATTAAGAAGTAAATATTTAAACATTATATACTCCTATAGATTAATTCATTTTAGGCGAGACAAAAACGGTAAATAATTAAAATAAACAGAACGCTACGTGCCCTTTCTAAAATAAATGTACAATTAATTGACCTTAACTCGCGGCATAAAACCTTGCCTTATTGACTAACAGTGCCCACTAACTCAGAATAAAGTTGCTCAGGTCCATAAAATCGGCGCTCAGAAAATAGAGCAGGCAAATGACCACACGAGAACTTCAATGCAAGCTCACATTAAATGGACCAATCAGCGATCAGCACCAAAAAAGTCGTGAGTGCATGAGCGCAAGAAGATAATTGACAGCGAACACCCACACAAACAGGTGACTGCTTATCTCTGGCTCTGGCGCATCTCTGAGCATACACGTGTTTGTGTGGGTGTGTATGCTGGTCAATGTGTCGCATAGTTCTCACTCAAAATTTGATCGCTTGCTAATTTTCTGTGCGCCGGTTTTTTCGTCTGCTTGAGTCACGCGCAGTGTAACACTCTGAGTTGAACTTAGTAGTCAATATGAACGTGTTTTTAGTATAAGCTGGCCTTTCTAAAAGGGTTTTATATTACATGCAGCTAATTTAATAGATGCTCTCCTAGATATTTGTTCAAACAAAAACGTAGAATTCTAACTCCAGTTACAGTTTTTGTGCTCAGATTAGGCTGAAAAATACAAAATGAAAAATGTATTAGTTTTTGTAAACATAAACATATCGATTAAATACCTTTAAGGTTTCTTAAAGACCTCTAAACTCGACAGAGCTCTACATATTTTGAATTCAGATCAGATTCAGATTCGGAACAACTTTAACTTTCAGTTACCGATGATACTAAATATATTACTGTCCATAAGCTTGGTAAAAATATTAATTAGTTTTCGTTAAATAAATATATACCTTTTAGAATTCGGGCAACTCTATTAAATCGATTAGATAACTGACCCTGATACGCAAAAACTTTGATATAAACATTGAAATTACGATTTTGATCAGCATACGATTAAGTTAAAGAAATATCCTTAGTATGAAATAGCCAAGGTCATCCAGATTCCAGATTCTGTAGTCAATTTCACATTAATACAAATATTTAAATTAAATTAAGAAGTAAATATTTAAACATTATATATACATTTGGAAAGACATTTGGAAAGACATACAAACATATTTGAGGATTCCTGAAAGCCTTTCCAATCTACAGCCCTTTGAGTTGACTCGGCTTGGCAACAACGTTGATGCATCCAATGTCATTATGGCCACAATTTAGAATACGATTTTGTTAAAGGTGTATCCATGGCATGAAATAACCAACATCAACCAAGTTCGAAAGATTTTGGCTGAAAAATTAAAAAAGAAAATGAATAAGTATTTTGTAAGATTTTCATATAAATACGTATGTACATACATATTTTTATTTTTATTTCGCCTTATACATACATCTAACCACATTTTTCTCGGCGCACAGAAATTGGAGCAAGCAAAGGATCACAACTTATGTATGAAAATTCATTTTGGACCGAACTGGCTTTCATTTCGGTTATTGAAGTTCGACTTTGGATGATAATAGGCGTTGAACTATTTGTAACTCTTATTGAATTCATATTTGATATTTATGTACCTTAAAATATGAGTAATAACACGTATACCGCTAGCAATACAGACGGTATTACCCCAAGAATTTTTACTAATATTATGTCCAAAGAGATTTACTCGGCTGCTGGCATTAAACTAAAACAGAATTTTGATGCGCAGAAGCAAAGTGGACGAAAGTCGGCTCAAGCAATCACACACATGCATAAATAGACAACATGAAGAGGAAATCGCCGAAAATGTACAACGGTAATTGTGCCCTTTTTGTCTCGCGCAGCTTAGTTTTGTGTGAACAATCACACACACAATCTATAAATAGGTACATACAGACACATGCAGAAGACATACACAAATATGTATGTGCAGGCAGAAGGCATCCCGAAATGCGTATGTATGTATGTGGGTATGCATCTGACATGCGCTTATCGCTTTAAACAGTCTATTGTAAAATTCTGCACAATTCTGTGTGTTGCTTATTGTGACCCAAAGAAGTCAAATTGTAATTGAGAAGTTGGGAATGCTAATTAGCAGTTTGGTCCATACAAACGAAATATTACATTTTGTACTTAGATTAAACTTGCACAGAGTTTGCTTGCAAATTAACAAAGAAAACATATTAAAAAAAAGAAAACGATCACAAAATAAATTCATTCGTAGAGCAAAAACGAACATGCATAAGTAGTTAAAATGAAAGCGAACACACATCCCAACAGGCAATAGAAAGAGGGAATTGACAAATACATACATACATATGTACATATCTATGTATGTAGAATTGTGTGTATACATGCTTGTCTTGATCTTATAACTCACGAGCTTTTTTGTGAAATGAAATATTAACTACTTTTGTAAATTTACAATGGCTCCCCATGCGCTAAATTATTCAGATTCTGCAAATCGATTATTGTAACACTTTACACTTTTAGTTCCGCACCAAATCACGTTTATCAGCAAGTTTGATTGTCATAATAATGTCAATTATTTATTCAAATCCGCACGAGTCTTAAGCATGTACCATACGGATGGCATTCACTTGAGACTTTTCAGTTATAATAGTTTTAAACAGCTTGATTCGACTGCAGGCGTCTTACTAAAACGGAATTTATTGCGTGGGCGCAAAAAGAAGGAAAATCGGCGCAAAGCAAACCATAAACTAAAGTGAACGCCATTCAAAGCAAGCAGAAGAAGAATGAAAACACACACATACATACATATGTATGTAGAATGAATTGCAAAATATGCACGTACTTATGTGTATATGTGTGCTAGTGTATTATCTTCTTATCCGACACATCACACGAACTTTGCTGCCTAGGCAAGTTTAGCTTTTTTTCTCTGCGCCGAATTTTTTGTCCCCTTGCGCTCGAGCAAATTAGATCACTGTATTAATTTGTAAATTAATGCATGCCGAGTCCCAAGCTGTTAACTGCTGGTTGTTGTGTGAAATCTGTTGTGCCGCACCTTCATATTCTAATTTATTTGGGATACACTTTTTATATATGTTTAATATTTTTATGTATTATATATGTATTACATAAAAATATTAAATTATAAGAAATTACCAAGTTCAAAAAGGGAGAGCACTCGTAAATAGGACGGTGTTAAAATATTAATAGCTTTAATAGACTGTAACCCGCAGCATGACAACATGCCATGTCTACTAATGGGACCACACTAACTCAGAATAAAATTGCTCAAGTCCGTAAAACCGGCGCTCAGAAAATAGAGCAGGCAAATGACCACACGAGAACTTTAATGCAAGCTCACATTGAATGGGCCAATCAGCGATCAGCACCAAAAAAGTCGTGAGTGCATGAGCGCAAGAAGATAATTGACAGCGAACACCCACACAAACAGGTGACTGCTTATCTCTGGCTCTGGCGCATCTCTCGGCACACACGTGTTTGTGTGGGTGTGTATGCTGGTCGCATAGTTCTCACTCGAAATTTGATCGCTTGCTAATTTTCTGTGCGCCGGTTTTTTCGTCCGCTTGAGTCACTCGCAGTGTAACACTCTGTTAATTTATCAGCAGTCTATATTAACATTTTTTCATAAGGAGCTCCTGACCCAAGTACATATTTAAGGAGCACTCCTTAATTACATATTATTTAGCTTTTTTATGACAATATTTGGTTTCTCCGAAATTTGTTTAAATATGTAGACAAAACATAAGGCTTAGATTTAATATATGTGTGTCGATAGCAGAAACCGCCACACAGTGAAGTACGCCTATGTATATATATGTAGGCAGATGTGTCCGATTCAATTTGGAAACATATACCATTTTAAACTAGTGCTAATGAATTCTATTGTCCTCGGCCAAGTCCTTAAGGATATGGCTAGGACATTTAATTTCATGAACTAAAAGTAAACCATAATAAAAAGTAACATTCCACGTTTTAGATACAGTGCATTTTGTAAACATATTTATTTCTGTTATTTAGTAAATGATGAGAGAATGTGCGAGTTTCTGGCGACCACAAACTAATGCTCCATGGCCTGTGCATCGCCGTCTCCGGTGTCTAAACGGCGCTTGGCCCCTCCACCAGCAACAGCTGCGGCTTCCTCCTCATGCTCACTGATCTCGCTAAACATGTAATCATCCTGGTACTCCTTTAGTATTTTACTCGAGCGATTCTCATCCAGAAATAGAGAGTAAACCTTTTTCACGTCCTCCGTGTTTACTTCGGTTGCCTTGCGACGACGACAAACTAAATTGGCCGTGGTTATCAATTGTATGGCATAGCGGAGACTTGTATCGGTGGCGATGCGTGTTAGAATGGTGAGAGCGTCGGGATGCATGATGCAGTCCTCCTCTTCGCAGCGTATCTTGAGTATCTCCTTGACCTCCTTTTCAGTGTATGGAACGGTGCGTATGATGATCATGCGATCCAGCAGATCGATGGGTATGCCATGCGGACTGCGGTAATTGGTGCCGCGAATGCGAGTTATTCCGCGATTGGTGGCCATAACTACGACTGGTGCCATGTCCGACTCTAGGGCGCGATTGAGATATGAGAAGCACTCTATGTCCAGCATGTGCACTTCGTCAATGAATAGGACGCCTGGATTTATTTCGGCTTTGCCCTCCTCACGCCACTCCAGTACCTTGTTATTGATCTGATCACGCACCTCCTGCTTGATTTCGCCAGTATCGCCCGAAAACAGGGCCAAAAAGCCATGAGTGCGACTGTTGATCACATCGATCTCGTGGAGCGTAACTGTGTGCACCACTTCTTTGCGCTTCTGCAGCTCCCCCTCGGGACACTGCACAAAACGTGTCTGTGCTCCAGTGGCATCGTAGTCCCGAGCGCGTGTAAAGCTGCGGCCCAGCTTGTTCACTTTGCCGGAGGCTTTGTCTATGGTTATGACGTCGCCGGCCTGAATCTTCTCTTTCATGAAACATTCGATGATTTTGTTGCCCAGATCGTAGTTGGTCTCCATTTCGGTGGTTTTAAGTGTGACTTTGCCCACCTTTTGCCCGGTGCCCGTTGCGGGGCGTTCAATTTGAATTTCGACCACTTCGCCCTCTATAATCTCAGTCTCTTCCTTGATACGCACACCGATGCTTTTGCGTAGTGCTTGCGATAGCGCCTCCGTTTTGCTCATCTCCAGCGAGTAAATCTCCGATCCAGACATGCTTGTAAATGGTGTTTCTGTGCCCAATGCCTGAGCCATGCCCACTGCAATAGCTGTCTTACCGGTACTGGGCTCGCCTGCAAGTAAAATACAACGTCCGGCGATTTTTCCCTCGCGCACCATTTGAACTACAACTCCGGCGGCACGTCGTGCATCCTTCTGACCCACCATGCCCTGGGATACAGCACGTGCCTCCAGAACATCATCCAGCCCAAGACCGCGGATATGCGAATGGGCGCCAATGCGCTCGATGCGTGTTATGTCGCGCACCTCAATTTTCTCAGTTTCGCCCATGATTTATGATTTTAAAATTGACTTTCTGGGGTTTAGTTGGTTATTTTAGATTTCTCGTCGACAGTCGCTTCGATTTGTTTGGAAGGATTCAACAAATTGAATGAAAATTTAATATTTTGTTGCTCGGCAACACAAAACAAAAAGCCGGCCCGATAGGCCACACATGTGTTTTAGTATCGATATTTCTCTCGCACAAAATGTTCGCCACGATAGTTCGATATCTGCTTAATTTCAAAACGATAGTTTTTAAGAAGCAAACAGTCATACCACTAACCATAACTGGCTGTCAATATGTTTAGTGTCGATATTTTTGTCGAATTAATGATATCGATACCTCCTTGCAATGGGACCGCGTCTAAATGATAATCCCGCCAAACTTAATTTAAAAATTTAAGTTCATAAGAACCAAACATTAATACTCAAAATTGCAGAAACAAGCGTATCAGATGGTTAAGTATTATAGGCAAATGACTATTAATACTACGACTAATTTTTCCCTAATATGAAATCTTAATATATACAGTACACTTTTTGTCTTTCGACAAACATTTCACGGCAGTGTGTCTTGGTTATTATTAAATATTAATTACAATTTCAATCGGTGTACGAAGTAAAAAAATGGCAGTAAGACTCTTAAATTAGTAGCAAAAACTTAAATGCTTAAGTGCGTCAAATACAAACAGGTTATTGGTTAGCTATATGTGATTACAATTTGAGCCCCATTCAACTGCTGATGGCATCCTTAGCACTTGCCGTTAGACGGCGCCTTGGGACGACAGATTTTACTGCGTCCATTCGCACCGTAGACAATATTGCAGGAGAAGGTAAAGTAGCCGCACGTTGACGACTTCGTATAGTATGTGGACTGGAAGTTTTTGTTCTCCTGTGGCGGGTTCTTCGAATTGTCCATGCTGCCAGTCACTGACTTGGTGACTGTCACATAGCTGTCTGGTGCACGTGGCTTGTGGGCGCCCTCGTCAGCTACCTTACTATCGTCCTCCTCGGCACTGATGTCCACCTTCTTGTTGGTGCTGTGCAGCTCCAGTGCTTTTGTGTGGAACTTCTTTTCCACATTCACCGTGCCGCGGAAGCCACTGGGCACAGATTCGGTGGTGGTGCGGACGGGATATGTATTAACACGTCCGTTTTGATTCTGCACTACTCGATACTGGCCAGCGTTCGGGTTGGCTACCACGGCCTGCTGATTTTGAGTGGGAGATGATTGCCTATAGGTGATGGGTTCAGCCACAGGTGCTGGTGCTGCGCCGGGCTCCTGGTTTTTGGTCTGGCTAGCAGTTGGGGGACTTTCTTCGAGTTTCACTGGCTTTTCGTTGTAGTAATCCTCCTCGTCATATTCATCATACGGTTCCTCGTCATCCTCTGCTTCCTCATCGTCGGTAATTGTGGGCTGTGGTTGACCCAGCTTATTGCTTTCACCTTTGTCACTGAGCTCTTTGCTCGTCTTTGAGGATTTCAACTGAATCTCTGGTATATCAGATTCGGAAGCAATTGCTGGGCCGCTAAAAACGGCGTCAACCCGATCGGTAACACTGGAAATAAATATTTGACCTGCTTTGCTATTTCTTCACGTCATATATATGATACTTACGCGTTTCCAGTATTGCCGAACTGACTAATTGTATTAAATAGCTCCCTGTTCTGTTCGCGATACGTGGCCACTTGTTCCTTCGTTCCCGATGCAGATTGTGCGGCACCATGATACGAGACGCCAAAGCTGTACGGCGATATATATGAATTTAGTTAAGCGAATGCGCAACTCGTTTGGGCTAACCTGGATGTGCCGTGTATCTGGGACTGACTCTGTCCTGAGTGACTGCCTGACTGTGCCGACGCTTGTCCACCACCTGATGCAGCTGCTGAACTAGTGTCCTGACCAGGACGGAAGCCGATTTGTGCTTGCGATGAAGTCTGACCTGGTCCGCTGGATTGTGCATCAGCCAGGCCGCCTTTATCATTGGCCTGCACCTCGCTCTGGCTCTGGTGTATGATACCGCCGCTCTGTGAAGAGGCCTTAGTGCCGCCATCCTTAGCATTAAGTTGGACTTGAGCTTGGGATTGGGAAGGACCGCCAGAGCCCTGAGACTGACTCATTGCACCATCTTCATTGCCTGTTACTTGTGCGCTCGCAGTACGATCTGCGTCAGAGGTCATTGCGCTGGCGCTGAACGAGCTGCCCTTGCTGTAGGCGCCAGATACTTGCGTCTTAGCAGTACCTCCATTCTTCTTGCCCTGGGCGCTAGCCGATGCTTGGCCGTCGCCAATAGCGGACTCAGCTTGCGAGAAGGCATCGTCAACACCGCCTGTGCCAGCAGCCCCAGGTACAGTGACCGCTCCTAAGCCAGTTGCGGCATCTGTATAACGTCCAGGAGCACCAATTTGGCCTCCACCAACTCCAGATGGAGCTCCAATGCCAGGTTGAGTTCCGTAGCCGAATTGCCCACCACCAACTCCAGACGGAGTAGTAACTATTCCTGGCTGACCACCAATTTGACTGCCAATTCCGAGCTGACCTCCGCTTATTCCAGGCTGTCCTCCTATACCTGGTTGAGTTCCGTAGCCAATATGCGTTCCAGCAGCTCCAGGCTGGGTTCCATAACCAACCTGACCACCTGTCTGTCCTCCTGCTCCCGGCTGAGTTCTGTATCCACCGGAAATTCCAGGCTGCCCCCCAACTCCTGATTGCGAACCATAGCCCGGCTGACTACCTCCAATACCGGGCTGTCCTCCTGCTCCAGGCTGAGTTCCGTATCCACTGGCGATTCCAGGCTGTCCCCCAATTCCTGGTTGCGTACCTCCAATACCGGGCTGTCCTCCTCCACCAGGTTGCGTTCCGTATCCAGGCTGCCCCCCAACTCCTGGTTGCGTACCATAGCCTGGCTGACTACCTCCAATACCAGGTTGTCCTCCTGCTCCAGGCTGAGTTCCGTATCCACCGGCAACTCCAGGCTGTCCCCCAATTCCCGGTTGCGTACCATAGCCCGGCTGACTACCTCCAATGCCGGGCTGTCCTCCTGTGCCAGGTTGTGTTCTGTATCCACCGGCGATTCCAGGCTGTCCCCCAATTCCTGCTTGCGTACCTCCAATCCCGGGCTGTCCTCCTGCACCAGGTTGCGTTCCGTATCCAGGCTGCCCCCCAACTCCTGGTTGCGTACCATAGCCTGGCTGACTACCTCCAATACCAGGTTGTCCTCCTGCTCCAGGCTGAGTTCCGTATCCACCGGCAATTCCAGGCTGTCCCCCAATTCCTGGTTGCGTACCATAGCCCGGCTGACTACCTCCAATACCGGGCTGTCCTCCTGCACCAGGTTGCGTTCCGTATCCAGGCTGCCCCCCAACTCCTGGTTGCGTACCATAGCCTGGCTGACTACCTCCAATACCGGGCTGTCCTCCAGCTCCAGGCTGAGTTCCGTATCCACCGGCAATTCCAGGCTGTCCCCCAATTCCTGGTTGCGTACCTCCAATACCCGGCTGTCCTCCTGCACCAGGTTGCGTTCCGTATCCAGGCTGCCCCCCAACTCCTGGTTGCGTACCATAGCCTGGCTGACTACCTCCAATACCAGGTTGTCCTCCTGCTCCAGGCTGAGTTCCGTATCCACCGGCAATTCCAGGCTGTCCCCCAATTCCTGGTTGCGTACCATAGCCCGGCTGACTACCTCCAATACCGGGCTGTCCTCCTGCACCAGGTTGCGTTCCGTATCCACCGCCAATTCCAGGCTGTCCACCAACTCCCAGTTGAGCACCATAGCCAGGCTGTCCGGCAGTTCCGGTTTGTCCTCCAACACCAGGCTGAGTTCCATATCCGGGTTGACCACTTCCGATTGCTGGCTGAGATCCGTATCCAGGCTGACCACCTGTAATTCCTGATTGCCGTGCTTCTGGCAAAGATCCGTATCCAAGCTGATCCCCGCCAACTCCAGCCTGTCTTCCTGGTACCAGTTGAGTTCCGTATCCGGGCTGACCACCTCCGATTCCTGGCTGTCCTCCTGCTCCAGGTTGGAACCCGTATCCAGGCTGACCACCTCCGATTCCTGACTGTCCTCCTGCTCCAGGTTGGGACCCGTATCCAGGCTGACCACCTCCGATTCCTGGCTGTCCTCCTGCTCCAGGTTGGGACCCGTATCCAGGCTGACCACCTCCGATTCCTGGCTGTCCCCCTGCTCCAGGTTGGGCACCATAGCCAGGCTGACCAACGCCAATTCCAGGCTGAATACCACCAAATCCAGGTTGTTGTGACCCAGCTCCAGGCTGAGTACTGTAACCAGGCTGTCCACCGCCTATTCCAGGATGTGATCCAGATCCAGGCTGAGTACCGTATCCAGGCTGACCACCGCTAGGCTGTCGTCCTGCTCCAGGCTGAGTTCCGTATCTAAGCTGATCACCACCCAAACCGGGCTGTCCACCTGCTCCAGATTGAGTTCCATAGCCAGGCTGTCCGCCACCAATTCCGATTACTCTCCCTGCTTCAGGATGTGCTCCGTATCCAGGCTGACCACTTCCGATTGCTGGCTGAGATCCGTATCCAGGCTGACCACCTCCTATTCCCGGCTGTCCTCCTGCTCCAGGTTGGGGTCCGTATCCAGGCTGACCACCTCCGATTCCTGGCTGTCCTCCTGCTCCAGGTTGGGACCCGTATCCAGGCTGACCACCTCCGATTCCTGGCTGGCCTCCTACTCCAGGCTGAACACCGTATCCTGGCTGACCGCCACCAGTTCCAGTCTGTCCACCGACTATTCCAGGGTAAGCTCCTACTCCAGGTTGAGTGCCGTATCCTGGCTGAGAACCTCCGATTCCAGGATGTCCCCCTGCTCCAGGTTGAGAGATATAACCTGGCTGACCACTGCTAATTCCAGGTTGCCCGCCGCCAATTCCATGATGGACCCCCACGCCAGGCTGTGTACCGTATCCAGGCTGACCACCGCCAATGCCAGGCAGTCCATGCTGAGTACCGTATCCAGGTTGAATGCCACCGGTTCCCGGCTGTCCAGTAGTTCCTGGTTGGGTACCATAGCCGGGCTGACTAGCGTCAGTTCCGGGTTGTCCTCCTGTCCCATGTCCATCTATTCCTGGTTGGGTTCCATAGCCAAGCTGACCTATTCCTGGCTGTCCTCTTGATCCAGTTTGAGTTCCGTATCCAGGTTGAGTGCCACCGATACCCGGCTGTCCACTTGTTCCTGATTGGGTACCATAGCCGGGCTGACTGGCGTCAGTTCCCGGCTGTCCTCCTGCTCCATTCTGAGTTACGTACCCAGGCTGGCTACCGCCGCTTCCAGGCTGTGCTCCGTAACCAGGCTGAATGCCATCAGATTTGGGCTGAACATCAGGTTGTCTTCTGACTCCATCGGTGGGCTTACCAACACCAGAACCGGGCTGCGAACCACGATACCCAGGGTGACCACCACCTCCATAGTCGGGTTGAGTGCCTCCTATTCCAGGCTGAGCGCCAAGTTGACCTCCTGCACCAGGTTGAACACCGGGCTGTCCGGTAGCTCCCGACTGAGCACCTGGCCGTCCCGTTCCAGTTCCAGGTTGCCCATCTGTTCCGTAACCCGGCTGTACACCACCAATGCCAAACTGATTATATCCTCCAGGCTGTGTTCCATAGCCAGGCTGACCAGCAACAGATCCTGGCTGTCCTCCAGCCGTAGCACCAGCTTCGCCTTATACGATAATGCCATTAATGTTGCTTCAATGTCTTTTATTTGTATTTTCCTAAAAACTCACCAGAGCCTGGAAGACTAATTATAGCATCAGGCCTGCCGATGCGACCTGGAACAAGAGAAGCGGCACCATCGACGCTAGGACCACTTGGATACAAAGCTGTGCCGACAGAACCTGGGTATTCCGCATGATATCCGGAGCATCCGCTACAATCTCCACCAGAGAATTGACTCTGGGCTTGTCCCATGCCATGGCTACCAGCTGCAGAATTTATCGGGTTAGGGATATATGCGGATAAGCAATATGTTTACTATATCTGTCTTACAAACAGTTGAACGTGAACCACTCTCATTAGCCTCCGCCTCAGCCTTGCCATCCTGTTCGGGCTTGCCAAAGTTTAAGTACTGAGACTGTGTTTGTCCACGGACACTGCAAGTGATATATATTGGTTTTACAGATCTCTTATTGAGTGTTGCATTATTTGGCTTCTTACTAGCCTCTGCCGCTTCTTTTGGTTCGCTCTAATTCAGTCAGGGGAGTCAGCTCGGCATCATCATCCATAGATGATTGATCCTGTTGTTGATAATCAAATTGAATAATTAAGTTCAATGCTAATGTCAGCCAAATCGTAATCGTTTAGTTGGTGTTTGAGCTCATTCTGTTTTTTAAAACTGACCTTGGTCACAAGTCTACCAACATTTGGTTCTTATCTCACTTTATTTGGGCCGAGTTCATGTGCATTGAACTATTACATTCACGAATAATTTCTATTAAATGTGCTCTCTCACTCTCTCTAGCATACACTTAATTTAATTCATCAAGTTTCATTAACAATTTTGACACTTACTATGGCCGCTCCATTTGTGTATGCTATGAGCAGCACCATGCCAAGCAGCAGGCCCCATCGAAAGGGCAACATTTCAATAAATCTAATTTGAATCCAATTGGAAACGCCTGCTCGAAGAGAATAGACCCAGCAAACTGTAAATTGAAATTGAATCGTATTATCAACACAGTTTCTTGATTATTCTGCGTATATATATACGCATATTATTTTTTTTTTATAATTTTTTAATAGTTGTCGTTTTCTCCTTCAGGCGTAGATCGTTGCTCCTCTCAGTATCTGCCACAAGGGGTTATCACCAAAGACACTTTGTTAAAATGAGTACGCAAATGCCAAAAAAAAAAAAAAATCAAATCAAATATAAACTAAAAATGACGTAATGACATGTGCTGGCAAATATTCTTTTGAAAATATTCTTATAAATCGATACATATTCTTTGATGCCGAATCTCATAGAAAAGCACAATTGTCCAAAGGGAACGAGTCATCCAAAATAATAAAAATGTTTTATTTTTTGGGAATTGTTCACTTTTATAAAGTTCGAATAGTGCACACTTTCACATTTTATTAATCTCAAAATTATTTAAATACCGAGTTTTTTAGCTTAAAGGATGAAAGTCTTGTATCCTTCTACAATTTTAGTAATTCATATATATCTATATATGAAATAATATTTTTATAATTTAGCAAGACTTGTCCTTGACACAGTTAATGCAGTGATAATTTATTATAATTTCATTCACTTGTCTTAGTCGCATATAATCCATTTATAGTCCGATATCTCAGAGAGATTATAACTTGTATTCACATATCCTTTATTTGTATAGTTTTTTAAGTATTCCACAATAGACTATTTATGCACACATACTTCTTCGCCTTTGCGTGTAGGATCCAAATTTAAGTTCCGATCTGCAGCCGAACGCGACAACTGCTGGATTGCGAATAACGTAACGACGCCAGAGCATGGAGACGTAAAGTTCTCAAGCTGGAGCAAAATTCATTGAAAGCAAGCAATTTCAATACATTTGCATGTGGCAGAATGAATATTTATTTAGGATTAACACTCAGACACTGACAGCACTTCTACGCCTGGCTCTGGCTCTGGCTCTGGCACTGGCTCTGGCTCTGGCTCTGCCTCTGCCTTATCGCATACACACACACACACACAGAGCACAGAGCACAGAGACGAACCACTTAAGGCTGGGCCGCGTCGTCAGTGCTATTCGTTTGAGTCTATGTCTATTCCATTACATATCAACACTTTGATCGTGTCAATCGATCACTTGGTTTGGGGCGCCCCATTGAATGCGTCTGTGTTACAACATCGTCGCAGATGGGGAAGAGACTTTTGACCCATTTTAGGGAAATGCGTGGCCATTTATTAGCATATAAAGATACTCAATTGTATATATCTTGTACACTTACACTTTTTTCGCTTCGTCTTCTTCTTCTTCTTGTTCATACTCTTCCATTTTCAAGTGTGTCCCCCCGGCCGGCTCATTAAATATGCATGTGGCTTCGTGGTCTGTATGTTGCAATTGTCCGTCCCTTGCCTTGGTTAGACTCTTAGAACCGCGGCTATGTTTTGTTTTGGATTCTTTTTAATGATCTTTGGCGGAAGCATTTTGCGCTTGATAACCTCTGTGTTTCCTTAGCAGCATTGTCATATCTATAAATAGAGCTTACTAGTATCGCTAAGCATTCCAATGTTAAGCTTGAGTTTTTCTTATCTGTCACCAAAAATTGTTTAATATTTGTTTATTTGTATTCGAGTATTGAACCGTATATATACACATACATGTTATATTCGAATAGAGTTTGTCCTCTTCGGTAAGGGGAGGCATGCTGACATGATAAACCTTAGCCAAAAATGGAATGAAATTTGTTGACAAAAAATTGGGTTGATATCATTCCATAAACGGAGCTTAACTATCCCGAATATTACTTCGAGCCGAGCTATTTATGTCAAATTTGCTGTCTTACGAATCCAAATTAATATATTATAATAAATGCGAATTTTACGGTATTTCATTCAATAATTTCGGAGTTCAGCGAGCGATTAATAGGCGAACTACAATTGATTTCGACGTTTTATTTTCTGTCAGAACTTATTTAAGCCCATTTATATCTATGGATTCAAGCGGATGCATAAGATTTGAAAAAAAATCTTGTCCCGGGCAAAGCCGGAAAGTGCCCGTTAGTACATAAATCGATCTTAAGGCTTGCGCGTTTGTTAAGTTTGTTTCAAGGGTAGCAATATTCTTAATTAAAACGCACTCAGAGAGCCAAAGCAACCTAGTTTGATAAGATCAACAAGAAGCAAACTTTTCATTAATAACTAATTGCCTAGGCCTATTGAAATAAATTTGCATGCATCCAAAAATATCTATTTGGAGCATCAATGAATGAAAATGGATTTTTATTTGTTCAGCTTTGTAAGTTAAATGTGACAGTAATAAAATTCGTTGAAATATAAACAATGTGCATTAATAATAAAAAAAAAAAGAGAAGATGGTGTAAATATTTTTGTACAGATTTGCCTTTGGCAAGCATAGCTTTTAAAGTTAAGCACGTAATAGGCAACGGTTGTGTTTATTTGCGCAAAATATTTAAAATTGTACTTGACACACCCTGTGATGTACGCATTTGCCATACTTTTCTTTAGTATTTTTTACTCAATTGGTTAAATACCAAAGCTTGGCCACACTGGTCAAAAATTGGTCACATTCTTGTTTACGTTTGAATAAAAATTCATTTCTCCTAAAAAAATATATTTTAACAAACACAATGGCCAACGGCGACTGGATGCCATTGTTATTCTGTGGCCTTTCCATACCTATCTCCATATTCATGTGGTTGGGCAACGTGGCATTCTCTAAATTCTGGAGCTACGACTTTGAAGGTAAAAATTGATTCCATTTCCTGATAAGCCGAATACATTTGGATTTCTTGACAGAGCCTTTGGTTATAGCGCCGACTCGTTGGTTATTTTCTACATTGGCGCCGCTGGCGTTGATGACTGTGGCGCTCCGTCGCCGCTCGGTAAGCAAATCGGGTGCCGCTTTGGGCGTGGTCGTTGCGTTCACGCTGTCCATAGCGAGTCATCCGTTCTTTGCCAGTCTGGTAGTTTTCTTCTTTAGCTCATCTCGGGCCACCAAGTTTCGTGCGCAATTGAAACGCAAGTTTGAGCACGACTTCAAGGAAGGTGAAGGACAACGCAATTGGGTGCAAGTGCTGTGCAATGGAGGCATGGCCACGCAGCTGGCATTGCTCTACCTGATTGACTGCGGCAGTGGTGAGCGCTCCATTGACTTCGCCAAGGAGTATCGCTCCAGTTGGCTGGGTATTGCCGTGATGAGCGCTTTTGCCTGTTGCAATGGTGACACGTGGAGCAGTGAGCTGGGTAGTGTGCTTTCCTCAAGCGATCCCATCTCCATCATCAGCTGGCGACGGGTGCCACGTGGCACGAATGGTGGAGTTTCGCTCATTGGCATCGTGGTAAGCCTCCTGGGCGGCTTGCTCGTTGGCTTTGCCTATTTTGCCACCGTCCGCTATACGGTTGAGGCCAAAATGCTGCTCGTCAGTCCCCCGCAGTGGCCCATCATCTTTTTTGGCGGCTTAGCGGGCCTCTTTGGCTCGCTGCTCGACTCCGTACTGGGCGGATTGTTGCAGTTCTCCGGCATTAATGCGCATGGTAAGATTGTGGATGCGCCCGGCAAAGGTGTGCGTCATGTTAGTGGACTCCGCATCCTGGACAACCACAGCGTCAATCTTATCTCTACCATTGTCATTGGTGTCACCATGCCACTGCTGGCTCTCAAGTTTTGGCCGGTGCGCTAAGAGCGTTTCTGCCTAAATATTGAACACTCTGAAATGTTTCCTTGTATACAAAAGAGCGCCTATTTTTGTAATGCTTCAAGCTCAAAGCAAAAAAACTGACTTTAATGTATGAAATGCAAACGATAAACTCGAATGGGCAATTGCACTGGTAATCCTACTCTTAGCTTAAGAACAACCACAATCGTGTAACTAACAGTTGTTATATTCCAGAATGTTAAGGTAAAAGGTAAGGCTGGGTTTATACCGAAGAGTTTGATATCTTGATCTCATATTGAGTCGAGAATAAAAGCCAGCCTCTCCTTCATCTAATAAATATCAGGCAGCTAAAAAAAGTATGTTAACTAAAAGTTTAATCATAGTGGCAACTGGATACTAAGTACATATTTTATTTCACTTTTATCTTTTGCAACTATGTTGTGCTTTCAACTATTTAGTTCTTTATCTAGCCTTTAAGCTGCCACCATGTTATAGTAATATAGCGAAATTTATTAATCCCTTTGTATTTTATTAATTCTTTTCAGCTTTTGTAGTTCTATGCTACGCAGCAAGTTTTGGGACAGAGTGCGTATTGCCTCGTTGGATGGAGTGACGCCTGGGGCAGGCTTGGCAAAACCTATAGAGAATTTGATCATAAGATCACCTATGGGAGAGTTGACGAACTGTGAGCCTGTCGAGATAGTTTTGAAAATAATGCGACGCTTGTGCTGGTAGATTTGCGGATCGTGTGGCAGAATGCTACTGGGCATGGGCTTGGTGTGTGGACGAGGCTTCTGGCTCGTTGCTGGAGGGGCTGCCGTGGTGGTGCTAGTTGTGAGCTCTGTGTGATTGACTGAGCTTTGCGTTGTGATGCTCGTTTTTGATTGTGTGCCGGCTCTGGCTCGAGTGGTTCTTGGTAGCAACGTGGTTGTCCGCCTACGCTGTGGACGATTTCGTATGGTGGTGGTGCTGCTGCTACTCGGAGGCTGTGTAGTTATGCTATTCGTGGGCTTAGCGCTGCTGGCACTCAGTGCTGGAACTTGATAGCCTGCATCGGGCAGCTCCTCTTCAGTGGCTGCGTCTGGCTTCTCTGCCTCACCATAGCCATGCTCCGGCTCTTGCGCAGTCTCGTCCACATAGTCGTCATCCGCGTCTGCTGCGTTGTTAGTGAAAAGTGGCTTGTTGGGCGGATGTTGAACGCGCTGCCGCTTCGATTTCTCATCCTCATAGATGGGCACATCAGGGCCAGTGGCTGCAAGCACTTGCTCCATTTGCTTTTGCAGTATTTCATAGAGTGGCGCATTCTGTTCATCATCCACTAGCTCGACGGGTTCACTGGGCACAAACTGATTATTGACATATGCACTGCGCCCATCTAAGTCATCATCGACATCCAAGACGTCCTGATCCTGTTTTTGGGAACGTGATTCAGCAAGCGGCTCTTCAGACGTTGCAGCGATTTCTGAATCAGTGGGCGCCGCTTGAATACTGAGGAGCGCTAAGAGAAACATCTCTTCAGTTGTGGATCCTTTCGATTGGGTTACCTTAACTCACCTCCGCCTAACAGCAGCAGCAGCAGCAGCAGCCACCAGGAGGCACCAAGTGTGCAGGTTCCGCTTGCCATTGCAGTCGCTTGGCTTCTGTTCGCTTTGGGTGCATTTGCCGCATCTTTTATAGGTCGCCCGTGGGATGAACGGCTGCATCTCACGCTCAATCAACGATGTTTAGTTTTGGAATTTTATTGTTTTGTGATCTTTTGAATTGTTGGTATCTGTTTATGTCAATCAGTCCATAAAACTACCATAGAACTTGTTTCACAGTTCAATGAACTGCACATATACATATATGCAGATGACGTATTTAAATCTTTTCAAGATGGGCAAACCCATTGCATTTCGTGGTCTTTCTTTCCCCAAGGGACTACTAGGCCCGCCTACGTTTCATCATTAAATGCACGATAAAAGTTTTCTTTAATTTTCAGAATATTTTAAATAAATAAGAGAAAAATCAAGTAATCAATATTAGAGGTGTCCGAGCCTTTTCTCCTAAAATCGAATGCAGTAAAGGGACGAACTACCTTTAACATACTAAAATCTATCTACTATTCTATAAAAAGAGTTTAAAATAGACACGCTTATGAATAGATATTGCCAGAAGATTCATGTAGATTTTGTTAAGGATAGACAGACGGACATGACTCGACTTTTGATGCTAACCAAGAATTTGAATATTTTATGAGATCGGAGATGTTTCTTTCCATTTTTACAATGTTTAGGATTTAATAAAAACCAATTCAGATAATTTCCAATTTTGATTGATAGAACTGACATATCCATAAGATACAAAATATATCTATTATAATATTTTTTAAGCGAAGTATCTATTAAAAGGTGAATATTTTGAGAAATAAGATCGTAATAAAATGAAAATACACGAGGCCTTTAAATTTTTTAACATAAGAGTTTTTGCTGTTTTTATTTACCACTTAAATAAGTTAAGATACTAGTTGATTAAGATACCACGTATTTAAGTTTATCCTTATCAGACTTGGGTTTGGCCTGCTCCGAGGTTTTCTCACCCCGGACCACAGTCGAAGCTAAGGCTTCGGGCAAAGAACCTGTAATTTGAGCGACTCCAACTGTTTGTGGTTCTTCGGCTGGGAAAGCTTGGCTTACAGCTGCTTTGACTGGCAACGGGGGCATGGCGATGCTCTCAACAGGCTCTGGTACTGGCACTACGCTTTGCACGGGTTTTCCAAGCACTTGCAGGGGCACCGAAATGGTCTCCTCTTTAACTGGCTTGGCCTGGTTCTCTTTCTTGTCATGATCCTTTTGCTCCTCGCTGCTTTCATTGCTTTCCTTGCTCTCCTTGTCGTTTTCGGGCTCAGCGAATACTGCGGGCGTGGCAGCTGTGGAATTGGCTCGGAAAAAGGGCGAACATTTGAATTTCTTGTCGGTATAGGCCGTTTCCTTGGGATACGTTTGCTGGCACTGCTCATAGGGCAGCTCCGTCCACAGTCCATGCGTGCGACACTTGGCCACATTCAGCTTGCACTTGTTGTAGAAAACGGCCACCTCGTTGGTTGTTTGGCCACAGATAGGTTCATAGGCGTCCTCGCAGTCATCGTCACACAGGTAGCCCTCGCTGAGCGCGTGGGCAGCACTGTTGATGGCGCCCGAATTGCTGATCTGCTGACAGTCCTTGTTCTTAGTAGCATCACTGCTGAACCAGGCAATCGGTATGCCCAGATAGGGCGGACTCTTGCGCTTGCCATCGGCGCCTGTTAGGGGCGTGTACGTGCGTTTCACATAGTAGCCATGCTCCTCTGTGGAAACTTGGGCATTGGCACCACCACCCAAATCCGTTGAGCTGGACCACTTTGTCTTTGTCTTGGTTTTGTGCGAATCGCCGTGATCGTCGCCCTTGTGCTTGCGGCGCTTGCCCTCAATGCTGGCAGGTTCTAGCAACAGCAGAGCGGCCACTGCAACAGTTGGCAACAGAGAAATGCAGGTTGAAAGAGACTGGGCGCTACCTGCCCGTGGGTTAGCCCAACTTACCAACGATGCATGCTGCTTGGTATGGTCTCATCTTTGATTCTGTTTGCTGTACAACTGGAACGATCTTAACAGTGGCTCGCTCCGGCAATAACTGATCGCATCTTCTGGTGTGTGGCCTCTTAAGTATCTTAGCTTTGGGTTGCGCTCTGCTGGACGGAGTATTCTTTTTTCCTTTACCGGTTTTCTTGGTAATCTTCCAATGCTGTTTTCTTCTGTTTCTGTTTGTCTGCATCGAAAGTACGCAAAGTTGATTTTTTTCTTCAGTTTTTGGTGAAATTTTTTATGCAAACTCAAGTGGTCTTCATATATCAGCGCATGCTACGTGCTTGTATACCCTTTTAAGCATCTAGAATGTTGGTCTCGAACTGGTTGTCTGTTTATCACCTTACCCACCTTTGCTGGTCCCCGCCCACCGGATCGAAGCTGGTAGCTTGTGTCGAAAGCCGGTTCAAAATTGGGTCAATCCGAAAGGTTTTCTGATCTCGTTTTACAACCGCACACAATTCTTTTCGCCTCAGGAGCTCGCCGCATGTCTGTTTATTTGAAATTATCATCCAATCAAGCGGCTTGTTATCACCATCTAGAAAATTTTATTGTTGGCACGATTCGAGCGCAGTGCAGCTAAGCATCCAATTTGTGGTACTTCGTAGATGATGGAATTAGATGAACAATTGTTAATTAGGCCGTTTTTTGGTTAAAGATGAGCTGCAGACGTCACTTTGTTTAACTTTGTTAACTAGCCTATATCTGCATTATTAAGAATATTCCCGAACGAATTTTAAAATGCAACAATTTGGTATACTCCAAATGTATAACACATTTTCTACTGAAAGATGAAGAGGAAATCGACGTTAACCTAATCTCTGCTCTCCCTATTTAAGAGCTCCTTTAGAAATATTTAAGCACATTTGTGAGCCGTATTTTAATTGTTAATTATAGTTTATTTATTTTTGTGATTGGAGCCAAATAGATTGTTTTCTTAAAGAGATAATTGTAAACAATCAGTTTAAAAAACCACCAAACCAGATTATGCTGATCAATTGCTTTCTCCGCAACGCATCTGTATGATTCATTCCCTTCGTGATCGGGTATTGCTTTCATTGTTATCAGATGCGTTTGATTTTCAAATTATGCTTTATGGAAAAGTTTTCAAATTTTCAAAATGCATTAGAAAGTTCAAGACGTCGAAATGAGATACATACAATGACAACAACACACGCTGCGGTGGGATCTAAACAATCAAATAGGCTCTAATAATTACATAATTAGACAGAGCAGAGCAATGATGGACGAAGGGAATTAAATCAGTCAATTAGTTGTGTCTTACAGAAAAAGCAAAAAAAAAGCAAAAATAAATCTCTTTTAAATTATAATATTTGTGGCACCTAAACATATTTGCATATAACCATAACAACAACAACAACAACAACAGCGAGAAGAGTTCGCTCCGTAACGCCCGCAACTGGCAAATGGCTGTTAATGCGTTAGCCAAACAGACGCGAGATGGCCAAAAGTTTGAGCATAAATAAACAAATTTATGAAAGAAGTGACCAGAAACCGAGTTTTGAATAAATGATTTCGGTTTCTTTTGTTAAGCAGACAACAACAACAACAAAAAGAAGAGAAAAACGGGGTAAACAAAAACAACAACAAAAAAAGTAAAAATAAAGCAAAAAGAAAGAGCGCCGAGAGCTTGTTGCAGTAAAAGCGGCAGCTTGGATGTTGGTCTGCCCCAGAGACCAGACCCCCCCAGTACTGAAAGAGCACGCTCAGCGCCTGCCTGGCCAGGCCAGGCCAGGCCTTATGTATATACTTTCATTTTAGACAAAACCGCAGCCGTCGCATGGCTATAAAAAGCGAAAGCAAAGCGCTGGATTCGCTCATAAAGACCGCAAAACTGCAAAAGTCAACTGTGCCCCGTTCCCGTCGCGAGCCATAAGGATTATCCAAAATACGCAACAAATATGGTTAAGCACATTTACCTGTCGTTGGGTGAGTTCCATCTACTTAGTAGAGTCCCGAGCGTTTCAAATAATTTTTGTTAATCCCACACAGCTGCATTGCTCTGCTTGGCCATTGCTGTGAACGCCGCCCCCGCCAAAGTGGAGTATGAACTTGTCCAGGACGGTGATTTTCCAGCTCTGAGAAAAGCCGAGGAGGCACAAAACTCTAGCGCGGATAGCGATGCTGAGGACGATGACGACGATGAGGATGAGGTCGAGCAAAAACAGGATGACGATGATGAAGATGCCGACGATGATGATGCCTCCTCGTTTATCCGAAGACGCCGCGAGGCTGTCGAGGAACCTGCCAAGGAAACAGCTGAAGTTGTAGCTGAGGCTGTTCCTGCAGCATCCGTAGAGCCCGCAGCACCCGCAGTTCCCGCTGCTGTTGAGCAAATCGTTGAGAGCTCCACAACCATTCCCACCACCAGCTCAGTAACAACCACCCGTAAGCCGGTGCTCGTCCTAATACGTGATGCACTTAAAAAGGTCACCGCGGAGTTGCCCACGGAGCAGGTGGCCAACAATGCCCTGCAGTATTTCCAGCTGTTCGAGCACTTTATACAGCAAACCATCGAGCAGGTTATTGATGCTGCCGATGACGATGAGGAGGAGCCAGCAGCAACTGCTGCCACCGTCGCAACTGTTACGGAGGAGGAGAAGGACAAGAACCCCGAGATGCCAGAGACGCAGCCCGAAAAGCAATCCGAGCTGGCTGCAGCTGTAACTGCAGCTCCTGTCGAAAATACGGCCCAGCCCGCGGAGCCAGCAATTGCTAGCAATGCAGTCTAGGAATTCCCAGCAAATACCTCAAACTATTTATTTTTACTATTTATTGTTAGCTGTAAAAATGTGCAAATACACGAAATTCCTTTAACTGAAAGTCCTTTAGTTTGCACTCTTTATTCCTCATTCTCCGCTGTGCTTAGCTTTTTATAGAGCTGTGAGGCATTGCGCTCCTTCAGAGCTTGGATCTTGCTGCGGCTCTGGCTGCGATGTCGATTGGTTGTGCGCCTTTTGGGTGGCTCAATTTTCTCCAGCAAACGATTGAAATATGAGTTGGGCGACTTGGTGGAGTGGTTCTTCTTCTGCGCAGAGCTGCGTCTTTCCAGCGGTAGTTCCTGATCGCCAATGGTCAAGCTGATCGGCATTTTGCCAGAGGTATTGATATAGATCGGTATGGTAATGTAGATTGGTGTGCCGGCAATCGGGTCAGATTTAGTGTTCTAAACAGATCGAAAAATTGTTGTAATCTCGCTTAGACAGGGATCAGAGTTAATATATAGTAATATGATGAATGATGCTTCTTATGTACAGAAAGAGTGGATATTTGTATTTTTCCTGTTCCAAAGATTCCTGCTTCAAATTTACGATACACATTTTCCCGTCACGGGTCGGATGTCCGTAGAAAATAAAAATCTGATCCGTACATTCTTGTACTCCATCTATAGGTATTTAATTATTTTAATAAACGTCCATTTAAATCTTGTAGGATAGTCATATTCCTTCACAAAATGAGTCAATTTTTCCGAAAAGTGAAATGTGAATTCAGCATCACGTGGCTGTGCGTTGTTCACCATTCAATTATGATACTTTTATATATGAAGTGATTTAATTTATTAAATTAATTAATCGATGAACGTAGATATAGATGTGTGTATTTAGTATATGGGTGAAGTAACAAGTGTGTGATTCTTAAAGAGAAAGCACAGGAACTGACACATCACAACAATTATTTAACTTAACTTAAATCCGAAAATCAATTTGCATAAAGTGAGAGCTGCACAGTATTAGCTAAATAAGTTGTGATACGAAAGATGTATATATCGAGTTAAGGAAAAGGCGTTTTACTTTTTAGCAGTGGAATGATATAGTAGTAGAACGATGACAGTAGACAGGTAAACAACTAAAGATGCTTTAAGCGCGAAGTGAAGTGAGCATAAGTTTTAGCTACCTGCGGCTGGGTTGATTCTGTCTGAGATTTAGTTGGATCTGGAGGAGGTTTAGTTGGGTCTACCTGCGGCTCAGTTGTGTCCACAGGTGGTTCTGCCAGCTGTTTGAGAAAATGCTGCGGATTGGCGTCGTGGCTCAAGCTGTTGAACTCATCCTCAGTAAGCGCAGGCAGGCGATCGTTTTTAAAATTGTATTCATGGTCCTCTATGTGGGTCTCATAGGTGCTTGTTTTGGTTGTGGAGCTGCTGATGGGCTTTGGCGTTGTGCTAGTACGTGTGGACTCCAGCAGGATCTCCAATTTATGCGCCTCTTCGCTGTCATTTGGATTCACATTGTTCTGCGCCAACTCTTTGGCCGCACAGAGCGTGTTGCAGAGCAGCACAGCTGATAAGTTGAAAGTGGTTAAGAAGACGCAGGGAAAATCTATGTTAATGCCATATTTTATTTGATAAAATATTACAAACTAAACTATAAACGCAACTTAAGCTAATGCCCAGCCCTAGCCTAAACCACATGACCAACGGGAGCGCTCTAGAGCGCCGTCTTCTTGCCATTGAGCACCACATCGGTTAGCCCGAGTTCCTGGAATTGTTCTAGACGTTCCACCTGGTTGCACAGTCGCTTCTTGAACTGCACCTCGCGACTGAGCATCTTGAGATCATCCACGCTGCACATTTTATTATAGCTGCCAATGTTTTTGGCTATTAGCTCGGCTGTCAACATGATCTTCGCACGGGACAGACGCAGATAGGAGAAGTCCGTATTGGCTCGCCGGAGCTCTTGGCGGTATAGGAACAGCTGATAGTCGAAGCTAATGTTACGCGTTTTCATCTTGAGACGCTTCTTCGTATGCTTCTTGACTTTATCCTGCTGCTGCTTGGATTTGGAGAGTTTCTTAAGCTGCTTCAAACGCTGCTTTTCCGTTTTCTTTTCCAGGTTGTGGCTGCTCATATTGAACTGTTCACGCTTTAACGTTTCGTGCGCGTTTAATGCCAGGACCTATACAGGACCTCCTTATATGGCAAGCAGGTAGCCACCCATTTGAATTTGCAATAACCCATCAGGTAGTTCATCTCATTAGCGCATGTGCCCGGGCGCGTGTTGGTCATAAACAGCGTATCCAGGCTTTTCATTCGGAATATTTTCCGCAACGGCTGTCTGGGTATTTCCACAGTTTATTTATGGCTTTATGACTGGAACATGGGACATGGGATACTGCCGCTGCCGTACCCAAAACTATTCCTAACACATCGCCGGCTGTGTCCAGTCTTAAGCCTCAATTACGGCTACCTTAACTTAGCGCCGAGTATTTGAACATGGCTCAAATCTTGTTCACGTCGCGACATTGGGTTCTGTGGCGTTCCTGTTCGGTTTTGGGATTTCGCGAAAACACTCTGGGATATTTTTCGTGGAATTTGTGGATGGTTCTGGTAAACACATTTATGGAAAGTCGCGGCTAGAGCCCGCTAATGCTGGCCTTGTCCCCATTTTTGGACATTTTCCTGCATGCCCAAAGGCCTTCTCAGTATTAGATGGATTGATGTCTGTCTTGATTTGTTAGAGCTACCTTCTTTCGAAAGTTCTAGGATTTGTTTCTTTGTACTTTTTGTGAGAGTGTCCCCTTAAGCTTGGTTTTCCTAACCCTACAAATAGGCTCGTTATCAAATCACAAGATCCCTGAGATCGGTTTTACAATGGCACAGAAAACAAAGGGCTTTTGATGAAGCGCATCCAGATTTTGATGAGCTATTCTTCTATTTAAATTTGTATAAATCCCTTATAGATCCCAATATAATTAGTATACTTAAAAAAAATAAAGAATTGCTCAATAGTTGTAACTTTTCAACGAAAATGTAGTGTAAATTGTTGCATAAAACTACTTTGTTTGTTCGCTTCTTTTCCTTCGGTAAACCACGCACATACACATATATATGGACTTATTAAGTCTAATTAAGGTTTTTTTATACCAAATAATCACAGTTCTCTATGGCTCAAAACATTATATTAAACGCACCTCCACAGAGAAAATTAAGCGACCGCTTCATGCTCGTTTCAAAAATAATACTAAAACTGCTTTCGGGCAAAGATTTCTATTTTATAGCGAAAAGAGTTTGCGGAGAAAAAATTTCACTGGATGGGAATATATATTGTTGAAGTTCTCTTTTTCTGGCTCATTCGCATATTAATTTCTAAATCGTAATGATGGTCTTTTCTCTGGCATGCAAATTTCGCTTTAAAAGTTAAACAGCGTCGTCATTGATTGTGTTTTTTTTATTATTTGGGGACTCTGATGACCCGGCCGCATAAATAATGATGATGCGCCAAATCTTTTTTCTTCTTGTTGCTCAGGCATTTTATTTGTTCATTATTTTCATTTTGCTTGCATTTTATGAATTTGGAATCATCTCTTGTGCTTGGCCATTGAATGGCTGTGCCTGAATGCGCAGCTGGAAAATTTTCTCGATGCCTTTGTCAATAGGAATTAGCCGGAGCCAGTGCAGAGAGACAGCCACAGCCATCGATGAGTTTTATTTAAAGTTGAGCTTATTTATTTTGCATTGGCTGTCAGCACAGAGCACAGAGGCCAAGACGGAGGCCAATACGGGCCAGGACTAGGGCGGGGCATTTCCATTTGACTTGGCTCTGACTGACTTGCATAACATCTTCAGTCATCGTCTTTTGTGGTTTGCGTTTGTCATTAGACAACGTCTAGACCGAATTTTGGAAGCCAGTCTCGGTCATTGATAGCTCAGCCAGACGCATGTCCTGCGAGTCCTTGCCGAACCAGTTGGCAACACAATTTGGCCATAGGCAAATACATACGTATATTGAAATTGGCAACGTTTGTGCATGAGACTGACTGAATGCCAAAAGCATTGACTCTTATTCGCTTCTCGTCTGTTTGCTGTTGACTTACTTTTATGTTAAGCAGGACCAATATTTTGCCAGCACGAACGTTTGCCTGGATACCCTACTTTTGCTTACCCTTGAGATGTTTAGATGAGCCTTGCTCAAATATATTTACAGTCAGAGACATTCAGAAGCTGCTTCGTAGTTTGCAATAAATATTTTAACTCCATTAAAAACTGGGAACAAAATTGTGCTAGTCGCAGATTTAGAATAATTTACTTGTATTAATTTTTTGTATTTCTCTAATTAAGTGTTGATTGATCATTTTTGATATTTCAATCATGACAAGTTATCTGAAACTTACAGCTTTTAATTAGCTCTTTAGTAAGCAGATTTTTTTTATTGAAATTGCATTTATCTTTTTTTATTAAGTATTCGATTCAGCCATTCATCAATTTATTTGGAGTTAAATAATCCAAATTGAAGCGAACTTGACTGCCCTTTTATTCGACCTTTTACTTCACAGTTTACAGCTTTCGTTTTGCGCTTTATAGATATCCCATTAGAAATGCAAAAAATATACTCTAATAGAGGGTATTATCATTTTCCTAAAATATGTCTAACAAGTTAACTTAGAGAAGTTATTGCATAAGAGCACAAATCCAACCATTCTATTGTGGGCGTATTTTACAGTAAAATAAAAATAAATAATTGGCTGGCCAAAAATATTGTGATTTAACCAAGCTAATATGCTAGCTTCCATTAGCTTGTGTCGATGAAGATCCGCTCGATTATCAAGTTCGTGGTGTTGGAATTTTTTTGATGAGCGCCAATATAAGGGTATTAACTTCGGCCGTTTGAATATAATATATTTGGTTGTTTTTTATTGCATTCGCGATGACGTTGACGGCGACGTCGGGGCAATAATTTTTCGACATTGTGTTCGCAATTTGTTAGCCATGAGGCCAATAAATTTGGCCAAATATGCACCATAAAAAAAGAGGGGCAAAATAAAGAACGAGAGATACGATCCAAAAAACCTATGCACTTTATAATGAAATAAATTGACTTTCATGAAGGCGGTATCAATATGGAAGCCAAAGCAAATAAATCCAAACTTTGAGCGCAAATTAAAATGGTTTGGAGCGGTACGGCGGGTGCGGTCGGAGCGGTTCGGCTGGGGGAAATAAAAGGGCAAACGCTTTGGTTCGCCGCTCAATTTGCAATAATGCCGCACATCCAGTTTCATTTCAATTGCAACAATTTCGGACAGAGGCAAAGAGAAAGATATAAAATAAATACGCGTATGCACATATGTGTACACATATATATATATATATATATATATATTTGGATAAGTGTTGGGAGTATTCGTATATATGGCTAAACTCCGGTTTCGGTCGATGCTGCGCAATATTTGTGCGCGTTTTTGTTGCCTGCTTTTCAGCTGTAAAATGCATTTCACATTTTATTGTGCACTCAATCAAAAATCCATTTCCGTTTGCCGCTTGTGCAGACTCCCAACTCTCAACTCCCGTCTCCCGACTCCAGACTCGCAACATCAGACTCCCGCCTCTGAGTATTCGCGGTACGCTGCTTGTTTATTCGAAAAATATGCCAGCACGTGTGAGTACCGGAGGCCGGATGAGTGAATAGCTGAACTGACGACTGACGACCGACGACCGACGACCGACGGCTGAACTAACTGGAATTGGCATCCAAAGGTTGATAATTGAGTTGAAGCTGCTCGCGCGTCGAAGTCGTGTCATCATCATCGACGGCTTTTACCAATATTGCAATAACAGAACACTGGCTCCATATAAAAGGGAAACACATATGTATGGGCGAATCGTATGTGCGATGGGAACGAGCCTTCCTCCCAATGCGCATTCCTGTTGCACGTGCCAAAGCAATCCCAAATCAAACGGCAGCCAAAGCCCATCTCCTGGCGATTGTCCGACATTTTTCAGTTTGATGAAAGCGGCCCGCAGCTCTTTACGGATTATTGGAGTCAAAGCGGTGCTAAAAGTGTTGCCCGGCCAGGTACGGGAAAACGGGATAGTTATGAAAATGCCATGCGAACAGTTTTGCAGCACCGACAAGCTAGAGAAATGTCTCCATAGTTGTTGTTGTTGTTGGGCAACATCAGTTGTGTGTTGCAAATTTACTAGATGTGGCCAGTGTTGCAAAGTTGTAAAACGAATGCGCATTCTCTTATGCCTGCTGAATGTTAGAAATATAGCCTATTTCAATTTTTCCAGCCCGTATAAATTACCCGACTTAAAGAACTCATTAATTTAACTACACGCATCTGTATAACTCAACGTAGTTTCACTTGTGATATATATATATATATATATATATTTTTGTATTCATTTCGTTTCGTTTTGTTTCATTTCTTTTGTTTTTATATGCTCTCTTTCCAATTCCATTTTTGGCAGTTTGTTGGTCCTCTTCTTGCTGACATGACATGAACTGTAGTTTATTTATTATTTGCTCTGATGTTTTTTCTTTTCTGTCCATCTTCCTGTTTTTGCTCTTGTTTCTCTTAATTTTGTTTATATCTCTGGCGCATACAAGCCACTGTGCTCTATTTGTGTGCGTGTATGTGTGTGTGTGAGCTTGTTTATATATACATGTGTGTGTATGTATGTGCGTCATGTAGTTTATTGTCAATTGTTTGTGGCATTTATTTCGCAATTGCTGTTCATTTTTCTCACTCTATTTGTGCATTGTTTTTATTCCTTTATTTATTTGATTAGTTTTTATTGCATGACAATTTTGAGGCTTACGATACATAGGATTTTTGGTCAGGAACCGACTGCATTGCAGTTGAATTCCAAACTTTTCTGACAATCAGCATAAAGCATAATTTTCCCCATTCTCATTTGATGTGCACGTATAACTAATTGAGAAATTTTAAATATTTCTCTACCCTAGACAAAGAAGAATGACAGAGAAAATGAGTTGTATGCCATGCTTGTTTTTCAATTTTCCATGAATACAAAAATTGTAATCCAATCGCATTTTAGATATGCAAAATCCACCCCTTTTGCCTTTACATGCTCGCATTGTCAACCAATTCACGCATTGCTTATCCGTGCACAGGATTTAGCTAAAGACTGCGGTTATTTGGCCATAAATTTAACGTACCATGGTCTATTAACTTTACGCCCCATTCCCATCTCATGCATGAGTCAAGCAGTCTGTGGGGTCCCACCCTCTTTGTCTTAATTTCTGTGAGGTTTATCTATGGATCTGATGGCGCACAAATCAAAATACTCGTTTATATCCTATATAAAGTTGCTGGAGCCAAGCGCGTGCTTCCGCCAGTGAATGGCGAGCTTCATTTGGCCGCTTATCTATCTGATGTGGAAATTGAATTCCGCCACAGCGGCCCACATGGTCTGAGAGATGGGAGAGTCTATAGATAATTGCATGATAACAGGCTAATTTTCAATTAGCGCCATTTTGATAAGCGTACATAAATTAGGCATTCTTTTCGCCTGCTTCTTGCCGGGCAACAAATTGCGAATGGTCTTTTGTTTGTAGCAATGTAGATGCGTTTCCGGTTCTGGCATTGTTTCCTGCTAGATGTTCGATGCTCGATGCTGGTTTTTGGCAAACGTGACTAGTTTATTGATTCTATCGAACTAGTACGCCAAACATAAATTAATAATAATACGAGCAAAGACCAAGTAACAATTTGCTATGCTCTGCAAAATGCTTTTAAGCAGCCCTCGAATCGAAAAACCCAACCAACTAAAAGTCAAACACTTGAGTTGACTCGCCTCCTGCCTGCTGCCTGCTGCCTGCTGCTACGTGTTGGCCATTTGACGTCGTCGTCGTCGAGGTCCTTCGAACCAGCGCCATATAAAATTCCAATCATACTTGACCAATAGCAAAACACTGGAGACTATGTAACCCTCCTGCCTTGCCCCCCCCCCCCATCCCCTCCACCAAAAAAAAGTTAAGTGAAGTGCGGCGCTTAAGCCAAAGGCATTGAACGGGTGGCTGGTTATTTTCGGGGGAGGCACGGGCTTCGATTTTGGCTTTGAGTCTCTTCTGCCCCTGGCAGCAGTCAGCAAAATTTTGTGCTACACTTTCGCCAATAGCTTGCCGTTGCTTAACGTTACATTTTATTGATACACTTGCCCAAAAGAGTTGCGTGCTCTGTTAAGCAAACATGTTACATTAATATGTGTTCATC